TAAACGACGTCGACACACCCTTTTATTTAAATGGCCTTTTGTGGCCTGTGCGCTATTTTTTTGCAAAGTGCCAACAATATTACTGTATGTACGTATGGCCTGCATTATGACAAAACAGTAGTGACTAACCTGTGCCTTAAAAGAGTATAGTTACAATTTACGGAAGAGAAAACCTAAAAGGGCGTAAAAAGAAAAGAAAAGTAAAGGCGTCATCTTTAAATAATTGAAGATAGATCTCAGTATTTTCAAATGTTGAATTTTTTTCGTAACTTGTTCCGTTCGAAACATTCAAAATCTCAGAAGAAATCGTCGAAAAAGGAGGTTAGCGAAATATTTACTTTCATTATTTTTTTAAACCTAATGGTATTAAACAATTTTTCATCTATATAGACTTATTGAATAACTATTTTAGTTATACAATTTTAATTTGAAAACTTTGCCTATATCATGAATAATCTATTGTCTTAAATCTATTTAGTTTATAGAATTACTAGATAAGGATATGCTGGATTAGGTTTCAAAAAATTTTTCTCTCTCTGACTCTCTCTCTCTCTCTCTCTCTCTCTCTTGTTTTTTGTCAACTTGTTTACCTCTATATAGTAGTGCAATACATATTATCATTTGTCTTAGAAAGCGAATGAGGAACAAGACGATGGAATACATGCTGTGTTCACGCCATTCGATCCAGATCAGGCTATTGGTATTGGAGGTAATCTCGATGATATAAGAAATACAGAATTGCTTGAAAATCGTGCTCATAAAGATAGATCAAAAATTCGGCAAAAAGTTAGACCTCCTACATTTCTTCATAATCGTCAGGTAATTATTACTTATTAAACATAAATATTATCATCAATTAAGTAATTTACACATTGTTGCTTTTGTTTTTTCAAGGCTGTGGTGTTGAAAAATGAAAGAATTGGTAATGAATCTACAGTTGAGACTACTAAAACTGACTCCAAATCGTTACCTGAAAATTCTTTAGTTAAGGAAGAAAGTAATAAAGAAATAGAACCTAATACAAACTTGCAAGAATTAGGTTCAAAGTCACATTCTCCGGTGAACTCTGTAATTGAGGAGCAGACAAAGGCTGACGAAAGTGGCAATAGAAAGGAGGACAATACTGATGATGATAGTAACTCTGACGATAAAGGGAGAAAATCCTTCTCCGAGAATAGTAAGTTACTAATACATTGCTATAAAATATAATAAAATTTAAATGCCGTTTGTTACAGATGATCCTATTCCTGTCGTCAACACTTCTGTCATCCTGCTTGCCGAAGATGTGCACAAAGAAGAAGATAGAATTCATGAACAAAATGTTACAAGTATAACAGTTGAAGAAAAAATTATAAATCAGATCGATGAAAAGGAAAGTACACAAGAGTCAGGCCCTACTGTTGTTGCAATTGACGTTTACGAAAGAAAAGAGACCTTATCTACCAGTGAGGATGAGAAGTCTGTAGCTGAAGTTGAGCCTGAGAAAGAGAGTGAGACTGAAGCGCCAACGCCAGTTCTCGATCAAGCTAGTACGAACACAATTGAAATAAGTTCCAGTAGAACCTCTGAGATCCAACAACCTAACAATACTGTCTATGATAATATCACAATTAAACAGCCGGTTACGAAAGCTCCTTCATTTTCCCAAAAATCTAGGCAAATGGAATCTACCGTTGAACTAAGAGAACCAAAATCTTCAATGTTTAATCAAGAGGAAGAACAGCATGAAGATAACTCTGAGCCCGTTGTTAGATATAGAGAGAAGTCTGTTGTAAAAAGTTCAGTTGAAGAAGAGCCTGATACCGAGAAGCCAGCTTGGGTAGCTATGGCTTTGAAAAGGTCTTCAATTTGGAAAGATCCCGACGAAGAGTCATCCGCTGTTAACCCTTCAAAAGACGAAAATGTTGAAAATAAACCACCTAATGTGGAGAGTTCCGAAAATAAGCCAAGAACGAAACCTGCAATTAATAAACCTAAACCCTCTTTTATACCGAAAGATACAGCAGAAGAGCCCCTCTTTCAAAAGAATCAAGGAGCAGATATAGTGAAACCTAGTGATCTTCGAAAAACAAAATCTATAAAAGCGGCAGCGTCTCCGAGATTAAATCGTCAGAGTGCACCAGCGGTAGTATCTAAGAATTTCACATATTTATTTTGTTTAAAGCGTACTTTCCTCTCTTAATTATTTTCCTTTTCATTAAAAACTCTGTTTATCTAGAAGCTGAACTCGTTTTTGCCCGAAACGGACTAACTTCAGAGCTTAGGTTTTTTTTAACAGTTTTTTTTTCCACTTCTGAATAAGCTTTGTAATCCGATAATCCTTATCACCTATCCTTATATTTTGCAAATTAATTTAAAACCGTATTTACAAAATTAAATACCGTTCATTAATAAGTTTTCAACTACTTTTAGGTTGAAAGGCCGTTGGAAGAAAATTCTACCGAGACAAACGCTAAACAAACGGGAAAACCTTCCAGGGTTTCTAGTTTAACTAAAAAGTGGGAAAGTGTTCGATAAAATTGAAAAACCGTTGCTTTTGTTTTTATTATTTTTAGCATTCATAATTTTTGAATCAAATCTAATTTGACTATGAAATTTGACAAGTTATTTGCTGTTTTTTATAATATTAATGTAAATCTTTATTGTAATTATACTAAATATATTATGGAATTGAATTTAGCAGTCCGAAGATTAACAAAGTTAAATAGTGGTCACTTAAGACATTTATCTATTCTGTTCTACTGAAAGTTATTTAGGTTAATCACGTTATATTTCACACGTGTTCTGAAGGCTAGATATTCAGAAATGTAATTATGGGCTAAAGTGTAAAGTCTATTAATAATTGAGCAAAATTTTGATGTTTCAACTTTGAACGCATCAAACAAAGTTTAAGTATTAGGATACCAAAACAAAACTGGTAGTTATAGTGTTTTACTCAACCGTTTATTAATAATCCTATTCTATTGGGAAAAAAACCTAAGAAAAATGACATTTTTTTCGCTTTTCACTCGTGTGTTTCCACTAGCCCTTCTCTTTTTAGCTAGTACATCTGTTATCATAGCTTCCACTTTTTTTGCAGCAATATGTACTGCTCTGCTCAACATGTTTAAAACTCCTACACCAAACAGAAAGAGAGCAATAAATATTATTAGACATACAAGAACCAATTCTGGTAAACCATTAATTGCTCATCGTGGTGCTGGATGGGACTGTCCTGAAAATACTCTGGAGGCGGTTAAACTCGTAAGTTTTACATTGTCATATAGTGTGGGATTGTTATCCTATTTAATGAATTGCTCCTAATCAACACAAAGGCAGACAAAAACGGGGCGGACGCTATTGAATTTGATTTAGAATTCTCCAAAGATGATGTAGCCTTAATTTTCCATGATGATACTTTGGATAGAACGACGAATGGTACTGGTTTTATTCGTCAGAAATATTGGAGAGAGCTACAACAGTTAGATGCATCCTACGGTGAATTTAGAACAAAGTACAAGGGATTACAGATTCCACTGTTGGCCGATATGGTCGATCTTTGTCTTTATCTCAAACTCAAAATGTACATAGACGTAAAAGGAACCCCATCGAAAGTAAGAGGTATTTGTATATGATTACTATTTCAACTTATTTACTTGCAGGCTGTTCCTGCTCTTACGAAACTGTTTCAAGAAAGAGAACAATTATATGATAATGCTATCGTTTGTTCTTTTAACCCCATCATTCCTTATAAATTAAGAAAAGCAGATAGTAAAATAATTGTTGGTGTAACACATAGGCACAAATTTCTCACACGAAAGGTTGATGGAAGCGAAAGAGAGTCTAATACTATTAAAAGTCTTATCTTTCCAACTTTTGATAGCATCCTAGAATGGAGTATTATAAATTGGATTCCAAAATTTGTTGGAGCATCGGCTATTTTATTACATTTAGACTCAGTTAATAAGTAAGTAAAATTGAGTATATTTTTCAATTATTTAAAATATATTATTGACTATTCATTTCGTTTTTACTCAGAAATCTTGTAGAGAAATTTAAAACACAAGATATAGAAGTAGTCGTTTGGACTGTCAACGAATTATCTGAGAAAAATTATTTTGGCAACGAATTAAAATGTCCAATAATAACTGATACACTTACACAATAGTTAGTTGTATAAATAGATTTAATCAAAATATTCATTTCATTGTTTTTAATATTAAAAACACAAAGTAGCTACAAATTAAAGATCTTAGAGTCGTTATAGAAAAAACAATATCTTAAGCAAATCACATAAATTGAAGCGAAATAGTTATTTTCCATTCTTGAAAATGCATGATTTAATAAGCAGTGTTTTGAGTATTAAATAGAAACAAAAAAAGAATTAAAAAGAGTATGTTTAGAGATAATTGTTGTGTATAAGAAAGACTAGAAAGTTACACAATAACATAACAGAATTAATTTAGCTAAGATTCCTTATAAATAACGTGTAAAGCAAGGCTTATTCGTTCAAATTCTGGTCTATCTTCAGGTTCATATTGCCAGCAGTTTTGCATAAGTTTATTCATCTCCTGAGACATATTTGGAGGAGGCTGCATTGTTTTTTCTAAAGAGAAAATTATTGTAGCTATAATATTAATAAACATATTATTTATCACTCACTCTGGAAAACAAAATCCTTTGTTTCTTGACCAGATAAATGTAAATTTTTAATGGGCCTGTTATTACTATCCAACTTCGGATAAGGCATTTCTCCGAAGGAGAAGATCTCCCACATCAAAACTCCGAAGCTCCATACATCGCTTTTTGTTGTAAAGGATCCCTCTATAATTAAAGAGTTTTATACATATACCTACAATGTAAAGACTAACTTACTTTCAAGCCCTTCAGGGGCTGTCCATTTGAGTGGCAAAGATCTTTTTCTATTTTCAATAATTTGATAGGTCCCCTCATCATCTCCTTTTCTAGATAATCCGAAATCAGATATTTTCACTGTTTCATCAATATCGACTAAACAGTTTCTGGCAGCCAAATCTCGATGTATTATTCCTTTACGACTGAGAAAGTTCATTCCCTCAGCAGCATCGCAGCACATTCGAACAAGTCTTTTAATTTTTAAATCATAATGTTTCATTAAGTAGTCCCTTAAAGCACCATCTGAAATAATTTTTGACATGTTTCACAATGATATTGTAATTGAAATAATATCAATAACTAATAATAACTTGGAACATATTCCATAACTATCATCATAGGAGTACGTGTGGCGGCTATTCCAATAAATTTTACAATTTTTGGGTGTTCGTAGTTACTCAGGATTAATCCCTCCTTTTGAAAACAAACCAATTAGGTTTAAAATTAATGTAAACGATAAAATATCAAACTTTAAGAAATCTGGCCCTCTCCTCTGCTGGTACATCAAACCTACAAGTTTTGATAGCAACCTCTTGATTTGTCTTTTTATATTTTCCTATATAAACGTCACCAAAGTTTCCCTGCAAGTAAAAATTTTCATATGCAATATCATGATAAATGTATTGTGCCAATAGATCATACAGATCCTATCTTGTCTCCTCTTTCAATGTCATCGTTGTTAATAGACCACTGAGGTTTATCGACTGCACGACGTAAAATGACACCACTTTTTTCAGTAGCTGGTATTTTGTTTTTTTCATAATGTTTTACCAATTGGTGAATAGTTGAAAATTCTGGTCCATCCAATTTATAGTTCTAAAATTTCGGCGAAAGTATCCAAAGTTCAGATCATTAGCAATATACTGTAATACTATAAATTACCCTGTTTTTTGAAACTTGTATAACGAAATGCTTGTGTCGATCTCTATGTTTGGCGGATAAAACATATTGTGTGGGGTGATTATCATCCGCCTTGAATCTTAAAAGATAATCTCCATCGTTTTCTAAATATTCCTGAGCCTGTGCTCTCGGTAAAAGACCATGATAATAGGACAAATGCTCAACGTCATCTTGAGGCTGAAAGCATTAAAATTAAAATTTTTATAAAACAATAGAAAAACAAATTAATTACAGCATATGACTCATCTTCTGATTCTTCTATATCTGCACTTTCTTTTTGGACTGATTTTGGCTTCCTAAGAATGTTTTCTAGTCTTTGTAACAAACCCATTTTGCTATTGCTTGGGGTATTGGGTACAGCACCTTCTTGTTGAGTCGAATTTGATATTTCTATACTCTTGGGTAGCTAATAAATATTATTTACGTTTTACTCTAAAAACAATAACTTTAATAAAATGAAATTAAGAGTATACCACATCTTGTAATTCCTTTATGGTATGAGGCCAATGTTGCGTACACGATCGTATACTTTTATTAATTTTTTGGTATAATATATAATTCATATCAATAAGACCACCTTCTTCTTTTACTTGCTTATCAAGGATTTTAATTTTTCGATCAATTTCATACGCCCTGTTAGATTTATATACAGTTGTCACAAAACAATGACAAAATTAGTAAAATTGCACACTTACTCTCCGTTTTCTTCTTCGTCTCGTCTTTGTAATGTTCGCCTGTATTTTCTGTCTCGTAAGTCACTTATTTCAGTATCATATACCTTTCTTCTTTGTTCGTGACTAGCCTTCTCATCTTCGAACCCCACTAGCCTGTAATTGCAAAAAAAAGGACAAAAAATTTAATTTACTCTTAACTTAAAAATTACATATTTACCGTGATTTTAAATCGTCTATAGTGGCTACATCAACTCTTAGCTGTTCCATCTGTAAGTCACCTTGATAATCTTGTAAAATGCTTTCGTCGAACAATATTGACTTTATGCTCTCAGGATTTGATTTGTTCTGATTGATAAAATTTTCATATTCTGACTTTGGTCTAATATCAAAAAAACTAGAAGTTAGGTTACTATAGAGTTTTTGACAATTTCTATCTGTCATGTTAGAAGTTTCCACATATTCAGTTAATATATCACTCCACTGGTGCACTGCAATTTCCATTTGACTTTGTTGACAATCTAAAAGAGCCGGATAACAAACTTCATGTACCAGCTTTTGTTTTTCTTGTAATTGCGATAAAGACAAAACATAGTTGTTGTGAGAATTGTGCAGTTTGCCAGCCGATGAGTAATACTTATCATACAATGTTTTAATTTTATTCTCTTTAGAGTTCGAATCTGTTACGGAACGAACGTTAGATAAGTATAAAAATAACTATAATGCTTTTTTAAATAGTAATAGCTTACAGTCTTTAGAGGTTGCACATTCCCGTTCAAATTTACACTTTTCATTTAAGTATGCTTTCATTGACTGCTTGTATGCTTGTCGTGATAGGTTTAATTCATTTTGTGCTGTCTTTTCTAAACTGTCTAATCGATTTTTTTCTTCCTGGAAATTTTTCCTCAAAGCTTTCTTATCATTGCTAATTTGAACAATTTTTTTTAATGTTTCTGTCGAGAGTTTTTCACATCGTTCTTTAAGAATACAAATAAGATTACGATTGGCTTCCAAAATCTGCGATAAAACTTGAAAGATTTTGGTATCAGTTTTGCAAGCATTTAATGTTTTACTAGTCGAAAGAATTAGACTGTCCATGGTTGTTGCATACTAAACGATGAATAATAATAAAAATTATTGTCTGTAAATAGCTTTTCTTTTAAGTACATACGGTAGATTCAATTTTTAGTTTTTCAATTAGAAATTTTCTAAATCCATCGAGCATTTTTATTTCGTTTTCTTGCAAATCAGACAATGCTTTTTGAGATTTTGCGTCATGGAGGTTCAGCGAAAAAGAAGACATATCCCTTCCTCTTTTGATGTGAACAAAAAGTCTCTTATATTTCAATTATAGTGTAAAAAACGACAATAAAATGTCGAATATTCAATACTGAGTGAATAATTTTATGAACAACACTTAATATACATAGATCATCATTTTAGTGAAAGTATATATTTGAGTGTCACAACGTTGTTTCATATATGAATAGAATAGGCCTTAATATGAGTGAAATATTTTACCTGTTTTTTTACTGTTACGCAGACGAAATATATCGATTTATTAGACACGATTTTAATCGATTTGCATACAAATAAAATTCTTTCGAGTTGTAAAATTCATCTGAGAAATATCAAAGTATCAGCAGCTTTTTAATTTTTATATTGACAGTAAAATTGTCTTTTCCACTATGGAGGAATCAGAAAATAATTTCCTTCCGTTTGTATTAATACGCCACTGTTGAAATATAGCGCCATCTATAAGCGATTTTATTAGAACTTAAAAACTTTACAACAATTAACTTTCAATCAGTTCCATCAGCCTCTCTTCTACCTCCAGCTGCTGTTGAGCTTTCTGAAAGTACATCAACAGTAGAAGTTTCGGAAGCCCTAGTACTAGTCCTTGTACTAGTAGTCCTTGTACTAGTACTAGTCCTAGTAGGTGTTTCTTCGGCCGATCCGCCATCAGCACCTTCTCTATCACAGATTTGACTTCTATTTCTTGATTCGCTACTGATCTTTAGGCCAGCAATACCCTTCAAGTCAGGTGGACTGACATCTCTTTTTATCTTTCTTCTACGACTAGGATCATTACGATTAATTTGTTGATAATTTTCCAGATCAATAACGTACAAACTCCCTGCAATCTGAACTTCAAACTTATATTCTTTCTTAATATAGCGATCTTCTATATCTTTATTAGACCTTTCATCATATTGCCACCATCCGCCTCTACCTTCATAAAACCATCGATGCGAACTTTCTTTCCTTGATTCTGTTTTTTTATCAATAACGGGCACCAAATTTGGATTTTTAAAAAATTCATTTGGTATCTCAGTTCTACACAAGGCACATCTTCTATCCCTTTGGGCAGCTCCCTTTATACAAAGAAAGCAGAAAATGTGATTGCATGGTAGTAAAACTGGGTGTATACAGGATTGTAAGCACACAGAACATTCTTCATGTTCGCTTAAGATCCTCGTTTTGTTTTCTTCAAGAACTTTTTTTTCCACCTCCGCTCCTACAGTTGGACCAGACCTAGCAGAGCACTTAGCTCTGCTGTTTTCACTCATCAGGCTATCCTTTCGCCGATACAGCAGGCAATCTTTTGCTTGGTTTGTAGAAATTTACAAAAGCGTAGAGAAGCTATACTGTTTGATATGGATCTTCTGTTTATTTTTCAGAGAACGAGTCCCGCACCATTAAAATTAAGCGAGATATATTTAAGAATAACAATTTCATATGAAAATAAAAAGAAAATTTTCTGATTAAACAGAAATTTGTAGACTTCGTAATTTAATTTTAAATTTTCCTCTATCCTGCCATATCGGAGCTCTTTCATTTTCAAGATGGCGACCCAGTTTGATTTGACCACGCGGATCACACAATATTTAGATCGTCATTTAGTATTTCCCTTGTTAGAATTTTTATCATTTAAGAAGGTTGGTTTAAAAATTTATTCTTATTATTTTATGATTTAATTCAATGTATGTTTTTGCTTAACTCGTAAATACTAGTTAATACAAAAATACTCAGAGCCGGTTAGATGTAACATACGCTGATAAATAATTTGTTATAAACAGATTTATGACGGAAATGAGATTCTTAAAGGAAAGCTGGACCTTCTATCCAATACAAACATGGTTGACTTCGCTATGGATCAGCATAAAGCGCTGTACCCTGACACCGACGTACCAAAGAGTCTGTACGACAAACGTACTGAAGTATTCAATGACTTAAAGCAGATGAGAGAACAGACCGAACCCATTATGACCATAATGCAGAAGGAAGAAGTCTTGAAAGCTATTCAAAGCTCCCGAGACGGAAGGCAATTGTTTGAAATTTTGAATAAGGAACATGATGTAAGCTTTGAACCATTTGCCTGATTTCTTGCCTCTAACTTAGATTATTTTATTTTAGTTTCAACAAGAAATGATTGATACCTTGTATCGGTTTGCTAAATTTCAATTTGAATGTGGCAACTATGGAGGAGCAGCAGACTATCTATATTTCGTTAGGGCTCTTATTCCATCAACTGACAAAAACTATCTCAACAGTCTTTGGGGAAAATTAGCATCAGAAATTCTTATGCAAAACTGGGATTCGGCCCTCGATGATTTGAACCGATTAAAGGACGTTATAGACAGCAACACTTTTGGTAGTGCTTTGCAAAGTCTTCAACAGCGAACATGGTTAATTCATTGGAGCTTATTTGTGTTTTTCAATCATAACAAGGGACGAGATTTAATCATTGATATGTTTCTCTATCAGCCGTCATATTTGAATACCATTCAAACAGTTTGTCCTCATATTCTTCGTTATCTTACCACTGCTGTCATTACCAATAAAAGACGCAAGAATGTTCTTAAAGATCTGGTGCGTGTTATTCAACAGGAGTCCTATGCCTATCAAGACCCGATAACAGAATTCCTTCAGGATTTGTATGTAAATTTCGACTTTGATAAAGCTCAACTCAAACTGAGAGAGTGTGAGGCCGTACTTCAAAATGACTTCTTTTTGGTTGCCTGTCAAAACGATTTCATAGATAATGCCCGCCTTTTCATCTTCGAGACCTTCTGTAGGATACATGAATGCATTAGCATAGATATGCTGGCTAATAAATTGAACATGAGCAGTGAAGAGGCTGAAAAGTGGATTGTTAATTTGATTAGGAATGCCCGATTGGACGCAAAGATAGATTCTCAATTGGGACACGTAGTTATGGGTACTCAAGCCGTTTCTCCATACCAACAGGTCATAGAAAAAACAAAAGCGTTAGCTTTCCGCTCTCAAGTTTTGGCAATGAATGTTGAGAAACGTTATTCTGTTCGATCAGAACCACCGAAATGGGAAGCTTAAAATTATGATAGTTTTTTGTTTAATGGAATACAGTACATATAGTCAATAATTCACTATATTCATGATATTTGTTGTGGAATGGGAGGTCGATGGCCACTGTTTCTAACGACGCACTCTTCAATCCATTTAATACCGTCATCTACCCCGTCACTAAATACGGAAGTTATTTTAAGTAATTGCCAAATAAGATTTTTACAAATCCTTACATACCCTAACAATGCTGACACACCCATCACTCGCAAATCCCGTTTTCCAATTTTATGGCTAACACGGTTAAAAGCCATTTTAATATCCGATACAGTCATACATCCATCTACATCCTGCTTGTTAGCCAGTAAAAGTAGAGGAACACCAGTTAATGTTTCATTTACTACCATTTTTTCTGTTAATAGATTCAAAGAATTGACACAGTTTAATTAAAAAAAATTAAAAACTGACCAAACGCTGATACTGATTCTTCCAATCGATCCCTCTGTGAGGAATCCACTACATAAATGATACCGTGAGACTCTGCGTAGTACTGTGGACAAAAATTTTTATTGACTGCTAGTCAGTTGCCACTTTTTTACCTTATCCCAGAGGGATTGTAATTCTTCTTGACCTCCCAGGTCCCAAAAATTCAAACGAATTCCATTGACACTGACTTCACCAACTGTGCAAAGAATTTTAGTTATTCCTGAATTACACTGATGTTATACTTACGATTTAAACCAACTGTTGTCGTTATTTTGTTTAAATTCATCCCTTTATAATTCTTATTGAATTTAATTTTGGTTTGCTCCAAGTAGGTCTATTGCACATGTACATCAAAAATCAAGATTAAAACAATGAAATTGTAATTGCCTTACAGATTTTCCAGCATTGTCTAATCCAAGTATCAAGATATAGTAGTCATCTTTTTGAAACATAAACTTATAAAACCCGTACATTAACGTAAACATTATTCTTTGTATGTTGCGTTTATCGCTCTTAAAAATAACAATACTTCAATTTTTGACAAATAATGTAAGAAAATCTTTTAAATATTTTTCATGCTATTGCTTTAAACATCCAAAGGAAAATCATATAATTATTTCTATTTTCCTTTATTTACGAAGAGCTATAATATAAGATACAATATCCGTATCCTGGAGTCTCTTTATTATTGGAAAAACATCTACCAGTCTAGAATGGTTAGAATTCCGCGTTGTAGAGTTTGTAAATATTCTGCATGGTACAACGTACCACGCAATATGGCGTGAATCTATAAAGTGCAGAAATAAAAAATCAGGAAAAGTTTCTTTCTATGTTTGAGAGTAGAATTTAACGATTATAGTTGTTTCCAGATGCAATAACAAGTGAAAAGGGAAATATTCTTTTGTTATTTGGTAAGTAAGAAACTTTCTAATATATGTGTATTTGAGCTTCACAATTTTGAAGAAAAAAATCGCCTTCCTCTATTCTGGGTATTTACATAGACAATCAATTGGATATTCTAGCAAAATATCAACAGGCATTTCTATCTTATGTTAAATGTCAATGATTGAATGATTTTTGTGTATGATATGATCTTAATTTATAACAACTTTAACATGACAGCTTTAAACAATTAGTCATCGTGTGAAAGAAATTTTAATAATATGGATCATCTGGGAAAGACTTACACTAAGCGCATGAATGCCATAGAGCGCAACTTAAAAGATCCCAATCATCCCTTATATGCTGAGAACTTGCTGGTAGGTCCATTCAAATAAGCCATAATATGTTATTTATGATCTATATGTCACGACAACAGGATGGGTTAACCGCCTTCGTCGCTGATTTGGATAATCAGCCATTAAAAAGAAAGAGTAACATCGACAATTTTGTAAAAAAATGTAAGTCTCAACTACTATATTTGTATAACTGCTTAAAATGTTGACATATTTTAGATAAAAAAGAGGTAGATGAACTTCTTGATACGCGTATGAAATATGTGGATTTCGAACAAGTGAAGGTTATAGGTAGAGGTGCTTTTGGTGAAGTACAACTGGTAAGACATAAAGCTACCCACAAGGTCTATGCTATGAAATTACTTAGTAAGAGTGAAATGGTAAGATCAATATATTAAGCGAGTTCATATTTTTAATCGGATTGTTATTATATATTAGATAAAGCGTTCAGAATCTGCATTTTTTTGGGAAGAAAGAGACGTAATGGCGAATGCAAACAGCGAATGGATCGTTCAGGTATATCTGTTTATAAATATCTACTTAAGAAACGAGGGAGATTAACAAGATTCAAAGAAGAGTAATATTTGTAACATATTTTTAGGATTGTTTTTACGTAATTTGAATATTTATCGATATCAAATTATACCATATTGATAATAGACTTGAGTCTAACTACTTCATGCTGTTCAGCATGAACACATTTAAACAATGTAATACAGTTAGGCAGGCCTGAATTATCCAAATATTTCTACGTAAAAAACTTATACTTTTTGGGGACAAAAGTATTTAAATTTGCTCATCATTAAAAAACTATTATCAATTTCTTAGTTCCCTGATTCTTTTTCTCATTTTCAACAATGCTACCACATTTTTTAAAAATATCTGTACTAAGCCTTATTCGCTTTATTGCTCCCTTATTGACATTGCAAGCACGTTGTTGACAGGCTATTGTATTCGCCAAGTTTATCGAATTCTAATTGTAATACTGATAAGCGTTTCGGGGACATAGGCTTACAAAGCAATAGTTTCAAAAGATTTACGTTTACAATACAGCTTCACTTCGCATTTCAAGACACGAGATATTTGTATATGGTGATGGATTACATGCCCGGCGGAGATATGGTAAACTTATTAATGAGCTATGAAATTCCTGAACGATGGGCACGTTTTTACTGCGCCGAAGTCATATTGGCGTTGGATGTTATTCATTCCATGGGATTTGTGCATAGAGATGTTAAGCCCGACAATATGTTACTTGATTCTACAGGCCATTTGAAATTAGCCGATTTCGGAACATGCATGAAAATGGATTCTGATGGCTTGGTACGTTCTTATACTGCTGTTGGTACACCCGATTATATTTCTCCAGAAGTGCTCAAGTCTCATGGTGGCGAAGTTTGCTATGGAAGAGAATGCGATTTTTGGAGTGTGGGTGTCTTTTTATATGAAATGCTTGTGGGGGAAACTCCATTTTTTGCCGAATCCCTTTTAGAAACTTATGGGAAAATAACAAATCATGAAACTTCATTAACATTTCCAGTTGATGCAAACGTTAGCTCTAACGCTGAAATGTTAATAAAGAAATTTTTATGTAGTCAGGAGAAGAGATTGGGAAGACGGGGTATACAAGAAATACAGCGACATCCATTTTTCGGTGACGAGTGTTGGACAAATATACGAGAGCAGTTGCCTCCTGTTGTTCCTGAACTACATGGTGATATTGATACAAGTAACTTCGAAGAGGTTGAGAAGGATGATAGTGCATCTAATGAGGATTTCCAACCTGTTAAAGCCTATGAAGGCAATCATTTATCTTTTATTGGTTTTACTTATAATCGACATTTTAATATGCTTTCTTCAAACCAAAATTCTATGTCGATTCCGCAAGGGGACGACTATACTCTTACTGGTAGTGATAATCAACAAACAAGAATAGCTCTTTCGAGGGACCGAGAAGAGTACGAAATGAAAACTAGGTTTGTTTTTTTATACGCTTATAAATTTCCATCATTCATAATAAATTGTCTACAGACAGTTACTAATTGAACTGGAAGACGCCAGGGCAAAGGAAGAACGGACCAGAGGAGATCGCTTACAATTAGAAAAAGAAAAAACTGCTCTGCAGCATGATGTAAGAGTTTTTTCAGGCTTTCTACTTTATTAATCTATTTATCTACCCATTTAGTTACGACAAGCAAAAATTCAAGAACAAGAACAAATTGAACGTTTTAATCTTCAAATGGAAGAGTTACGTAAAAAGCTCAAGGAAGCAAATATGTGTTTAGAACAAAGTTCTATTTCCTCTCAAATGGAAAAAAATAAAATTTCTCAAATTGAAACCGAAAATCAAAAATTAAAAGAAAAAATTCATTTAGATGCCAGTGAGCTTTCAAAAAATAATCGAAGAATTCAAGAGCTGCAAGAGGTTAGCGAAACAACACGCAAAAATTTACACTTTTACGATTTTCTTTTACTAGAAAACAAGAAAATTAGAAGAAGACAACGAACATGTTCAGGGGAATGTAACAGGCTTCCAAAAGAAAATTTCAGAGGCTTACCAAATCCGAGACTCCGTCAAGGAAGATTTGGAGAAAGAAAAGCAAACAAATGCCAAAATTACTCGAGAGTTATCAAATCTGACCGGTAACAGACATGTCTTATTTTAATTAAACTATCTTCATGTATAATACTCTATAGAAACTAACGCAAAGCTACTTGTGGAGATTAAGCGTTTGAAAGAATCGGAAAAAGAATTAGATGTTGCATGCAATACACTACGAGAAACTAGCGCTATTCTACAAAAAGTAAGTTCTTAGTTTGAAATATAAATTAATTGAAGTCCTTCTTTTTTTTAGTCTAAAACGACTGCAGAACTAGAGAAAGAAGATTTACGAAGGAAATTACACGAAGAAGAGGCTTCTCATAAAGAAGCAAAGGCAAAATCCAACGCCCTACTATCATCCGAAGAAGCCAATCTCGAGTCGATTAAATGTGATTGCTTACATTTTGGCTCTTTCAAAGCAATTAATTAATTTATTTTCTATTCCAGCTTTTGAGTGTCGATTAGAAACTGAAAGACAAGCCAAAGTTGATGCTCAAGAAAAACTTCTTCAAGCTGAAAAGGATAAAATAGATTTAAATTGTCAGATACAGAACATTAAATCATTATATGACAAAGCGGAAAGTTTAGTGAGTGTTTTAATTATTCTGGTTTAAATCACTATTTTTACGCTCTAAATTTAAATTTAGGTTATGGAGGTCCGAGAGCAATTAAACGAAGAACTAATAAAAAAACAAGACCTCATGAATGATTTACGTCTAAAAGGAGAGGAAATTAGCCATATAAAAGATGGGGAGAAACAACTTTTGAAAGACATTGAAGCTTTGAAAGAGGAACGAGAACAACATGGAGATGGAATGAAAAAATTGAACGAAGAGCTTCAAAGACTTAAGAAAAAAGTTAAGGAAGCGGAAGAACAAGTAGAATGTGAAATGCATCTATCTCAGTTGTACAAACAGCAGAGTGAAAATCGCAAAGAAGATCTAGAAGAAAAATATCGAGAATATAATGATTTGAGTCAACGAAACGAGAGACTGATGAAAGATTTTAACAATTTACGTACACAATTAGAGGTAACGGAGGAAAAATGTCAAAGTGAACAGCTAGCATTAAAGATGGCTCAACAATCACTAGCTGAAGTACAAAGAGATAAATCTTTGATAGAGTGTGAATTAAATGATGCAAGGGAAAGATACAAAAGCGATTTACAGAAAAAGGATCAAACCATAGCGAATTTAGAAGAAACTAATCAAAAACTCCGCAGTGATACAGATATATTAAAATCCGAAACAACGGCACTACGTACACATGTTGAAAAAATGGAAGAAAGTGAACAAAATAAATCAGAAAATTTGGCTGAAAAAATCAAACTGTTAGAGAAGAAAGTAAGCGAAGAAGAGTTAAAGAAAAGACAAGCTATTCAAAAGCTAACAGAAGTTATGTGTAAAAAAGACCACCAAAAAAATTCAAAGAAAGTGAAGGAATCCGATTATAGAAAGAAAGCTGCAGAAGCAATGAAACTTCGAAGAGAACTAGAAACTGAAAGGAAAAATCACGGTCACTATCGGCAAGAGGCTGCACAAAAAATAAGCGAATTAGAGGTAAGTTAACTATAGAAGTGTTTATTTTCCGTATTTATGATCCATATCGTTTTACGTAAAAAAAAAAAGCGAAATCAAGACGAATTGGAAGACTTGAAGACTCAAATAGTGGCAAAAGATTCAAAAATTATGCAACTATTGGAGAGACTCGAGCATCTTAGCATGTCCAACAGTAGTTTAATATCAGAAAACCTTACAGAAAGTACAGACGATTCCCCTATTGATGGTGTTCTTTCATTGCCAAGTAAACTATCAAAATCACAAAACACTCGACGACGAGAGCACTATGTTTGGAAAGAATACTTCGTTTTGTTGACTAGTAGAAATTTATTCTTTTTTGGCAGCGAGCACGATAAAAATGTTCATAACCCTTATTTTACTTTAGATGTTGAGTAAGTTAAATTTTATTTGGGAATTAGAGAAGATATTAATGTCTGGATATTTTTTAGGAAACTTTATCACGTTCGGGCTGTAACACAAGGTGATGCTATGAGAGCCAAAGAAAGTGATATTCCAAAAATCTTTCAAATTTTGTACCAAGTTGACGTTGTCGAAAAGAAAAAACCTTCAACTGCAGCAACGAATCACTCAGATTTGCAGCACAAAGGTCATGATTTAGCTGCCATTGCATTCCGTATGCCTACAACTTGTGATGCTTGTAAAAATCCTTTATGGAATCTCGTTCATCCACCAGCGGCATACGAATGCAAATCATGTCATTTAAAATTTCACAAAGAGGACCTTGATGGAGACTTGATAAGTCACTGCCGATTGTTATATGACAAAGATTTAGCTAAAGAATTGTTGGTGCTCGCTAGTAACGTTGAAGAGCAAAAGTTATGGATTAGCCGGTTATACAAAAGGATCGCAAAGTCCGGTTTCACTTGTAACCTGTCAAATTTGACACCTAACAGGTAAATTACAATTTTTGCTTAGTACCTTTTCACGCAAAGGCCTCTAACGTATTTTTAGGCGGAGTAAAGATCCGGTTTTCGGAGAGGTTAATGCGACCTAGTGAATTAAATATTTTATCCCTGCTAGCTTAGCATTTTGTCATGCATTTTTCAGCTTGGCGGATCGGCGAGGAAGTAGTCGGTACACTAGTAGCAATAGTAGCAAAAGTCGAACGTTACCGTCGGCATTGAAACCGCCGAAATAAATATGTGACTGAATATATTCTGCAAAACACTTGCTTCGCATTCTTACAAAGATCATGTTGAGAGTAAACGTAAGCCACTTTCAAGTTGTATTTACTGCGAGGTCTCTAGACATAACATATATTTATATATAATTTAAATGAGATTATTTCATATCTATTTACTTATAATAGATATAACTATTTTTCATGGATAAAATACATTGCGGCAGTTTTCAAGTGCTGTATTTAGCAACGTTGAGCGCCGTAGCTATTTTAAGTGCAGGACCCAACTTCAAGCCCATCCTTTCCACAAAATCTTCTTGCTTGGCAAGTAAGAAAGATTCGCCATCGATTTCTTCTTCTTTAAACTTCCTGCCGTATTCGTGGCAACCTGGCAAACTTCTCACAAACTCTGATACTTCGTCAATAGACCATTTTTCAATTTCGTCCGAATTAGCAATAGACGCGCATGACAAAACTTTTCGCTGATACTTAACCGACGTGACTATTGCCAAAGGTTCCGCTTTATGTATCGGCTTTCTGCCCCTCTTTCTAGAAGTTGTCGAAGTTTCTTTCTGAGCTGCTGCCAAAGGGCACCCCGAAACCTTATGATGGAATGGATACTTTCCTGTTACGTGACCCGAACTATCACAACCGGGCGTTGGACACTTTTTGCTCTCGTTAACTCTAGTCTCTGCAGTGTTCAACGACTTTAGACGATCAGGAACAAATTCTTTGCTCAAATTATTGAAATTATATGGACATCCGAAGACGCTGTGATGTGTTTGATGTGATGCTCCTTTAACGTGACCTACACCTGTGCAACCAGGGGTAGGACATCCAGACGTTTGAATATTAGGCAATTTGCTGTCCATGGGATCTAAAGGTGCCTGTAAACTATGGCCAGTTTTTGCACACCACCCACAAGGGTGTAAATCGGTGCTATCATCGTCAACCCAATTATCAAGATAATCGGGCCAACCATCATAATGAATCAAAAGACGATTTGATTCGGTTTTCACAATCGTCGCAACGCGAATTAACGACGGATTTCTTACGTCAACCGCTTCTAGTTTCGTATCTGCTTCAAAGTTACTAATAGAGCGATTACGAAAAGCTCTACCGGGAATGCGTTTGCTGTTCGTATGTTCTAAATATTTCTCCCAAGTAAATGTCTTAATATTCGTCCAGCTTGGTGGTGGGGATAGAGCTTTCGCATTTGCTTGGCACCAACCCACTTGATGAACATACGGGGATGATAGGTCACACCAATAATCATAATCTTCTTCCCAACCATCAAAATGTATAAGCACCTTATCGGCAACAATGTCTGCTATAGTTGCCACACACGTAAGCACCGTATTCTTCTTATCAACAGCTTCTAGCTTCATCCCCACTTCAACGAACGGAGGAACAGCATTATAGTTTTGCGTGTTTGAAATTATGAATAGAGACTTCTGAGCTTGTTTACTATCAGGGATTTTTGACCAATCGAAATCATTTTGATTGGGGGGTAATTGCAGCTTTTTTCCGTTTTTGCTGCACCAACCAGGGGGAAAGATAAATGTCGAATCAGCATTCACCCAAAAGTCATAGGCATTAGAATATCCTTCAAAATTTAGTCTCAATCTATATCCCTGAATTTGAACGATATTTAAAACGCAATAAAGAGAAGGATGTCTCGGGTCGATTCCTTCTAGCATTGTTTGAACTTTGAAGTGATTCTTCTTTGTGTGGTAGGGCTTGAGAAAGCAGGAGTTTGGAGCAGCCATACTACTAGTTTTTTCTAGATACGAGTTCCACGGAAAGAATTTCCCCTTCTGTCTCATGATTGCTGCAATGCGAGAGTTGCGTGAAAAGATAAACATCTTCTGTTAAGATGGTCTACTTACGCTCTTGAGGTGATACGGTAGCTTCCTCCACTGTTCCGAGCTTCCGCCTCTTCTTATCAGGCGGTAGAGCTCCCTTCTCATGACTAATTAAAATGTAGTTAGAAGCGCTGACCGAATTGTTTCTCTAATAAGCGATTGTTATAGAAAACGAAGCGCGCATGCTAACTTTTTTTAAGCTTTTAAATACTAAGATAAATATCATATATGGGCGATTCTCTTCTAGAAAGCAAAAAGTGCAGCATAATAAATACATACTTTGTCGTTTTAAGCTTTCCCTTTTCTCTTTTGGATTTGGAATCTTGAGAACCGCTTGATGATTCATCGATTTCCAAACAGCCGAGCTCATTATATCGAAACTGAAATTCGAATAAACGACTAAAAAAAACAAATAAAAACTCTAAATGTTTATACAACTTTTAGTTCTGTTAACGGCAAGCTACCGACTTCCCCCTCCCACACTAAAGGGTCATCGTGTTCGTTAGTTTCTTCGTCCGTTCTTCCGTCGGACGAAGTATTATTGTTATTATTATTATTATTATTATTATTATTGTTCATGAGCGATTCTCGATCATTATTAAGAGTTCCGCCATCTTGCTTGTCTTTTTCGAGCTTTATGGAGATTTTAGGAACTACTTTCGATTCCGATTCACTGTCAAACGACGTAACCAGCTCAGGTGAGGCATCTTAAAAAATTAAGAATTTATCAATGTGAGTCTTGTCAAAAAAGACAGATCTAACGATCGTTTTATCGAAAGAACATTATTCTAAAAATAAAATTATTTCTAAACGATTATTATTTTTTCTATAATTACCTGTCTGAGATGCTAATCCGGAAGGACTATTGTCGCATGGGGAGATGCAAACTTCGTCTGTTAATTAATAATAAAAAGTTACTTTATGATAGTCAATTGTTTATTTAGCAAAATTACCTTTTTGCGTCCCTTCGTTAACTTGTACCAACGTTTTTTCTTCCATAAAGCTTTAGTGGGAAGTAATAATAAAATGTATTGTTACTAATATTGAAGTCAGTTAAATCCCTGAAACAATGTCAAATTTAACTCAAGTAGTTGAAAAGCTTTTCATTTGAGTTAATAGAACAGGATAAAAGTGAAGGGAGAAGAAGAATCAACAAAGAAGGAATCATATTTTACTAGAACAAAACTGAAACCGGAAGCGACCACAAGACGAACTCAGCTCTATATCCTACCGACGGAAAGTTATGCCGTAAATTTCTCACTAATTCGTCATTTTGATATAGTCAAAGTTCCGTAAAAGTTTGAAACAAACACAAAAGAGCAATTTGTACGTATAATAATACTACCTAACTTCTGTTCACAGCTTTTAGGAACAAAATTCTAACGTCAACGTCCTAACAGACGGCAGCCATTTTTCTCTACTAGCCGAAAATGGGGAGTATTAAGAACAATTGGAACCAATGTAATATTAAAGAAAATTACAACTAGTAGCAATATTTCATAATTATTAATAAAAAGATATTAATAATTTTTTATCATGTATTTTTTTTACAAAACGGGGGGGAACATAAGCTTATACCTTTCGTGACGTCAGATAACATTGCGTTGCATTATGGGATCTCCTTCTGACTAGGGACTGGAAATTTTTTAATGATATACAAGTTGTTAATGCTAGTTTTAATTACTATTCGACTGCAAACGAAGTCTACAGCTATTTTATCTTCTTTTCATTAAAAATTCGCCGATTGACACGATCAAGGAATCTGTAAATACACTTTTGTTATTGTCGCATGCAATATGTAAATTCTTTGGAATAATAACAAAAACAAGGGAAATTTTTTTTTCTTTGTTTTAGGCAATGGGCGGAAATGTGAGCGCGGGGAAAAACAACGAAGAACTAATTCATAACCTCATAAAAGCAAATTATATAAAAGATCGTCTTGTAGAAAAGATCTTTTATTCTGTTGATCGTGGAGATTATTTTCAAGACGGACACAGAGAGCATGCTTATCGAGACACAGCATGGAAACTAGGCCACTTGCACATATCGGCACCATGTATTTATGCTGAAGTATTGGAACATCTTGACTTGCAACCAGGACACAGCTTCTTGAACATGGGTAGTGGGACAGGGTATTTAAGCACGTTGGTAGGTTTGATTATAGGTGCGACAGGGGTGAATCATGGTATTGAATACCATAGCGATGTTGTTGATTATGCCCGCGAAAGGCTTGAATGGTATAAACAGTATGGCCATGAATTTGATCGCTATGAGTTATGTGAACCTGAGTTTATAAATGGCAATTGTCTTCTATTATCTGAAACAAATAGAAGATATGACAGAATATACTGTGGAGCCTCTTGCAATCTCTCAAAGGAATCTTATATAAGAAACCTCTTGAAAGTTGGAGGCATTTTAATTATGCCTCTAAATGACAATTTAGTTCGTATTGTACGAAAGTCAGAAAATGAATTTTCCAGAACAGATATACTACCCGTTTCGTTTGCGTCCCTTATACAACCCGAAAATGATGAAACATGTGCTGAACTTGTCGAACTGCCCCCTTTTGAAACATATTCTCTCAAAGAAATTTGTCGATTTAAAATCAGACAATGCATTCGTAATAAGCTGAATGAAACAAGAGCCCAATTACAATTGGTAGAGTACGAAAAACCAGCTCAAAAACTACAACCGTACGATAGAATCGAAAGGGCGGTTTGGATTCGACAATCACAAAGCGATGAAGAAGATAACGGAGAAAATCATGTTTCTCTTCATGAATTTCTTCAGTCAATATCAGAAAATCGAATGGAAGAAGAGTACGTAAACAATCCTAATGCAGCAATGAGGGCTGAAGTAGAGGATGATGGCGAAAGCGACGATCAAGATCAGGACGTTGATAGTATATGTGGGAGCCATTTAGGCATGCAAAATTCACCATCAAAGTTTGAAGATGATGGCGAAAGCGACGATCAAGATCGGGATGTTGGTAGTATGTGCGGAAGCCGTTTAGGCATGCAAAACTCATCACCAAAGCTTGAAGATGATATCGAATTGGATGATGATAATTCATTGTGCAGTGGCGCAATACCTATTGGAACCAAAAATAAAGAAACCGAAAGCTTGAATTTAGGTACAAGTAGCGGGACATCCGGAATAGGAACCTCAGTTGAAGAGAACGAATTGCTTCCAAGCGCCGAAGAGTCGTCGGACATGGAACGAGAAGTTGATAAGGAATATTTAGACTACGTCAAACCAAGTGAAGAAGTTTGTGAAAATAAGAGAAGAAGAGTTCAAACAGCAAGCTATTCTTCTTATACTAAGGCGATGAAGGAGCAAGTATCAACTCTCCCCCTGCCGCCTTTATTGCAGAATTATGTAGTGTTTTATCGTTAATTATCTAAACACAGACTGCAGCATTTAAGGCCTTGATTTAGAGCCTTTTTATTCTCCTATTTTATTCTCCGCAATGTAAATTTAAGTGACCAAATACATGCATATATATTATATATACACATATATATATACATAGTATATATATATATAGTATACAGTATATATATAGTATATATATATAGATATAAAATATATATGTAACAGAGTATATATTAATTGATAAAGTGTATTTATCAATTGTGCATCTTCTCCTGTATTGTTTTATGTATACATACGTGCGTGTTCTGATAAATACATAACGGAAACAACAGCAAAAACATGTAAAATATTGCCTACAATTACTTGACTTTCAAAACTGGGATTGTTCAAACTTCTTGACTGTTGTCGAATTGAACGCCTGTCTGCGCAGATTCTAATGCAGTTCGCAAACATGTTCTAAGAGCCTTGTTTTGGGCGTCAATACATAAAATCTTAAGTCTGTCTAAGTAGGCTTCGAAAGGTTCATCTTCCTTCTGCAAAGCATTTCCATCGCTCACGTTGGAGACAAGTGAATCCTTTATTGAGTTCAACTGATTCGTTGCAGCCTCAATTCGGCGTTCAAGAGTCACTTTTTCTTTTTCATTTTGTTCAATAATCTTTTCAAACTCTTCAATTTCATACGAAACACGTTGCATCTCCTCTTCCATATCAGCATTTGTTTCGCGTAATTTGCTAACCTCCTTTTGAAGAGATTGAACTTGATGATGTTCCTCTACTTCTGTTTAGAAAAATGGATTAGAAGCAAGATTACTAAATAACTATTGAGAAATCAAATAGACGTCATCAAGATAAAGTTAACCTGCTAAAACTTTTAGGGGAACATTTTTTAGCTCTTCAGTGGGCATCGAGTATTTAAACATTCCATTCATTTCTCTATTTGCTAATGCCGAAGATCTGTTAGCAATAGGGCATCCAGACGCACTTCGATGGCTTAAATATCTATTGAGATAACAGGCGCTTAGTAGATGGCGACCTCTGGTGCATAAACTGGTATCAACTACAATACTTACTTTCCTGATGCATGGCCAGTTCCGTCACAACCCGGTACTGGGCATTTTAAGGGCTCTTGGGTCTCGCCATTATTGAGTTGATTTTTCCTCGGTTTATTTGCTCTTGGGCATCCGGATAAACTACGATGGGATGTATAATTTCCAGTAATGTGACCAGATCCGTCACATCCAGGTGTTGGGCATTTTACAACGTTTTCTTCTTCATCCTTCTTAATTAAAATTTCTTCCTTTTTCTCGCTGAAAGTGGAATTAACAGTATGTATAAATAAATCATCTATGTAAAGGTTTGACTAAATGTTTGTAAATGTTTGTTTTTTTTTGTTTTTACTTGTTCATATCAACGACTTCAACGATTGGTTCCATTTTGACCTTCTTGGTTAAATCGACAGCTTGTTCTCCACCGTTAACCATTTTTTTAATTTGATGATGAGCTGGTTGCAGTAAAGTTTGATGTTGATTTGGACGACTATATTTATCCAGTTCGCGGGCTAGATTAGATCGGGGTGTTGCAACTTGAACGGAAGTCAAATCAAGCTGCTTAGCAACAATCATAGGACGCAAAACTCTATCGCACGTCAGTGAAGTTGATGACGGTGGGGAGGAGGACGATGACGATGCCGATGACGGCAGGGTTGTCGAGCTAACGTTAGTTAAAGAGGACGCTGCAAATTTAGTAGAGAATCTTATTCTGCAATGAAAACGTTTGGGAATTTTACAACAGTTCATGCAAGGACTTGAAACATATACTGAAAAAATTAAAGGAACCGTGACAAAAAATAAGAGAGAGACGACCATTGGTTTTTTGTTAACACCGATTTCAAACCTGTTGTCAGTTTCTTGCTAGCATGTTTGCCCATGGCAGCAATAGGACATCCACTAAGACTGCATAGCGATATTAGTAAAAGAAAAGTTAAATAAATTACTATGTTACTCATTAGTTATAAAGTTTCCGAGTAGTTAGTTAGTTATTAATTATTAGGAACGGAATTGATTATTTGCATATATTTTGTTTGTTTTTGTGTCATCTTGTTTTATATACATTTCTGAATTATTACCAACCTCCTATGGGAATTTCTGTTACTATTCACATGCCCTCTTCCTGTGCAACCTGGAGTAGGACAGCGTACGATTTCTTGATGAGCCGCCAGAACTGCATCGAGTCAGTTTGTTAGTTTAATCGTGCAGAAGGAAAACGCTCAAACGTTAGAAAGCAAATGCAAAAATAGAAAGAGAAAAATAGAAATGAAGAGACTAGAAACGAATATAACGTATAAAGGAGAATGTGAAATGATAGAGATGATAAATAATAAATTTATAGATAAACTTTTTTTCATTTTAATTGAAATTTTGTTAAAGCATGCAAAGTATAGTTTAGTATTAGAATTATTAAGCTTTAAAGATTCTATATACTGTATATACTAATTAACACATTATATACAGTATATAAATCTTAATAAACAACGAATAAGACATTTTCAACTTACTTTCCGGAGACACTTTATCCTTGCACGGACAGCCGGATAGGCTACGGTGATGGGAATATAATCCAGTAACGTGTCCAGTTCCATCGCAACCGGGAGTTGGGCATTTATTTTCTATAAAATGAAATCGAATTAGGAGGTTTAACTTTAAAGAAAGAAAGAAAGAAGGCGAAAAAAAGTTATAATTCGAGTTAAAGAATGAAAGTAATAATTATTTAAATTAATTAAATAAAGGAAATAAATTAAAAGAAAGTAAAATAAAAAGTTTACCTTTAGTTTTAGTTATAACTGCTGTTTCAGGAACCGTTATATCCTCTTCCTGCTTTCTTATTTTATTTTCATTACAAGAAGCCGGAGGACTATCCGACTTTCTTTTACGATCTTCCGCAATGTTAACTTCGCTCATGTCGTGATACCTTTGTAGTACACTGACAAATGAATAATTTCCCTTTTTCAATGTTATATTAAATAATAAATAACGTAAAAAATAACATTGAGATTTACTGATCCACTTAATTAAATAAGTAAATAAACAAGTAAATAAGTAAATAATTAAATAAATAAATTGTCTACTTGAAGTAGAATGGATGAAGATATGTCGGCGGAAAGTAAGGGTAAGTAAACATGATTTGAGTAGGAAATGTAAGAATCGACCCATAAATATATATATAGACGAGTCTTAATTAATTCAGAAACTTGCCGTCTAATCACCATCCACAGCCACGCCCTCGACATTGAGCCGCCACTTCAAACACATCCTATCTTCAAATTTTAGACAGTGCATTTTTCACTTTTTATGCGAGTCCGTATCTAGCTTAGCGAAACAGCGTTGTTTAAGGGCAAAAATTGTTTTTAATTAAATAAAGACTTTCTCAATTCTTCTCCTTGATTAATTATATTATTATTAAATTAAAGGCGTTACTTTTCCTATAAACGTATAAATGAAGAACGACGTTTCTTAATAAAACCGTCTTGGATTTACCCCTCTAATATACCTTTCAGCATTATCTAATGTGCCCTTTTTTTCAAAGTGCACACTTTGTATAAAATTTTCTTTGTACGAAAAAGGTTTTTTTTATAAACAGAGAAGTGTTAGAACTAACGTTTTTTGATCAGCGGATGTCGAATCGCATTTTGGGCTTCCATTTACTTCGTCTTTTTCTAGCTTTATAATTTGAAGAGCAGACGAAGAAGTTATTAGGAATGAAATTAATAAAAAAAAAAAAAAGAAGGAAAAAAAAAAAAGTTAACTCACTTCATTCACATTTGTCAACATTTTAGTACATCTGAAAGAAATAAAGAGAAAAATGATATGATAATTATAAGACAACGAGAGCAAAATTTTTCTCATCAATATGATTTCTGATTCAAACTGTAACCTTGCGTACTAAAGCCTTGAGGCAAAATGACCATTCTCATCTGTCACTTTGTGACATTTAAAGGAATCACGTTACAACTTTGTGTTGTGGTTATCACTATTATCTAAAACTCTCTCATCGATCCTATATCCTCTGGGGCTTCGTGTACTCGTAATGATTCGCACTTGATTCGACCGATAGCCAATTGAATAGCTTTAATGAGAAAAAATGATATACGCAGCGATGAGCAGAAAAAGGAATTTTCGAGCGTTAAAACATAAAAGTAAATGAGTAGATAATAAAGAAAGACGCCTGGAGCCATATTTAGTTTTAAAAGTCGCTTTTTCGTTCTTCTACACTAATAAGGTGAAGTGTTCTGTAATTTTGCATGACCTTGCGATATCTTTGGTAAACATCATGAAGAATAGAAATACGAATACATAGCAATTCCCAATTACAGCTAAAAGAGCAATTACGAGCAGAAGTAAGTCAGGCAAGCCTTTCAAGTAACATTCAAAAACCACAATACGCGTCTTATACAATCCTAATTTTTCTAAGCGTAATGTTCGTTCACTTCGATGAGCGGCGGATGAAAGGATAAAAAAAGATCAAAAACTACTCTTAAAAATCATAATACAAAGCCTCCTAAACGCTTTTCACTATTGCACGGGAAAGCACGCAAACCTAATATGGAGAATAATAAGGAAGTGATCGGAATGAAACGCGACGCGACTAATTGCATCTGCTACAATTATCTACTGAACGTACTTACTTGATGTTTTAGAAAAGTGCTTCAGTAAGTTAGCCGATCGATTCCCAAAGACGCGTCATTGTTTCGTCAACTAATTGTTTTCTTTACAAAAAGAAACTGGGTGGAGTTCGAGGTATTCGAACATTGAAATAAAAAGGACTTTCACTAACATTTAAATGTCGTATTTTTTGTATATTTAATTCAACGTAACGTAATGTTAATTAAAACCACACCCTTATAAATAGACTTTTTTTCCTTAATTCGGATGCCTTTTTTACAATCGTTCTGTTTTGACTACCACTGGCGACATCTATTGTTTATATGCTCAAATATTAATTCTTATCTCTTCGAGTGTCTTGGCTTTTTATCGGCTTTCAGGCGAATGTCATAATAGCAACTTATTTTATATCAGTCTCATAATGTATAAAGTACAGTTTAAAGGTAGAAATCGACATAATTATAAATAATATTAATGTAACAAATTACTCTATAAAAATCGTATAAATACTTAACTATTATATTAGTAATACGACGAAAGAACTTTCTTGAAAAACATTTCAAAATCTCGCGATAACTTCGTGAAGAAAACGCTTAATTTTATACTTTTAGAGATGCTGCACAAAAAATCAATAACTCGTGTTGCAGTGCGGCGTTCGACTGCAGAAATGTCTTCCATACAACTTTTCAAACAAACTTACCGGAGAGCCAAAATTCTCCCCAGTATTACACCATAAACAAATAAAAAATTATTCCTTCATAGAATATTCGATCGATCGCTTATACTGTAAAGTATTTAGTAAAAGTTTTACGATTGAACAAGCTCTGAAACTTTTTAGAGGTGTAGTTTGAACAGGTTTTGGACCAAACTTGATTAGATAGTTTGCGGATTGAGTCTTTAAAAGACCGAAATTGATAGATTGAAAAGTGAAAAGGAAGTTAGAAGGATTACATTGACAAACTTTGCTGCTAGTCGATATCTGAACATGTAATGTATGCGTCATAATTACAACCGAATATTGTATCAGAGAGACATATATAAAGTAATCAAACACCAAAATAATGAAGTTAAGCATACTTACAAAAAGTTTTTGGTAGTTCGTAAACGATGGTCACGGGGAATGTTAGAAAAATTTACTTTTTAAGAGTTTACAACAAACAACGAAAAGCCTTTGATGCGCATGCGTCAAGTAGCCCACAATGCAATTTACGCCATTACCGTTACCCGCGTTTTTTCGAATTCACTCTTTTTGTCAGATAACTAGACCGGCAACGGCTGCAGTTAATAAACAAGCGAAATTTCCAGCTATGAAAGCTCTCACTGCAACACCGGTAATTTGGGCTGGAGGAATCATAAATTTACTTGTAAAAAAAATACTTTTAAAAAAATTTTATCTTTCTGTACCCGTTTTGTGGGGAGCGATAGCACAAAGGAATCCGACGTTAGTTCCCAGAGTTCCAAAGTTAGAAAAACCACACAAAGCGAAAGTAGCTAGAGACTCTGACCGTTCAGAAATAGATGGTTTTAAACCATTTAATCTGTTATCTATCAATTTTTTCAAGTCCGTATAAGCAACAAATTCATTGATAAACGTTTTTGTCGCAAAAAGCTCTCCAACAAGAAGACAATCGCTCCGATCAATGCCACTTAAATAAATTAAAGGATATAGGATGTAAGATGATGCCTTTTGTAATGTAAAATTAGATAATCCAACTCGTCCTGACATCCAAGCAAAAAATGAATTTATGAAAGACACAAGAGCAATAAATGCCATAAGGGTTGCCAGAATACGACAAATCATTTTCACTGCTTCAGCAGCTCCTCTCCTAAATGTTTCTGTTATTGAACAACGTTCCGGTTTCTGATATTCTAAAGTCGATGAATTGATAATATCTGGGCCAATTAATAATTTTGATAGACCCAATGCGGCGGGAGCTGACAGTAAAGAAGCCGTTATCAAATGTCGACCACTGATTCCTATATTGACGTATACAGCTACCATTCCAGCGTCGATCGCAGCCAAACCACAAGACATTACCGTATGAATCTCAGATCTACTCATTTTAGCTATCATCGGCTGAACAAGTTGAATTGAATTCTCAGGGCCTAGAAAAATATTTGCACCAGCCAAAAATGATTCGCCGGCAGTCGTACTAAGGAGATGGTGTAAAAGTGCACCAACTTTAGATACACCCCATTGTAGAAACCCTATACGCTCCAACACTTTGCTAAGGCCGTTAAAAAATATCATCCGAGGCATAACCTCCATAGCGAATGAATGTAGTTTGTATTTTTCACCAAATAGAAACTTACTACCTTCATCCGAATATTCACCAAGAGCTTTTAAACCATCGCCAATAGCAGATAGGATGCTTCGAAAAGTATTCCATTTAAGCGAAAGAACTCCTAGTATTAGTTGTAGAGTAATTGAATAAAATGCAATTTCCCAATTAGATTTTCGAATATTATCCGAAAAAATGCAACAGATTAAGAGAACTGCTAATATTCCACCGAATCCACGAAGTTGAATTAAAGACTTTCGACGACTTATAATAATATAGATTGTTATCCCAAGGAATAAGAATATGTAACAGATAATTTTATGGCTTCTTTGTACTTTCCTGAATAGCTTTTTAATAAATTCTTGAAATTTCATAAACTTTTCAAATCTCTCCAAAAATCGAAAACCAAAAATTATCGTTATCAAACATACTAACACTAATAAAGCGATATGACCGTTGAAATTCTTCTGAATGACATAAATAGAAAAGCCTATAAAGATCAAGATAGCCAAAGGAATACAAAATTTCTGTAGAGGTTTTACAAATCTCAGTAAGATGAAAAAGATCCTTTTACGAATGTTGAAGATTTGTAAGGCAAACCGTCGAAAATTCATGCTAGTGATGTTGAACCACTTAATCTATAGATCCTTATGATATTGATAACATTCAACTGATAAAGTGATTTTTTTATACAACTATATTTTTGAAATTTAGCATTGAAACGCAGTCGCAACATTTTGGCTGTATTACAAAAGGAGCCGTATTTTGCTATGAAAAAGACAATATTTTGAGATATATATATACATGTTTATGTAAGTATATATACATACATATATATTTATATATATATATATATGTGTATACATTTACAGATAAACATGCATATTTATATACATTTATATATATATACACAAATATACTTATATACATGCATACACTTATACAAGTATACTTTTATATATCTTGGGTATAAATATATAACTGTATATATATAGTCATACATATACATATTTGAGAGCTATATGACTATTTGTCTCCTATTTACATCAAATTTTCTGGCTTTTCACATGTAACTGAATAATAGATATAAATAACAGAAAAATTGATCGAAAACAAACATTTTGTACACATTCTTTTAAATACAAGACATTATCAAAAAACGTCAAGAATATTTTTTCATTCGTCATTTCGTAAAACACTACTGAACATATAATTAATAAAATGACATATTTTTTGATCACAACGCAATGAAATGTCTGATGACTAGAATGCCCTCAATACGACGTTGTCGTTGGTCTCCTCTTCACTTCTGCTATATGGAAGAATAATAGTCTGAGTTCGGACCTGGACCGCCAGGAGGAGCAGCTGTTGAAGTCGGTTGACTAGCGCCATCTGGTGTGTCTTTTTCGAAACGTTTTGCTTCTTCTTGCATTGTTTCCTTGATTTTAAGTATGGCAGAAGCTTCAGTCGAATCCTGTGTTTATATCAAAGTTTATAACTTTCTAAAGGGAAAAAGTTGTCTGCGTTACATTTGACGGCATATTATCCGGATAAGAAGGTAAGTTGTAGTCTGATTGAGAGGAAGGGGGAAGGCTGTCGTCTCTCGGCGTTGCTGGTCCTCCGTTTGCCGGTGAATTTTTCATCTCCATATTTTCGCCATTCATCATAGGTGGAACGCCATCGGGGCCTGGCATTGGCCCTCCCATTCCTCCTTCGTTGCCCATTCCGCCGAATGTTGACATTGCTGCAGGCGCGCCAAGACTATTAGCTCTCATGTAGGCTATGTCACCGCTGTTTGTGGAATCGTGACCGGGACTTGGCATAATAGGAGTTCCTGGTCCCCCAGGACCGGTCGGTGGAGGGCCCTATTAGATTTTAATTATTTGATATAAAATTTATACTACGATCCAATCTGAAGAAATATTAACTTACATTGAAACCAGCTGGAGACGCTGAACCGTAGCCCATCTGAAAAAAAAAAGATTGTAGAAAAAAGAAAACTCTTTTCACAGTAAACATGAGAAATCAGGAAAATAGTGAAGAGCCCACACTCACTCTCACATGCTCAACATAGAAAGTGTAAATAGAGAATTAAGAGAAATCGATTTATTTTCAAGAAAATTGCTTGAAGAATGAAAATGACTTAATCAAAAACTTTTTGTAATTTAATTTGTCATGAAACCATTTATCCTCTTTCTTTAAGTATAAAATGGTAAACATGCTTACTTCCATGTTGCCTCCACAATTCTGCAGCAGAGGGCAGCATAAACATTAGTCAAGAAAAGCTAACGACTCGCTCAAAAATATAGTGGGAAAGTACTCACAGACGAATTGGGCGGCCAAGGCCGATTTCCTTGATGGCCCATAGGTACTCCTCCTACGCTACCTGGACCCATAGAAGTTGGTGGCAGGCCTCTCATTCCAAAGCCCTAGTTTTTAATGGATAAAATGAAATATTTTGCAGGTAAGCAAATAATAATTAAACGTACTGGTGTCATTGGTGCACCAGGTGCCATAGGCATTCTTCCAGGTGGTGTGCTCATTCGTTGCATCATGGGACCTGACAAAAATAAATATTTTATCTTTCATATTCAAGGAAAAGAAAGCGTTTTAGTATGATAATTTGAACAAAGTTATATACATATACATAGAAGATGCCCGAAGGCATAAGTGCGCTTCGCTTTTTATTATACGCTGTCGCGTACGAACGACGTTCAAATGGGTGTGTACGTACGAATACGTGCAAAAAGTCTTATCAAAGAATTGGCAACGCGTTCGTTGTTTCTTAATGAAGCTAATATAGAGAAATCATTACTCTCTTTCAAATTTCATAAATCTTGTTGTCTTCGTATAACAAAATTATTATTACCTTGAACGAAATCAACTCCCGGTTGACTTCCTGGCATCCTTACTGGACCGGGAGGGCCTCGTGGACCATAGCCTCGAGGTGACATAAAAGGCTGTATGAAGAAAGAAAAAGTTATAAATGGAATTAACTAGGGGTGCGAGTCGGTCGATTTTGAATTAATAGGCGCTTCTATGACAAAACAGAGTTTTTAATTAGCGATCGCCTAGTGTATACTGCATAACGCGCTAATAATTGCGCATTAGCGCACTTACAATACGCCATTGATAATGAGTAATAGGAAATTGAATGCTTGAAGGCCTAGCGGCGATTTTAAGCAAATATGCTGCTGTGGTGTATTTAAGCGATTAAGTTGGCTTTTCACAAACGGTCTGAGATAAGAAATTCAATCTATTTCATCAATTAACGCTGTCAGTCGACTCTGAAATCGTGCTTAATACGGCCGATCGTGTTTATATTTTATTGCATTGGGCATAATAGAATTTCTATAAATAGGTTACGTTTCAAGAAGTAAAGGAAGCTATTCGATTTTCAAGCATTCGTCTAATGGTGTTTTGACAGCGAGTAAAAGGCCAACCTTAATGCCTACTGATATGGAACGTTTTCTCATTACATTCTAAATGCTACTTACATCCAAGCAAGCAGCTGTTTACTCATTCTTTCTACCGTCATTCATCATTCGGGCAGCTGTATCTCTTAACAACCGCCTCGACTGACAATATTTCGAATACTGTCCTATATCAACTTTGGAATTTGTACTACTACTATCCAACGCTCATTGGTTGAACGTCGTGTGACGTCATTATTTTCTTGGCGCCACTTTACGCCTTGTTGGCGGAGTGAACCGTTTGGACTAATAGCAAAGAGTAAGAAGAAGATTTCGTTCTCAGGTGAGTCTTTATTTATTCTACTTTATCGCTTTAGACATATAAACTAATAGATTACAAGTACGAACCTAATTATGTAAATTGTATCTACAAACGAAAGAAGCAAACAACATAGTGCATGTGTGCATGATCCCGCACGGTTTCCATTAGATAAATACCCGTGAGGCCATAAAGCGCAAATTGCCTGGACCAGTTTCGGGAGCTTATTTGCAAAAACTTTAAGTGTTGCATCTAAGATATTGAATTATCTTCGTAAGTCAATACACAGATTAGTGTACTTAAAGACTAATGAATAATAATAATAATAATTCAATAGAACGCTCATGAACAAAACGATTTTTGTTGAGATTTTTCATTTAATTTAAAAGCAATTGTATTAATAGAAATACAACTAATTTAGCGTTTAAAATGATAGGTTTTCTATTAAGTAAATCAAGTTGTATATTTATAAGAATTACATGCACACACGCTTATGTGCTACTTGCATATACATGTATATCTATAATCTATATCCATATATATATATGTTCTATGTCTTTAAATATCTTATTATTTTTTACTTATATGTCTTTATATCATGAAAAGATATATTTATATCTCTTAAAAGCCTTCAATTTAGTGCATACTCGTAATCCAACCATTCAAGAGAGAATAATCTCCCGAAACCGTTCCATACAATAGGTATTTCACACTTTTTATATAACTCATACTCCTTAAGACTCCAAGTGTATTTAGTGACCACTGGGTATAAGAAATTTTTGAAATGTTTTCGTCAAAAGCAACTGTCAAACTCTATGGTGGCGATCATTTATAAAGCAGTCATCGGTGCGCGAGCGGCTTTTTTCGCCTTTTTACTGCCTAAGGCTTAGTTCTAATTGCTTACGCAGCTGCCCCGTGAAAGTCAGCCGCTTGAGGGCGGTAAGGGAAATTCATTACAATAGCCGATAGATGGCGATCAATGTTGGTTAATATATCAAGCGCCATCTATCACCTGTTCAACAAGCAACGACATCACACTCACTTGCTGTGCAGAATGAGGCGGTGGCAAGGGCGATGTTGCGGACACTGCATGACCGGGAAGGGGTTGAGGAGGTGAAGCACGAGGTGGCTGCAGAGCAACAAGCATGCGCAAAAAAAGGAAAAATACGGTTCACATCAATCATCAACAAAAATAAGAACACACGACCCGCCCCCATTTTCCTACTACTACCCTGCGATGCGTAGGGATGCGCAGCGAACTCTAGTGGAATACTCACAGGAAAGAAGCTCGGGGGCATTCCAGTGGCAGGTCCAGCCATTCCATCTTGTGGCGGTCCTAGCGGACTGGGTGCTGACGGATTCTGCAAACAACAATGAGAAAGTAGACCACATTACGTAAGCGGCACGTGTTGACGGGCACACATGCAGATACACCTCTTTGCTATGTACACGAAAATACAATGACGACCGCACCACCATTGCAGCGATGCCAATCGATAAGCTAACCCTTTCCCTCCCACATCACGCGCCGCTTCCACACATACGCACGTAGATAGTATAGACACGCTGTATAGCTAGCTCTACTTCTACCCATATAAAGAATTTACTATTCCTATTTGTTGGAACAAATTTTAAAATATATTTATTTATTAGTTTGACCGGAAAACTGAAGGTCGATATCGTTAGAACGCATTAGCGGACAGTTTGATGACAGTGAGTTTACGCGAGCGAGTGCGCGCACGACGACTACTGCAAAAAATCCAAACCACCAGAAGCAGTCGGTGTAGGGTTAAAACGACACGCTCTAAGCGCCGCGCGCCCAGTACCGGGTCACAGCTTCCACAGCTTCCTGAGTGAGTGGAAGGTTGGAACCACCATGTTTCGCCTGTCGTCAAAATTAGCTAACCGCTTAATGCTGGTACTTAAAATTCATATGTCTACATAAATATTTAAATACAGATTTATTAAAAGTTATCAAATCTGCTTTTAAACATAAATTATCAAACGCAAGGAATGAGTAGCCCGTCTAATGAAGAACTCAGCTGTTTTGCAGAGCAAGCGGGTCATTAGAAATCAATTTTTACTCAAAGAAACAAGCAGCAGAAGTCGTCGGCCAAGTCAGTCGACAACGTATCTGCGGGCAACGCGCCACTTCTAGACCTGACCTAGTTAGACGCAGGTGAACGCAAACAAGTCGAGAGCAAAAAACAAGTGTACATATTTCGCAAAACGCATCAATAAACTCAAAGTAAACAATAGCAACACCGCAAACGTCGGACTGGAGAAGCGCGCGGAGGCGAGAAGGTTAAGGGGTCCTACGGTAACTTGCAGTTGAGTTGCTTTGACGGCAAAACGAACTAAGAACCGTTCGCTACCGTAAACTAGCATTGAACACTCTGTCTATCAACCGATTGACCAACGTCTTCTACTTTCTTTCTATCCATTCCACACAACAAGTAGGGAGGGATTTTTTTTACTTACGTGCGTCATTCCATTTACCCCATAGCCGGAATTGACGAATCCCTATGTTACAGAAGAAAAAATTCTTTCAAAAAGCAGGCAAGATTTGACCTACATTTTTACGGGCGCCATTCATAACGTTATTGCTAATCGAATATAGGCGCAAAAAGTCTCACGTGCAAGAGTCAGATAAGCGCCAGTTTTCTTTCTCCCTTTTCACTCGATCTTTAATATAGACATGTACACGTACACTCGTGCACAAACGGAAATATTCAAAAAAAAAGAACTGATATCCAAAGTATATATATGTATATGTATATGTGTATGTATATACTGAAAGTTATCTACATAAAGCTTATATAAAGTATATACAAATGCATTCACACAAATATATGTATATATATATATATATATACAGTGTATATATATTTTATATTTTTGTACTTTCATAATTTAAACTCTATACTCTATTCTAAGGTATATCTTTTACAGCTCTTTTTGAATGTTTACAAGTAAACAAAAAATAGTGCTAGATACATACATATATATATATACAAACTGAGAACTTATTTAAAATACTACAATATACTGTATATTAACAAAAATTTAGTTTATGAACAAACATGCGTACATATTCTCACTCATGAAGATGTATATATATATATATATATATACTGTATGTGTCACACAAATGCATATAGATGTTGAATTATAAAATGGATTAATTGAAGTATAGCGATTTCTACATTCACATATACATCCGAAAATATAGTATAGCATACAGTAAGCAAGTGGAACATACATGTACGTATTATAATTTGATATGAGGAAGTTTTTATATTATAAAATTCTACTTTTACAATATATACGACAAATTTCTTTCTCTCCTAAAATACCAACATTGATCTATATACGCATTTATTTATATAAATATATATATATATATATATATATATACACATATATATGTATGGGAAGAAATAAAAGTATACGCTCTATAGATATTTATATGATTTACAAATTTAAATATACGTGTAGACATAGACGTATCTATGTATAGTTTACATTTCTCAAAAATAACGTGATATATATGTCCTATATATAAATAGTTATATACATATTTATTTATCTATTTGGATATGGACCTATATAAATAACTATTGTCACCTAAAAAAAGTTTTTCAAGTTTTCTTTTAAACGTAAAACAACGACGCAACGAGGCATTAAAACGACCTAAACGCCCAACTGTACATATACAATACATCGTACATTTATCATGTAATGTATTTATTATTTTGCCCGTCCATCACTTATCATTCGGTTGTCTAGGTGACGGCTTGGGCTCGACGTCGTCGCTTGTGAATATTACATGAACAAACAAGTCGGAATTGAACATAAAAAACTCGACTGCAAAAATTGGCGCATGCGCAGCGCCAATCACGACGAATATTTAACGCAGTGTATTTTTTTCGACGACAGATGCCACGTCGTGACCTTTGACCTACTCGGCAGCCCGAGCTATTGTGCAAAACGTTCGAAAAAGAGAAAAAGAGAATCTACAAGTACGTACATAATCGTGGAATGCTTTAGCTTCCGAGGAGTGATCGCAGGAGTCCCTCCGTTCCGGGGCGGCACAATAAAGATCCCAAAAAACGCTGTTTTCAAGTTATAAAAAGAAGAGAATGCGAGAGAGGAACATTGAGAATAGAAGAAACTCACCACCACCAGGAATGAAGAAATCCGGGCGGTTCACCTAACGTAATATTCTTTTCCCATCGAATCTAAACATGGAAACAGGAATGACTTACTAGACAATTAAACGTGAATGAAATACGCATGTCTTTCAATTAGAAAATTATCCTTTCAATAAAATATCCTTAAAGGTAAATAATTTTGTTCGAACCTCCGATAAGAAAGATTGTGCAGCTTTTTGAGCCCCAACATGAATGAGGTATTCGTAGACATACAGTGCTAACCTAAAAGAGAGAATACGAAAAATGTATTAACATTCGAAAACAAGGTTTCGAACGAAATAAAAGCAAACTCACTTTTCTCTTGCTTGCGCATCTGATGGTACGGACGATCCCTTTCCCTTGCTGTACATTATCTAGCTGATCCGATTTTCAAGCCATCAAGGGCAATTTTTAGCGTCTAGTTGCCCTGGAAACTCGGCCGGGTAAAATAGTCTCGAAAAAGAATTCCAAACGAAATCTACGTTCACCCTTAACAGTCAAAAACAACACACACAACGAACACTGCGCGCCCAACTATACTATTCGGTATTCACCTAAGGTATCACGTGACTTATATTATTTATAGATCTGCCGCGCCATCTAGAGGACGTCACGCCGAAGCAGCAAGATCGTGCATCGATCGGTCAGAACGAATGAAAAAAGTTACGCAAGGCTTTCTGGGGGAAGAGCAATTCTTGGATGAATGTAGAGCTTTCCTTACATTTTCAGACAGAATTGGCGACTCATGGAGTTTAAAAACCCATTCAAATTTACCCTATATATTTAAAAAATCAAAAATTATAGTAAATGCCTTTAATAAATCTTTAGTCGGAAATGAGCCAACGCAGACGGACGATAAAAAAGAAACAGCATGTTTTTTCCATATAGAATATTACTTAATTTTTAATGTTAGCTACTCAGTCCCTTGTTTGTACATCGTACCCACTTGGCCTAGTAAGTATGCGATTTTATGTTTAGTTTACATAAAAAGTGATCAGCTCTTTTTTTGGCCGACTAGATGGTACGTTGTTAAGTTTAGAACAAGTTTGGAATTACCTAATAAGAGAGGACGCAACCATAGTTGACAAATGGTCCTTTCTTACACAAATAGAGCACCCCTTCTTTGCAAATGTCTGCTACTGGATTCATCCATGCCATACAGCAGCTTGGATGGGAGATTATGAAAAAGATCGGTATATTATTCGTTGGATAACAACCCTATCAACAGTTATTCAACTTGAATTGCCCCAGGGTTGGACTTTAAAAGTATAAATATTGTTTATGACTCTACCACTCACAAAAAAAATCTCATATAAAACTCAGTCAAAGAAAGGACAGTTAAAAAGATTCGTTAGATGGAGCCATTGTGCGATTCTTACCTGAATTGCGCATGCGCCCTACCCTACCTAGGGAGGAGTTTTTGTTTGGGATTGATCGTAATTTACTATTAATATCTGATATGTTATATGTTCCAGGATTATGTTTTACTTTTGTTTTACCTATATTTTATCTTACATCAGGTGGTCTATCATTAAAAAATATATATTTTTATTCCAATAAATGTTTTCTTTTTAAAATTCTGATGTGCAGGAATAAGCATTGGGCCTTGCTTGAATAAACGTTTGAATACCTTGATCAATAGTGAAATAGAGTTTCGTTGTCCCATACAAACCACAGCTACAAACTACGAATGGAAGTTTAACAACCAAATCTTACGTCATAATACACGTACATGGAAACTGAAAAGTATTCAAGTTTCCGACGTTGGCCAGTATACGTAATACCCTATTAATAGACTATAAGAAATATAATAATACCATATTTAGACCATTTAAAAAAATTACTAAGCAAGTAAATTTTCAACTGCAAGTAACTATTTATGAAATAGATGCGGTACTATAGATGACAGCGAAACAAAACAAAGATCTTGCTTAGTCAGCGTTCTCTGTAAGTTTTTCTTCAGATCATAAATAATCTTATCTAGATCAGTTTATCATCTATGTACATTTTTATAGCAGAACCATCCGTAAAGTCACTTATTCATGAGACGTTTGAGCAATCAACTGTATGGTTATCTTGCCATGCTTCGTCAATACCACCAGGTATTCAATCTCATTCGAAAACAGAATCTTTACTATAGTCGAATACCTTTTTAAGTATCTATATATAAATGGACGAAAGGTGATGATACGCGAATCTTGTCTACGACTAGGACGTTAAAAATTAGCTATGTTGAAAGAGACGACGGAGGATCTTATAAGTGTGAGGCAAGCAATGAAATTGATATTAATTACCCCGAAAGAAAATATATGGCAACTGGTACTGGTATAATTAGCTTGATTGTTCTTTGTAAGTTATCTATTGGAATTCTTTTTACAATAATCCCTCATAACTATTTCCACAACAGATAAACCAAAACTATTAAAACATTCTTACTTAAAATTTTCTGGCACTATAAATCAGTCAAGTACTATTAAATGTTCTTTTGATGCAAATCCACCAGCTACAGTATATTGGCAAAGAGAAAATACAACTATAACACAAAATGATAAATACTACATAATAGGTACAAGACAGAAAAGTTCTCTTATTATAAATAATATCGACAAGTCTGATTTTGGATATTATCGATGCATTGCTTTTAATAGAGTGGGAAAAGTATTGTATAATATTTTACTCTCTCGTCCTGGTACGTATAATTGTTTTTAGTGTATAGTATTACGTTACCTTGTTGTTGGAACATATTCACGTTACTAGGCATACCCGATAAGCCGAAAGAATGCCGAATTGAAATGGTATCGGATAGCCTTGCAACTTTTCACTGTGTGCCAGGTTATTCCGGTGGACAAGATTACAGATTAAAAGTTGAAGTTTTAAACAGCAAGGGTCAAATAATTCATATTAGCGACAAGTAGATGAATTATCTCTCAAGTGAAAGATAATAACATGAATCTCTTTCCTAGATTTTCTCATGATCCATCCGGTTTGATTGTCACTGTGCGAAATTTATCACCCTCGACTAATTACGCTATTGTCTTTTATGGAGAAAATAAATTTGGTAGCAGTAATGTCGGCTTATTATTATTATTTAATACGACAAGTAACTATTATTGTATTTCTCAGACTTTTTCAGAATAGCCCTATTATTCTATTACAGGGAGAGCGAAATCCTTACAAGAAGAAGACGAGAAGATTAGCTCCGAAACTAAACTTATTACTATAGGCGGTGCCATAGCCGGTTCTGTTTTTGTCATCGTTTTGATAATTGTTCTAGCTGTGTATTGTTCATGGAGGAAGAAAACTGCTAAAAAGAAAGAAGCTGAGTCACTTCGAACAAACACATATCAGACATCTTCGTCGTCAAATTTGGCAAGCTCTCTTGTAGCGAGAGACAAAATTGAACAAACAAATCATAGCTATAGGGACTGGCAAGGGGCACGCGAATCCTTCGCTCAGGATAAAGGATGCTCATACATCGGACCGGCAATAGATTTGAAGTTCGAAAGTGGGGAATCTAATGACTATTGCTATGACAACATAGCAAACACTGCTAATACACACCATCTGGCAGGAAGTGGAGGCTTGAGTCTTTTCCCTTCGACATTAACAGCAAGTTTTAAAAGAAAAAAGAGGCCCGGCTCTTTTTTCCCAGGACAAAGTTCAAAACAAAATTCAACGGCACACGTTACAAATCTATCAATTGAAGTTGAGTCAAAAATAGAAGAGAGAGAGCAAAATCTACAAAATTACAAAAACAAAGAAAAAACTGTCAGTCCAATTGCCTCGAGTGTCAACTTGAGGAAAAAACCAAGGCCATTGGTAAATCCTCAGCAGCTAAAAGTTCCAAATCTTCCTCAAATGTCGAGGCATTCAAGTAGAGTTTCGGTTTCTAAAATTAGCCAAGATGGATCAAAAACTCTTTCCCAACCTATAGATGGCGCTTGTATTGGCGATGGACATTCTCAGATTGATTCTTGGGAGTTTCCTCGATCAAAACTCAAAATAATTCGAAAGCTCGGAAATGGAATGTTTGGTGAAGTATGGGAAGGTCAAGTAAAAGAGATTATGGGTTATAAAAGTTTAATGAAAGTTGCCGTCAAAACTGTTAGAGAAGAAGCAGACGATGACGCTAAAAGGAACTTGATAAAGGAATTACAGTATATGAAAACTTTGCAAGCTCATCCTAATATTATTACATTATTTGGCTGTATTACAATGTCTCACCCAATGGCTATAATAATGGAATTAGCCACTAACGGTAATCTTCAAAACTATTTGCGTCGTTGCCGTTATAACAACATTGATGCTGCAATTGTCACGCAAAAAACATTGACTACATTTGCGATGGACGTCGCGAATGGAATGTCTTTTATTAGCAGTAAAAAGGTAAGTGGAAAAATATCAGTTTTTTTTCATGGCTTACAATATATATTATTATACAATTGTATTTTATTTGTAGTTTCTTCATCGCGATTTAGCTGCTCGAAACGTTTTAATCGATGAACAAATGATTTGCAAAATAAGTGATTTCGGCTATTCAAGAGATATTATTCATAGTCGCCAGTACGAAAGTAAGTCTCAAGCTAAGCTCCCTCTGCGTTGGATGGCACCAGAATCACTCTATGATGGTCTCTATTCAGTCAAGTCTGATGTTTGGAGTTTCGGCGTGCTTTTATGGGAAATCATTACCTTGGGTGCTACACCATATCCTGGGATGTCCGGCTCAACAGTTATGATTAAAGTCAAGGAAGGTTATCGACTGCCAAAGCCGCTACATTGTGCCGATGTGTTGTATGACTTAATGAACGAATGCTGGAGGAGTAATCCAAAGCTTAGACCATCATTTCACCGTTTGTATTCACATTTAGAAGTTATTGGTCAACACATTGCTAATCAGCAGAACATGAGCGTTACGAAAATGGAAGCGAACATGTTAGATGTTTTACAGGATGTTCCAGGCGAAAAGTGCTGATAATTTTAGTACTTTTATTCATATATACTAATAAATTATATATATATACAAATATACTGTGCAGTATATATTGTATATAACCTATTTTAAATACATTTTTTACAATTTTTTTTTAAAAACGTGTCCTCTTTTTCGTCCCAATCTAGTAAATGAATAATTATGAGAAGAGTTAGTTAATCACTAGGATTTGACGCCTCACTGATAGGACTTAACTGCATAAGATTCGATGAACAAAAATTGCATGAACAAGCTATATGATTTCGCTTTTCCTCTTTTTTCTGTGATTCTATTACTTTGTCCAATAACCTTATATATTTAATAGCGAGTCGAAGAACTTCGTTCTTGCTTAATTTCTTATCCGGCGGGTGAGTTGGTACTAGTTTACGTAATTCAGCAAATGCCCCGTTAACATTTTGTTGTCTCCATCTTTCTCGACTGTTACTAAAAACTCGTCGCGGTCTTCTAGAAGGCTCGGGACTTATAAGGAGCTGTTGAGGGGGTGGGCAATAGAATAGCGGCGGCGTTTCGTCTTGTTCTATAGGACCATCCTCGACTTCATCATCGGATTCCATTATTCTATATAAAGAAAAGAATTGTTTCTCAGGCGCTTAAGCGGAGCGTATGCGTTTATAACCGGACAATGACAAAATGTTGACAGCTCGTTTGTTTATCAACGACCTTTATACTTGACTTTACAACCTTGCGGGGCGTGTCAACGTCATTTACAGTCGTATGCAAATTAATATCTTTCTATTTCTATATCGTCAACTGTAATTTGTTGCCATAAATATTTACCAAAGAAAAAAGTAATAGTCATTTACGAATACAAAATGACCAATTTGCCATTTCAACTATTCCTGATCAGATTATGTAAGATATATATTACTTTGCTGTGATTGAGAAAATGATAGTAAATTAAATTTAGCCACAAATGACGCATGCTTTGTACAATCCTTTTCGGGAGAATAAATGTGAAACTTGTAATAATAATAAAATATACTAATACAAACTTTGTTACTATAAAGCTCAGGAAGTTAATTCTTCAGTTACTGTTCTCTCTCGCTCGCGAATCTTACCGAATTGTCCAATGAAACATTCATTTGCTTTATTTGCATATCAGCAGGGAGTCGTGATCCATCTCTTTATATTACAATCAAAGGGGGCAATTGGATAGGGAACCAGTCAGATACTTTAGGATTTGAGCCTGCTGATTGGACAGACGTTTCCGAAAATATAATCACTTTAAGCATAGTTAAATTGTTAAATTATTGCTTGTATTACGTTTTATCACTGTTTACGTTGAATAATATATTGATATAAAGAATATCTAACAATTGTTAGATATGTTCTGCTTTGAAAAGAATTAAAATGTAATTATGAAAATATTACAATGAAAAATGATATGCAATATGACAGAAAAGTATGAATTTTTAATAAGTGGTTTGCAGGAGACAAGATATTTGATGGCGTAACGAATTGGCACTATTCTTCTCTTTTAAATACGTGCTGAGTTCGGAAATTGTTTTATTTTGACACTTATACACACGACACTTGACGCTTCACACGTGCCCTTCTTTATTTCGTTTTTCTCTGCGACCACCAAAGAGCAACATTTAGACAGGGACTAACACACTGTATTTAATTCTTTTTACACATTAATCCTAGCTCTTAATTTTAACGACCAACAATCACTTCGACGCGTGTCTGTCACGTGACGGTCGCTTTTAGGCGTCTCTTCGGCACGTGACTAGGCGAACTAAAGGCGGAATAAATAAGCAATTGCACAAGAAATATATACACCGGTATGCATATTTGATAATTTTTAATGTCTTATACGTATGTCTGAAATTTCTGGAACATGATTAATAGTCGTCAGATTCGCTCCATTTCTCTGTATAGAGCGACCGAGTGTTGCGGTGCGATAAGAATATCACTACGCTTAATCTGAAGGAAACTTTCATCGTGTTTGTTTTGTCCGCTTAGTTTGTGAAATTGAATTAGTTTCATAAATTATCCTCATTACTAAGTGAGAATTGTTATAATGGCAATAATCAAGAATTTATTAATTAACTAGTATTCTTTAATGAACAATAACTGCGTAAAAAATTCAGAGACATATTTTGATTTTTTTTTGGCTTTGGTTCAGAATTAAACATATAAATATAGAATACAAGTATAGATTATAAAGATATATTGCATCTTTTGGTCATATATGTAAACTTTTAGGTGGTGATAGCCATCCAAATCCATGAGAAAACTGCTGAACCCAAACTAGCTTTCAAATAGAGGGCCCTACCCGTCGCGGTAACTATCAGGGGAACAGCCATTGAGAGAAAGAATAGAAATGAGGGTATAGTTTCTCTCAGCTGTAAAGTATTTACAATTCCTCCGTCGCTTAGTGCGCCGTCAACAGTGTAATATCGTTGAAGCATTCTGAAACATTTTTCAAAATGAAATTAATTACAAATAGAACTAACTACATTTAAGTTGAAAATCTAACTTGTCTTTTTGCATAAAGCGATCGTGAAGCCATTCGCCCAAACCAGCATCGTCTTTTGGTATGTTTTTGGTTTCTATTCTTTCCATATGTATATGAACCTCCTTACATCTACCGTTAAGAAAATCTATCCAAGAGGTATTGTCTTATTTAGAGTAAATTGTAAAAGAGAAAAACAATACCTATTAGGCCAGGTGCCTGTTTACGTTTACCATTTTCATCAACAGAGCCTTCATAAGCTATAGTGACATTGTACATGACAGTTGAGTCGAGAGATTTAAGGCATTGTTGAACTGCCTTATACCTTGGACTTAATACGTAATCTAATTCGGGGAGTCCTTTATCGTAAAAAAAATATTCTTGTTAAACAGCAGTGTTTGTTTACTTAAGAATTAACTAATTTAAACCTTGTTCTTTAGCATACTTTCGACTCTTTTCCATTACTTGTTTTTGACTTGGATTATATCTAGTACCTTCTGGAAAGACTATCATCCAGAACTAAATATATTGAAGAGATAAGCTATTCTTAAAAAACACTGATAGTAATCGTAATTGTTAAAATTCTTACAGGTATTTTTTTATCACGAATTTCTTCTAGTTGAGTCTCAGCTTGACTTTTTTCATACTTTCCACTCCTTTTTACATAGACACACTTATGCTAATATAAAATAAATGTTTTAATTATTGACTTAATGTTGAATGATTGAAAAATAAAGCAAGAAAACTAAAGAAATTAGAGAAAAAGAAGCACCATTCGAAAATATAAGCCATATATGGGGAAATATCTAAGACTATTTTTTAAGATGTATCGAATGCGCCCAATCGTCCCCTGCCGAACAGCCAACATATCTGCCACCATCCAATCCACTACGATAGAAACATATAGAGCATTTTAGACAACCCTTAAATTAATAAAAATAATGAGGTAAAGGCTTATTTTACTTGTGCATTGGTGATTACAAATAAGTATGGTGTTTTCTTCTTGAGCGCTAATCGCTTTCGCATCTCCGTATAATACTATCTGTTTAGATTAGAAGATATAGTATATCGAGAGATAAAATTTTCAGTCTTTAGTCGTTTACCTTCGTTCCGGTGCAATGTTCGAAGAAAAATAACACCATTCTCTGATACATTGAGTATAGAACTTCATCACCGTAATGGAAAATAGAGTGTGGAAGAACCAGGGTTACTAAAGGGGAGAATATGCGATCAAAAAAAGCTTATTAAATATTTGTCCATACATTTTTGCTATTAATCTAGATTATTTAAAAAGATAATAATCAATTCAGCGAAAGTTGAAAAAAATACCGCTTTTAAACATTTATGAATGATAAATTAATAGCTTAGCGCACATATTTTTAAATTTTCTACTGAGTTTTAACGAAACACAGTTGCTTAAAATAACACATTGCCTACTACAATTGAGTTTTTTTTTTATATTGGCCTTTAGAACTATAGAAGATCGTGTAATGGACTAAAAGCAACCATAAATTTTATGAACCCATAAATCTATTAATCAACAGATTTGTTATAACAAAATTTTAAAGGAACCGTCATTATTAACAGTCAAAATAGCTTTTAAAACCAATTTGACCATTTACTTTTCTTTTGATTTTCATATATATGAATTATAAAAAGAATACATAAGTTGAATAGAAAAAAATATATCAATTGATTTACCAGCTCGCCAAGCCGACCAAACTACAAAAAAATTTGTAGACGATCCCAGAAGAAACGTAGCGGGTAGAACCCACTTTACAGACGGGAAGTGTGCAAGGAAAGTCAACATAATTGTGTTGAGATAATTTCAGGGAAAAGGACGAAATTCATAATTCGTCCTTGACACTTAACATATTGATTATATAACCTTGGTTGTCGTATAATATTTTGGGAATAATTAAATTGGAAATATTTTTGGGTTATATGAAGGGAAAAAAGCTGAAAAGAAAAGAATTTTCGTACCCGGAAGTGCCTCGTTATCGCGAATATGCAGATTAGCAAAACAATTTCAAACATGGAAGCGCACGAATTACCGGACTACATAAGGTACATTTTATTTATTTTGTTAGCTTAATTCTTTATTTTGAAATCGAAATCTTGTAACTCATCCTTTATCTATCCTGGTATAGAGTTAATGAAAAGTGTCAATTGACTTTAAGTATTTTATAAGCGTTGTTTGATTTACCTTTCCATATAAAGCGCTGCATACCAACGTTGCCATGTAGTGAAAAACTCTTAATAACAATAATTCATTTGTTATATTTCCTCTCGAGTGTCTAAATCATGAACATATTATTTTATTGCAGATTTTTTTAAGGAGAAGTAACATAATGACAAATAATCGACGCTCGATTTGATATATACTTGGAATTTAAATCAGAAAAATCGAATTTTGGTTTCTAGTCATCAGCATTAAAGTATTTAACGTGCCAACGTGAAAAATTTTATATTTGGTGCAATACAAAAAGTAGATTGAAAAATGAACCGATACCAGATTATGAAACAGTTGAGTTTGCCTTATTTCTTTAGTTCTATTTGTAAATAGTTGTACTTTCATTTACGAATTAGGCTAGGTGATGGGACCTACGGGAGCGTCCTTTCGGCCAAATCAATTGAAAGCGGAGAAACAGTTGCCATAAAGAAGTAAGTAAATATTTAGTTTTTTTAAGTACTATATCACTTCCAAGACTCTGCGTTGAAATTTAATGCCTTGTTACGACTGAGGAATTATATAAAAGTTGGTCATCGACACTGCTATTAGTTTGAAATTTATTTTTGTAGCTTTTTACTAGACCATTTAACAAATATAAAAATGTATCTGTGAACTCATAGGATGAAGAAAAAATACTACTCTTGGGATGAATGTCTAGCACTAAGGGAAGTAAAGGTAAATTGATTATTTTCTAAATATGTCAATGATTACTATGCGTATATAGATTTTTTTTTCTTCTTCGTTTACAAACGTTATTGTTAATTTAATGGTTAAATATTTTACTCTTTGTTTACTTTTTAAATAGTCTCTACGCAAATTAAGTCATGCGAATATAGTCAAATTAAAGGAGGTGATAAGAGAGCATGACTTTCTCTACTTTGTTTTCGAATTTATGAAGGAAAACCTCTATCAATTGATGAAGGATAGGTAATTTACTATTTTAAATTGAATTATTAATCATATACTTTAAAGCTAATGAAAAGAAACATAGTAAGATTTAAATTATAAATAGCTATATATTGATCATTTTATGTTCTTTGTGACTATTATTCTAATTAACATTGGTAGGTTAAATCTTTTCTTTTTCAACTTTAGGGATCGTTTATTTCCTGAATCAACTGTGCGTAATATATGCTATCAAGTATTTCAAGGCCTAGCTTTTATGCATAAGAATGGTAAGATAGATTTTATTCTAATTTCGTTTTTAATTCTTACCAATTTAAGATATCTTATTTCACTACTACATGTTATTGATACGAATTTTATGAGGCATTTCTCTATCGTAAGTTAACACACACACACACACACACACACACAAAGAAAATGTTGCAAGAATCTCCTCAAATTGACAAGATGGCGGTAATTACATCGTTAAGATATACTGATTTTAATTTAGGTAGAGAAACGCCTTGTATTGATTATGTTTCATTAAGATGGTCAAGGCTATTTAATTTTAGATCGGCGAGTCTTTCGGATGAGTGGAACGTATATTTAATCAAATATTATTTTACTCTTCCTTTGTTAATATTTCTTATACTCTTGTATAAATGAAAAGTTACTATGGAGACAAAGTAATGAAAAAGCTATATTCTTTAGGCTACTTTCATCGAGACTTGAAGCCGGAAAACTTGTTGTGTAACGGGCCTGATATGGTAAAAATAGCTGATTTTGGATTGGCGAGAGAAACAAGATCGGCACCACCTTACACTGATTACGTTTCAACGCGATGGTCAGTATTCAATGGGATTTTTTTTTAAAAAGAAAGAATTGAATGTTATTTCTATTTTATTGCTTAAAAAAAAAGCACAATCCTTTTTATCAAAATGTTGAACGATTTAGCGATTTTTTTTATTGTTTTCATTCACTTGACTCACAATATATTTTGAAAGTAAAGGATGTTAATTTTTCTCCTATTTTCAATAGGTATCGGGCTCCAGAAGTATTACTGAGGTCCACTTCATACAATTCGCCTATCGACATTTGGGCTATGGGGACCATTATGGCAGAATTATATACCCTTCGACCTCTTTATCCAGGAAATAGTGAAATAGATCAAATGTTCAAAGTTTGTTCAATTCAAGGCACCCCAACAAAGGTAGTAAGTAAAAACGATGATACGTTTCATTAATTTCAATTAATTTTATAGGAAGACTGGCCTGAAGGCTACCAATTAGCATCTGCTATGAATTACAGATGGCCACAAATGGTTGCAACAAATTTTAAGCAAATCGTACCTAGTGCAAGTAGTGAAGGTTTAGATCTCTTGAGAAGGACTTTAATGTGGGATCCCAAAAAGCGTCCTCAAGCTGTCCAGTGTTTAAGACACGGATTCTTTACTGTTGGCAATAATCTTAATAATTCTCAAAAGCTTAATAGGCCACAACAGCAGAATACGGTAACGAAGCCAATATCAGTGGTTAAAGAGCCTGCCTTACCATCTTTAGGCAATTCAAATGCTACCAGAAAACCTCTACAGGAAAAAGATCCTCTAAATATTGTTACCGCAAAAAAATCTGCTCAAAAACGAATAGGAGGAGGCATGTCTAGCGATTGGGATGACATGGATGATTTAGGATTATCTATGTCCTTACCAAGAAAGAACAGTCATATGGCAGCACCTGCACGTAGACCTAGTATAGGCTATAATAAACCGACCCCCTTAGCGGCAAAACACTTTGATGATATGGATGACTTTGAGGATATTCTCAACTCTCTCGGAAATCCAGCACCCAAGCCGCCTACTCAAACTCGTCAAGATTCTGGCCGACGACTTTCCGCCTCTCAGCGCTATCAAAAGATGGCGCGGTACAAACCAGGTATGGCTTATCTAGAATATTTCAACCCTTATTTTCCTATCACATATTGAGCATGAACAATTTGTTTTGCACATTCACTCTATCGTGCCACTCACGCAGGTCACAATCGAGTATCTAGCGGTCGTCGAAAAGATCGAGATAGTCCCTTATCAGGCCTTTTATCACCTCTGCCTGGAATCAATAACAGGGGTAACGGCCAACGGCATTCAATATTTGGTAGGTTTTATTCTAAATCACATGTTCACTTGACTTTCTCACATTTGTGAATTACGAGATAAAATTCCAGACAAAGAATGAATCATTCTTTTGTTTGACTAACAGGACCGTCGTCTTACGGAAATGCTGCTGCTAACAAAAACTCGACATATATCCCATCTTTTGCTGACAATTCGAAGGGAACAACAGGTTAGACAATGGTTTTTTTAAAAATTTCTTTTATACCATGACCCTGTACCTGGGACTAAACAGAGTAATAAAATACCGGTGTGATACAGGTTTCAGGGCCATGGGGCTTCGCCCAACACAAGCTGCAGCACCTATTTCCACGTTAAAGCAGACATCAGCTAATAAGCAGCCTGTAAACGTTGCTGGTAGAACGGATTGGACTGCAAAGTAAGCTTTATTAATGTGTATAACATCCTCAATATATTTTCTTCTCTATATCTCACATTTCGCACTTCATGGTGCAATAAATAAAAAAACAATGTATTTTTCTCCATTAACATCTAATTTACGATCATCTAATCTTGTTTTCTTTCCTCTTTTATCTTCTAGGTACCTCAAATAGAGAAATGGTACAGAATATTATATCCTTCGATTAGAAATTTATCATAACTCTGCAAATCATTGTTAAAAATATTCACTTGACAAAATATTGTCTCATCTAACTTGTAATATGAAATTAAAAGGGATGAATATGTGTGTAATAAGTCTTTTAATTATTGGTCCAAAAATAGAAAGACTTAAGCAACCGCGCGATAATTTAAAATATATTTAGTTAATGAATGAATGAACGAAAAATTTCTATTTTGTTTGCGTTTTTAAGGAGACATTTGTAAAGTTTATTTTATATTAATTTTTGATTGTTAAGGTTTTTTTCGAGACAAATAAAATTATAGCTATGTGATATTGAATATTATACAGAAGACATACTTATCTTAAGTATTATTTGCAAAAACTTTACGTATAAATCAATATTCCTTAGATCGTACGTAATTATAACTGATACTGTGTTTTGGAACACCATGCTATACTTATAACAATATCTGATGTGAATGATAGTTCGAATGTATATGATATATTTAATATTCTTTGTTTGATAAGAAATTATCCAACTTAAATAAAAAATATTCGTTTTATCATATTTATCAGGCTGTATTTACAAACAACAAAGGTAGAGCATTAACAAACATAAAAAAAATATCATATTTTACTGAATTTTTATTTTTTTTATTGAATCGTTTTCCATTTGCCTTTGTCTTTTCAACGCCGGTCGCTTCTTAAGGTTCTTTCTTAATTTTTTTGCTGCACCTATTTCCGGAACGTTAATCATCTATAAAACAAAGACAATGTGACTTTTCAAATTTCCAATAAACATCTATTACAAACCAGTTCGGCTGATTTTTGCTTGCGTTTCAATTTTTTAGCTCCCAAGATTTTAGTTGCATCAGAATATATTTGAGTATATTGTTTGCCACCGATTGCCGCCCTAATAAGAGAGCAAGTCTCCGTCGCTAAATCTTGTAATTCCTGAGTTTCTCCTGAAAAAATTCAAAAATTTAAGTTTAAATTTTATTCAGTATATTTATGAGCCGTATTATTCATTATTATTCATTCACCAGGTAAAAGCATAAATTCACATCTTATACATGTTTAATTTTCAATAAAACTACTTATTAGCTTGTAGTGAATAATTGAAAACCCAAATGCTGCAGTATTGTTTGTTAAAACAACATTTGTTTATGTTAGTCATCAAACATACCTTTATGCCCAGTGACTCTAATCAAACTCTTGATGAAGTTATTTGCATATTTGCCAGCTAGCGATTTATCTTGCCCAGCACAGATAGCCGCAAAAAATTTAAAAGCTGTTTCATGAAATCTTCTTGATTTTGAGTTAGAAACCAGTTCTATATTTAATTCTTTAACAAGTTTCTTCACAACCCATTCCTCTTTATTATCAGATTTTAGACTATTAAAGATTGATATAACATTTCGCACAATTTGGTCTAAATGCTCGTTTAGACAGTATTCAAATTCTAATTGTTTTAAATTCATCTTGCATAAATCTTTTAGTTCGTTTTCCTCCTTAATTAAACCTATTTTCGGATCGAGAATAAAGCCTAATATTTGACTTGCCAAAGTCCTAACGTGACTGTGAGGATGATTTAATAAATCTTTCACAATTGGGTACAAATTTCTTGGATATTCTTTAGATAATTTCATGAGTGAGCACTCCTTCGCCATTTGTAAAATAAACGACAAAGCAGTAATAAATAAATGGTCAATCTCTAAATCTTCCTTAATTTCTGTTTGTTCACCAAGTTTGAAAACGTCAAGGATTTGATCCAAAAGGGACGATACTCTCTTTCGAAAACTTTCCTCTTCGACAGCAAGGAGTTGAGATAAAGTCATAATAGCTAAACGAAGATTAGCAACTTTTGAGCTTTTAAACCATTTTTGTACCATTGTAACAAAGCTATCCCTGAATTTGTCATTCAACCGTTTAAATATCTTTTTAGTGACTAATGCTGCCAATTTCTTGCATTTTTCGCTCGATTCATTGATTAACCTAAATATAAAGGACAAAGCTATATTTTTCAAATTATAAAGAATATTTTAAGCATATCGTAAAAAAGTTTTTCTTACCTAGAACTAACCGATAACAAAAAATATAGAGAATTTTCTTGAATGACCTGGATCGGAAATCTTTCAAAAATTAACAGCAGCGTTTCTAACGCACTACATCTTCCGTTCTCTTCAAAATATTCTAGTTGACCAACCCAAAATTCTAAATGTTCTTTAACCTTTTTATCACCCAGTGGAAAATCAAGTGTATAATTCAATACTAAATTTCTAGCACTCTGACGAAGAAGTGGAATGTCAGATTTAATTACAGTCTCCCTTGCTTTGGAAATAATTTCCTCTAATTCAGGAAAGTCCGAACAGGTTTTAAGAAGAACAGATAACGCTTGATATATTTGAATATTCTTTCCATCATCATGGAGATTTGCATCAGCATAGACAACAAATAGTTGTAAATGTTTCGGGTTACTGATTTTTAATTCGGCATCCCGAATTAATGAGGTAAGAGCTTTAAAAGCTAATTGAAGTACTAACGATTTGCTAGATGTAAATTCTTCTAGAAGAACAAATAAAGATTTCTCAAAATGTTGCGCATTTTCTTTAATGCTTACTAGCTTCATTTTAAGGAGACGAGGCAGAAGCCTTAAAGCGGCGCATAGGTTATTATCGTCACGATCGACTTCTAATACTTGTAAAACTTTAGGGACGAAAGGGTCTAATAGTCGAACGTGGTCTAAATTATTTTCAAATTTTCTTTCTTTGAATAGTGATGATACTAGCGTAAAACAAATTTCTTGTAAAAGTGACATATTTGTCTTTACTGTTGTTTTTGGTTTCACTGCACCTCTAGAAGGTTCTAACGGAACGATGTAAGCGTCTTGCTTTTTCTCCAGATACTTTTCAATCATAGAGTCTACCTTAACTTTTGTTTTATCTTCTTCTGGTTCGATTGTCAGAGTGAAAGCAATTGTTAAAATTTCTTCCACAGAACATCTTTCATTTGCTGATATTCCTGAAGAAAAGACTTTTTAAGATATAATCTTCAAATAAGGTTGAAGTAGTACTCTTTTTTGAAAATTTTTTACAATAAAAATACAATAGAAAGAAACTTTTTGCTATACTAAAAACAAGAATACTTTTATATTTATATATATACATATATACTGTATAATACATACCCTTGCAAATTTGCAGAAAAAGCCTGCGTAATTTGTTAACGTCCTTGTGTGACGTCGTCTTGTAGAGAATTTCCTTGAAAGGATTTACAAGGTCATCGAAGGCTTTAGACTGAATGTTTTTACTTAGAAGTAAAATGATATCGTAACTTTTCACATTTTTGGCCTCGGGAACTTTAACTTCTGGCTCTTCGCCAAATAATTCTTCTTTACAAACAAACGCAATTTGTTTGACAACTGAATTATAATTTTCATTAACAGTTGGCTCCAGGGCTGATAAGATAGAAAATATAGTCAAAGATAAAACGTTTTTTTGAAATCCTCTTCTCAATGCATTTTGCAGTTCATCCATAACGTAGTGAACATAACGCAACCCGAGACTGCAAACAACTTTCACCAAAGTTTCTCTGGCACTTTGTCGTACAGTAATTGTTCTACTTCTCAAGAAGTGAATAAGTTTTAGTAAAACTATAGGCAGATGAACGTCCTTAACCTTTTGAGGTAATTTTTGTAATAGTTTAACAATGGCAAGGGCTAATGGAACTCTAAGATTTTCTTCATCTCCGCTTTTGTTGATCATAAGCTTTTCAAGCTTAGCTAAGACATTTTTTGTAAGGAAGGATGTTGCCTTCTCTGTAGCGAAATTAAATGAGTCCAGGATGCTTACAACTAATCTAACGTTGACATTTTTTAAGTCGGCTTTAAATTTTTCAATTTGTTTAATGCTGAAAATGAGTTCGTTCTGGTATGTCTTCCATTTTAAACATGATGTTAGCTTTCCATAAGATTCAATGCAAGTATCGACAAGATTACCAAACTTTGCATATTTATTGTCGATGATATAATGAGAAATCAGTGGGAGAATGTAATGTGCTACAATCTTGGATCCTATTTCGTTTTCTTTTGCATAATCAGCTATTTTCCTCATAGCTTTAGATCGCCTATACATCTGAATGTGAATAATATTTTGAAATACATCAATCTCCTCGTCATCAGATTGCAAATTCCTTAAACATGTAAATTCTCCTTCGTGGGTTTTAATTAAAGTAGAAAGTACTGTTATCCATTCGTGTCTCTTAGATTCATCCGATCTTGTCAATCCTATGGAAAATTGTATCAAGTTTTAAAAGCGTTTTCACATTAAATAATTTACTATTGTTACCTTTTTTAACTAGAGGAAGAAGATGCAAACTTATTACATTCTGATAATCTTCATTTTCATTATATATACTGGACATTTGTTTCAATGAATCTTGAATGCTTAAACAAAATCTGTCAACTAAAACAGTATCTTCTATTGTGTTTATGACATATGCAGAGTTATGAATTAAAGCCATGAATAAAGGTCTTATGCTGATGTATTCAGTAGAATTCTTAAAATTCAACTCCATTGTCTCAAGTGCTTGCAATCGTTTGTCATAATCAGGTTCTTCTAGTCTCTTTTTGTCCCAAGCATTGCAATCTCGAATAAAGGACTTAACATCGGCATTTTTAAATGATTCCTGAAGACAATCAATAAGTGAGTCTCGCTGAACTCTATCTAACCCCAGAGAGCATAATCTTAATAGATTATCCGTAAATTTTTCTGCGTCAGTTTTCTTAATTAAATGTTTTATTGAATTAAGTGCATGAACGTTTGCTGTCCTCTGTTTTAAAATTAAGGGGAGAAGTAATTTTAGAAGGCTATCTGAAATTTGTTGATCATCAACAAAAATTCCTATCTTTGATAATATGGCTAGTTCTTTTTCAAGCTGTGCAATCTGTTGAAAATACATAGATAAAATTGATTTTATTATACGAAAAAGACTAATTAGCTTACTTTGAACTTCTTTTCCATACTTTTTTGAATATATTTCAATAGTTGACTAACAAAAGGTTTAATTATTAAGAAACCATCCTCATCTTCGTCGTCAACTAAATTAAGAATTATTTCCAATATAAAATCGCTGACTTTCTTTTTTAAAGATTTGTTTGATAACAAGTTAAAAACACCCGTGATTATTGTCACGTGATCAACTTTCAGGAGTAACAAGTTCCATAGACTTTTCTTACAAGCACAAGCATAAATCAGTTTCAAAGCAGTTGAAACGTTTGTAGCTTCGTTTTCTAAACCTTCAATAGAGTTTTTAAGTGCATTAGTGAATAAAATTTCCCTCTTATTTTCTGATATTGTTTCCATTTCGGATTGAAACATTCGTATTATTACTTTCAAACATAGACCTTTGAGATGCTTTAAAGATTTTACAGATCTCTCTTTGAGATCTTCTTTTTTTTCATTTAAGACTCTGCATTGTTCTAAAATAATAAGAAGAATCCCGATCATAACATCGGAATTTTCCATGACGCTCTTCTCCAGCTTGCTGATAATTAAATGTAAGGTATTTCCAACAGCAAGTTGCACTTGCAGATTGACTACTTTTTCTGGTGTTATATTTATCGCAACCTCTTTCAAGATCTTCTCAGGATTTATCTTGGTTGTATAGATCTGATAATATTCCAATAGTAACAAGAAGAAACTCTTGAATTCTGGAGCATTAGCTAAGAATCTAATAATTGTTGAACGTTTTGATATTGAAGCTAAATGACCTCCGCGATCTCTACCATACTTTTGTAATAATTTCCCATATAAAAGCCTATGTAGAACATTCCATAACTTTTCTTTATGACTTTCATCAACACGATTCTCGCTTAATTCAGCCATTGCCAATTTCATTTTATGATCATTCAACAAATTGACCAAATGTTCTTTATAACTGGTCAAAAATGGCTGATTATATGCAAATAAACAATTTAAGGAAGACGACTGAATGCCAGTGTCCCGATTTTGTAAAAAATTTAAGTATAAAGATCGTAAACGTTCGTGAGCCTGCAATTTTCCAGGATTTCGGAGTTTCGAAAAAAAATTTAAATGTGTTCTCAATGCAAATCTGGTTTTTTTCTTGTCAATTTTAGAGGCATTTCTACCGCTTGGTTCACTTGATTGTAAAATATTTTCAAACTTCTTATTAACTGGAAAAACTTTTTCATATTCATTTCTGAAATTCAAAATAGAAAATATTTGTTGTAAATACGAAATGTATTTGCTATTTCTTCACTTACTCGATAAAACGAAATAATAAGTCTGATATTTGATCTCCAAACTCTTCCATGATACCAATAAACTTATTCATGCCTTTCCACAATAAGTTTCTTACATTGTCATGATCAGCTTTATATTCTGGCTTTATTGAAATCATATCCAATGCTGATGATAAAGGCTTATCAACGAAATCTTCTTCAGCCACCTCTAAATCTTCCTCTACAAGTATGCTTTATTATATTATAATTTTTTCCAATTGAAAGCTAGACTTACCGCAGAATGAGGCTACTCTATTCAAATGTTTTTTCCAAACAACGAAGAATGTCTCTTTATTAATCGCTTTAGCATAATTAGCTAAAATTTCTATTGTCGGTTCCCAACAAAGCATTAGATTAACATAACAATGGCCTACAAGATAATCTACAATGATAAGTTGATCATTCTCCTTTTCTGCTTGTATTTCTTCAAGAATATCCAATTTTTGTAATATTCTTAACCGTTCCCTATACTGATGAACATTAGCTGGCGTTTCTTCAACTTTTACGCAAAATTCCATTTGTTTGCGCAAGTTTGAGGATAGAATTGAAAGAGAATGGGCAGCTAATTTACGCTTATGAGCTGAAGGAGAACATAGCAACTCCCTTAATTTACTAATCAAATGTTCCCTAAATTTCAGACTTTCAACTTCATTCGGATTCAGCGAGACGCACAAATTAAGGGCTGTAAGGTTATAGATGTCATTGCAGTCCTCGGTGCAAATATCTAAAATTTCTTTCCAAGACAGCTTCTTCTCCATAAGCGCAAAGCATGTTACTATTCCTAAAATTAAACGACTGTTGTTTTTGTGTTGAGCCAAGAGGCGTTTTGGATCAAATACCAAATTCTGATTTTTTTTAGAATGTGGTAAAAGATATAACGCTATTAACACTTTGTCTACATCTTTAGCCGATATCCACTCTTTTAGGACTTGCTCAATATTATCATCATTAATATTGTACGATTTCCAAGACCTTAAAGTAATAATGAACTTTTGCAATTCTTCAATATGTGATTGTTAACGAAAATATTCTAATAATAAAATACTTTCTATTTCCATTGCTTATTGTAAACAACAGTTTAGTTTATAAATATCTGCTATCAATTTAAGAATTATTATTCTTAAGTTCATTATTACTTTAAACTAGGGCCAAAAATTGGATTTGGTGATTTGGAATGAATGAGTTGTAAAATTAAGCTGATAACTTCTTCTTGATTTGATTTAACATTCTTTCCCAGATAAGATATAAATATTGGTTTAAAATAGCTGTCAAAGTCTTTGTTTTCTGATAATTTCATTGTAAAGGATGATACTTCACTAGTGTTGAAATTTGAATTCGCCACCGCTTTACACAACTCCAATTTTTTTTGAAAAGTTACAGATTGGGACGAGAGTAACAATTCAATAAGGTCCAAGTTTGGATATTGTAAACAATTCTCTAGAAGACTTGGAACATTTTCTTCAGTTAAGAGTTGTAAATTTGCGTTTAGGACAGTGAGGCAGAGGTTAGGCGAAAAGTTTATCAGAATGGGTTGCCAAATTTGAGTAGCATATTGTAGATGAGTGTATTCTGCAAGTTTTTTCCAAACTTCTGGACAGACTTCAGGAAGAGTTTTAATGATCTCTTGCAATGTTTTTCCACATTTTGAGTGTAAATGACCTGAAGTAGCTATGACGCTTTCAAATAAAAGTGAACCAATTGCTTCGCGAGATGAATTTTTGTTCTTAATGGTTTCTTTAAAAATTTCTAACATTTCTGTAAGATTAGAGCATTTCCTAAGCAAAAAAGCGAAAGTTTTCGCAGCAAATTCAACAATATAATTTCTCCTTGATGAAAGAAGAGGACAAAAAAGGTTGAAAATATTAATCATATCAGTTACCATTCGTCTCCATAATATTCTGAACAAATGTCCTAAACATGAAAAAGACCATTTCAAAGCATCGATATCATGATGTCTCTCATCTAGTATTTTGACAATAGCTCTAAAAACTTTGGGCCAAAATGGATAAAAATCTAAGAGAACATCTTCAGCTAAGGCAACAGCCAGTTCCAAGATAGCCTGTAATGCATTAGAATCCTCTATCTCCAAGTGTTTTAGAATTATATCTTGTAGTTTCTCCTTATTGTGAACAACTTGTACCGTAGTTCTAACCTCAAATGAAATATCACTTCGTAGATTAACTGCAAATAGAATATGTCCAATATAGTATAAAGCGATTACTTCTCGAATATCACATTAGATCTTTCTTGATCAAAGAAAAGTAACTCACCGAAATGTTCAGTGCAATTTAAATCTGTCCATTTATCTAAAGAATCGGCGACATGTGTCAGTCCTGAATCGCTTTCATATCTTTTAATATGTCGATGAACATCAATATTTATATCATCTAATTTTTCGGTAAATGATTGAAACTAAGTAGGGCGATATTATAGAAAAAATTTATAAGATCAGTTTCTTCACAGTTACAAAAAAAAAAGATTAACTTACAACAAAGGTATTGGCCCTTAAAGTCCGTTTAGTTTTCTTTTTTCCTTTAATCGGCATTTTGCACTTTATTTAACAATCCACTTCATTTAAATCCAAGCTGCACGTGTTTACAGCGTACTCGAGGTCTCACTAAATAACACAAAGCTTGACAACTTCAAAGCACGAGCTACACAAGAGTTGAGCAGAAACACACTTTCAGCAGTTCACTTTAGACATACCCATCTGGAATCTTTCACCTATTTTCCCACATATGAAGAAAAAGATATGTCTGCGTCTAGACTGTCGCAAGAAAAAGGTTCTATGTTTCAAGAACCTGAAGGAAAATTGACATATGAAGAATGGGAATTAACGTGCTCAATTTGCCTAGAAACAATGACTCTTCCTTCATTTGGGAAATGTGCACATTCTTTCTGTTTTCAATGCATAAGCCAGCATGTACAAATATCGAGATCATGTCCAATCTGTTACGATTATTTACATGAGGACCTAATATTCTTTAATAAGAATTTAGAATATTTCATAAGTGAAAAAAAATTGAAAGAAAGTTGTGCTAATACAAAAGGATTGGGCAACATTTTAAATCATAATCGTAGAGAAAAGGATTTGAAGAAAGCAGAGTCAATGAGTGGGGTGGCTGCAAGATTAGTATTAAAGAGACTAGCAGACAGATTAAACAAAGTCGATAAGGATATAAAGATTGTTGAAGAGGTAAAAGAGAGAATAACAACTCAGTATTGTCCTACACCAAATAAACGTCCAAAAAGAGTAGCAAAAGAAACTAAAGTAGAAAATACAAGTCTTAAAAATTCTCAAGAATCTAGTCAATCATGTTCTCTCAATTTGACGCAGCTATCAGCTTCATTTAAAACTGCTCAGTTAAAAGTTGAAGAAGATAGACCTCCGAAAGTTCACCAAGAAAAGCCAGTAGAATCTCTTAGATTAAAGGTAAATTTTTTAGAGTAAAATTATGATATGGTCAACAACATAAAGTGTAAATTACATAATTTTATTTTAAATTTTTTTATAGGAAACAGTTAGGGAAGTCGTGAAAATCGGATCTGTTCATACAAAGCATATAAGTGAAATTAAGAAACACACCATTCAAAGTTATAATTCTTTTGGGCCTGAATATGCTGCAAAATATGTAACTGAACTTCATAACTCTATTACAAAATACGATCTAATTAAATGCGTTCGGGGCTTTCACATTGATAAAGAATTAATTCCTAATATACCTATAATACCTTCTTTAGATGTTGATAAAGACAATGTACTTCTTTGTGCGGCTGATACAGCAAAGAACATAAATGTCTACTTTATTCCTGATTTAATATCAAATAGAACTACCAACGAGATTAGTCCTGCCTATATTCTTAAAGGCACTTGTAATTTCTCTTCGTTATCTTGGCAATATTTTCGATCAGTTCTGGTTTCAGGAGATAGAGATGGTTGTGTAGCGAGTTGGGATATCAACCGTCAAAGCACTATAAACAAATATCAAGAGCACCATGGAAGATGTTGGTCAGTTTGCTGTTCTAGTTTCTATAAAAATGTTTCTTTAACTGGAGGAGATGATGGACAGTTAAAAATTTGGGATTTTACAATGAACTATTCAGCTAGTACAATATCGGTGCCAAGTAAAGTTTTGAGTGTGAAGTTAAATCCATCTAAAGCCTGCGAAGCCTTAGTTGGACTAGCGAATAATAAACTATTGTTTTATGATCTTAGAAAATTTAGTTATCCTTTGCTGGAAATTAAAGCTCATGAAAAAGCAGTTAGTTCTGCAAAATATTTAAATGAATTTGAAGTTGTTACATCGTCAAATGACGCTTCAATGAAACTTTGGGATATTTCAAATTTGAATAAAGATCTACAGCCAATAAGAACCTTTTCTAAGCGAAGTAGCAAAAAAGAAATGTGTTTCACTGGTCTCTGTTGCAACAAAGATATGATTGCATGTGGTACTGAACAAAACACTGTGCAAGTTTACCATAAAAGTCTCTCAGACGTATGGCTGGTCTATAAATACGTTGGTGATTGTAACATTGAACATCCTTTGACTATTTGTTCGGTCACATGGGATACTAAAAATGATATTTTATTTTCGGCAGATCATATGTCATTTTTGAAAGTTTTACAACTACACGAAACTTGTTATGATGATTCTTAAAAAGCCTATAAATTTATATTTTTTTGCCATTTATTATAAAAATTGTTTATTAAAAAATGAAAATAAATTTGATAATCCATTTATCTGTGTCAATTCTGTAATTGCTCTTAAAAATCTGCTGAAGTAGTTTTCTAAAACTATTGATCCTCCATTTAAATAATTTCATAATAACGATTATCTCACTACATATGGGAATCTATAGAAGAACAGTATAAAAGACAATTGTCAGAAGTTAAGTTGTTGAGCTAGTTCTCGAATCCAAATTAAAATCTGATGTTAAAGCGACTATAGATTTAATATATTTCTTACTAAATTCGTATATTGCTAAGTAGTTTGCTGGAGACTTGATGTGTAAAAAGAAATAAAGGTATATGTGTTTATGCAATTGAAATCTATCTTACTTTAACAATAGGATAAGACGCGACAACTAATGATGATGCATTGAAAAAGCGTACGACATGAAATATATCAATCCATTCTTCAATCAAGGCCATCTCCATCATATAATACAAAGCTACAACTGAAAAAGCTGTCGATTTTCTATCATTTGTGTGTAATAGTATTCTATTAGCAGGTGCAAAACGCGAGTGATGTATCATTAACTGAAAGTAATAAAAACAACCATAACTAAATGTTGGCAAATCGAAATGATTGAATAAACAAACATGCTGCAAAATAGCTACTGATTCGTCGTTGTTAAACAAAGAACTATCCTTGGGCCAATCAATTGTATGAAATATATACATCTTACGAGTTTTTGCTTTCCTTGTTGATTTTTGCAAATTGAATTTTGTAATGGATATTTGTCTATTGAGAATTATCAATAATTGTATAATATATATTATAATTTATGAAGGTACATATATATTACCTTAAAGCAACTCTATTCCCTAATTTCGTATAATCTATAAATACAATTTTAAATTCTCCGTAAGTTACTTGTTTATTTTCCTGAGGCCAATAGTTACACAAAGTACCAGAAGTCGTTTTGTCTAAATTTATTATCGTTGAAACGTTTGACTGATAACGAGATTTGTAATTAAACTTTGAAAATTTTTGTTTACTAGTAGAATCAACTTACGTCGAAGATAACACTCCAAAAGTATGCTATTTGTATTGTTGTGGTAGGTGTGTTAATTATTAAAAATCTATTTTTCATTGAGTAAGAATCTAAGTCAAAATAGTTTAGTATTCCCGTGTTTTGTCTGGGTGAACAGTTCTCAGGGAGTAATGCAGACAAAGAATAATATTCTTCATGCAATTGCTGATAACTATTCGACAATTGTAATTCTGAATCTATTCTTATAACATGATCAGTCAGACTGACCCTTTCAATAACAAACCAATAAATAAAACCCATTTGATTGCCATTCCCTATAATATTAACTCTTTCAACACTTAGATGAGAGCATATTTTAAGGATATCAACTTTCTTAGAAATCTTTGCTTGAAAAAAACTCAGACGACATGCAATGTATAAACCACACCTACTCCCTCCCTCTTTATCTTGTATAATTGAAGTATCGTTCGGTTGTGTAGTGTCATCTATTACCCTTGTAAATGAAATAAAGGAGAGCATATCACTAGGTTTATTATCCATTGTCCAGCTTGCATATTGATATTGTGTTATCTTTCTTGATTCACATCCGTTAGTAAGCTATCAAAATTTCATCGAATATTATAGTAAATGCTTTAGATAAACTATTATTCAATTACTCGGAATTCTCTAACAGTAAAGAAGTTTCGTCTTATCTCTCGTTTTAGAGTGACTTTTAAATCTTTGAATATCATATAGCCCCCGTCAATCGGCCAATATCTATCAAAATCACAAAACTCCTCGTCCATTGCCATGAGAAGAATTATCTGTTTAAATATGGCAAAGGTTTTGAATTATGAAAGACTGATTGTAAAATATTATTTACATTTTTGGTTTTACTCGACCAAACTAGGAGCCAAAAATCAGTAATGGTATTTTTTAAGGGATATTGAGTAGCAATCATTGCTTTATCAAAGGGCTTTAGCGATTCGATCCCTTCCGGAGCTGATATAATACTAGCATTTATATAATATTCTTTACTTGTTTCTAAAGAATCAGTTGGCTGAAATGATTAGGTTTTCAAACAGTTTTAAAGGAAAAAGACTCTTAAACCTATATAAATTTTACTAGATAACGATTATCATCAAATGGAACAGACATTCTCGACTGGTTGAGATCCAAATTTGATGATAAACGACCAGCCGTGAACTGGATATGTTCAGTCGTTATCGTTGGCAATCGAAAATAATCGGAAAGTATTTTTCCGTTCCTTTCTATCTTATAAAAGTCTTTTAACGAGTACACTTGAAGGCGCCTTGAAGGTAATCTAAAAATGGGACGAGTCCCTGGACCAGCTCTAGGCTTATGATACCAGATAGTTGAGAGTGGAGTCTTTAAATAGTTTGTTATAGTCTTTTCCAAACTTTGTTCACCGTCCAAGGTCATTTTGGAAAAGAGTCTTTGAAATTTCCTAGTATACGATTTCATTATGAACTTTATAAAAAGAGATATAAACAGAATGGCTATAATAACAGATAAACAAATTCCAACAATATATCCAGCTGTCGATCCAGAGTTGCTCAATGATAACTTTGGTATTATATCTTTTATAGTGATAGTATCTAATTCATAAGCCTTTCTTACAATTGCAACCCAAATTGTATAAGGATAATCTTTGGAAAGTGGAGGATCGTAGTAATATTTATTTGAAATATTACGGCCAATATGAAAAGTTAAATTATTCATAGATTGTTTAAGCTTCAATTCAAATACAACATAAGGTTTTATTGGATTAGCTGGATCATATCCTCTCAATTTCCGATAAATAAAGCTTGGAATTTTTGAATTATTACCAGATACTATGATTTTAGTACGATCAGCAATAGAATTTTGCCTAGTATACGTGCTATCATATAGGTCAGTTTGCTTTTTATTCTTCTTTGAAGAAGTAAATGGTTCTACAACTATGAAGAGCCTTGAACTTATTATATCGTCATTTATTTTTATGTTACGTATAGAAAACTTTATTGAATTATCTTTTAAAATTCGAAAATCATCCGCTGCGGATGGTACAGGAAATGGAAGAGCTGCAGTTCGAAATTCAATAGTTCTCGGTTCATTGACTATTGGAGATATAAAATCAATTTTTACAGAAGCTGAATATCTACATGCGGGAAACAGCTTGATAAATGTTGTATTGAGTTTAGATGTTTTTTCACTTCTATCCAAATCAGATATATCATATTTTTTTATTAAACATTCAATTAATAGAACAGAGACTTCATAAATCATTTTTTCTGAAGTAGGTAAATAAGGTAATTTCCAAGAAATTGAAGCAGAATTATAAGATACGTTAATAATATTTATTTGATGTATTTTAGGAGATTTAATAAATATATCTAAAAGTTTTGTCCATGAAGAATCAAATTGACTCATTTCCAATATAATCTAATATATTTTCAAAAGGAAAAGAGAAATAATTGTAAATTATGTAATCTAATTGAACTATGCTTTATTTCATTTTTATTCCATACTCTTTGATCAAATAACATCTTATGAACAATAAAGCTCTTGGATTTTATTGCAACGTCCGAAAATGTCTGCGATACGCATGGTCTGTTGCAGTTTATCCTTAAGTTAATTAATGGACTTGTACAATTCTTTATCTAATTAATAAATATATGAAAATTACGAAAATACACAATTACTTTTAGCTTCATTAATTATATACATACTATCCATCTAAACTGCAATGAAAAGAATCCAGATTTTTGTACTTGCTTCACATGATATGAAACATTTTTTGGAAGGTCATAATCTAATTAAAAGAAATATTACTTAGAAGAAATTCACTAATGGAATTGATTAACTTGCTACTGCAATCTTGTTTGTTTTCATTAAAGAAGTTTTTCCTTCTTTCTTGCAGTTGAGGTGTTATAGATCTTGATGGTTTACTTGCCATTGATACATACAATTTGTTGGTTGTTTTGTCTAAATAGACAATTTTAACTCGAAATCTTTAAAGGGATATATTACTACCTTTGTTTTTAGGATATCGTTTCTACTACCTATATTGAACATCTGGCCTTGAAATATAAGATATTCTATAAGGAGCATTTGGATAATGTCTCATTCGGGAATATTCTTGCCAGGATTTCCCATTAATTTCCTATTGTTATATTATGTAGTACATACAAATTTGTTTTTGTCTATAGTATATATGATTCATAAAGTTTTACCACTTCTAAGATATATTCTTCTATAGTAAAACCGTTCGCTACTTTTGATAATCCATCAAATGAGACATCTAACAGAGTTGACCTAATAGTTACCACTTTAGGGAAAATGTCTGATACCGGTTTATCTATACAAAATTAGTTTATTAATCGAAGGTTGTGACTACTGTATATGTCTTTCTTTACTTAAATAAGTCATTATCTTTGTGAAGTTATTTGGAGAACCATTAGCCAAGCCTATAAATATAACAAGAATATTCTTTTATCTTTTCTACCTTAAGCTATACATTGTTTTTTCATAAAATATAAATGTATAGAACTTACTTAAAAATTCATTAATCAATATGAATTTTAATATTAAATACATCATGCTATAAGCTTTTAAGAATTTAAATTGAATATCACGTCATCTAGTGTTCAACATAAATAAAAGAATATAAAATTAAGAAGAAATCTAGCTATCTAAATTATTCAAGTAGCAGATTATTTGTACGATTTTAAGAGTTCTCAAGAATAAAAAATCGATTACTTTAATTAAGTATCAGAAAGTATTGGTATCATGATTTAAATATACAAAGAAAATTACCATTATGTATATTGATTAGATAAAAACATGAAGATATATTTAATATGGTGTATTAAATAACATTAGAATTTATTAATAAGGGAAATAAGTTATAGTGAATTTTGCTTTAGTTATGTGTTAAATATATATATAATTTATATTAATAGTTTAATCAAGATATACCCAGTTTCCAGTCATATTGGTACACATGTGATAAAATACAAACAGGACTTAGGAGGCGGAATTATAATTTATTATGAGCGTACTATAGGTGCTATCAATGCCAATAACAAAGCCATTACAAATAAACCATAAAAGAATAAAATATAAGTGGCAGAACTTCCAATCTGATAAACAGTGGCAAAAAGAAACATTTTATATTCTTTTAGTTACTATAATAATCTTATAATATTCTATTTTAACTTTCCTATTTAAATAGTTTAATGTTCGTACCTTATAATTTCTTGATTTATTTACTGTTTCTTCGTTTTCATTGTCAAATTGAACGTGAGGAATTGAAGCTAGTTTTTATTTTTTTTCAAGTGTTAATTCTTCTATTTAAAGTAATTTTATTTTAATTATAAAACTTACTCCTTTCGGCTCTTATTTTTATAAATAATAAGGTTATTTCTGTAAGAATGTGAAATATTGCATAAGTTACTATAATCCATCTATTCCATTCCGGCATATATGATTTTGGTGAATAAGTCATGATAAATGCATTAGAGACTGTTTGAGAAAATAAACATTTATATTTACAACTGTTACTCTGCATTATTTTTTATTCATGTAAGATAAAAGTTTACCTGCTCCTAAATGACATATAATACCAATCGGCCTATGTATATTGTTAAAAATTATCCTTCTCTTGTGCATAGGAGGCGGTCGAAACACAGCTATTATAGGCTGAAAAATCTTAATAATAAGTAATCAGGTGATTTTCTGATATGTAACGATTACGTTTAAAATACTTAGGCATGTTACAATTATTCCAATTATAGGGTGAGCAACTGCAACCCCTGATAAATCTTTTGAATACCCCTTAACTTTAATGAATATTAGTATAAAAGCAATACAGCCCAGTATCGTTGCTGTTATCATTAAAGCTCGATGGACCTAAAAGGTTAAAGTACTCAAAGTTAGTACATCGACAACCACTGACTAATATATATATAGATATATATATATATATATATATATATATTTATACCAGAAACCAGGTATGCGTTGATCGGAATTGTCCAAAGAAAGATTTGCAATATCTTGCAACAAGCATTCCCGAACTTCCGAGCAAGAGCCACGCAATTAGCATAAATGATCCATGTAAAAGTACAAGAGTATCTTTTTTTAGTCCAGTTATATCAACAAAAGTCAATAGATTCATTTTTTCTGGTGACATAAAAGGAGATACTGTGTGCTTATGCTTTACTCCTTTTTTCGTTGTAGGACCTCTAGCCAGAAGCAAGTAATATTTACTCTTAAAATTTGGAGTATATTTAGCTCCTGTCGTTGTTACGTGCATACTAAAAGTACATTGAATAAAACCATCACTATAATTTGCTTGAAACGGTTGCGATAGATCCATTCCTGCATATTTATCTTTCAAAACTCTATTACCAGTTCTCCGTCCACCTGAATTTAAATAATTCCAGGATCTTTGAATTAAGGCGTTGCTTGATGATTGATTATAAAGACAATCTACTACGTAATTATCTCCCTGAAAATATTATTAAACACTCTTAAACATACTACTAAAGCTATTGGCTAAGGTGCAAACCATTTGAGCTTCGTCAGAGAATCCAACAGATGTCCAATGAATACCTGACAAGGCTTGTGATTGCATTTCAAATAAAATAGTATCTGTAGCTTTATGCCATCTAAAAGTAATTAGAGATAGGCAGTTCCTTCCATTGCAATTAGGTGGCATTCTGTAGCAACCTTTAATTGAGCCACATCCTTTTGTACTAATAGAAACAAAACTACCACCTATAAATTCCAAATAAGGAAGAATTAGAACCAAAACAAAAAGAATTCTTCCCCTTTCTTTCATAATCCTTTATTAACTGTATAATTTCTGATTGCACTAATACTACTGTAATACGAACCGCCCATTAATTTCAGATAACTCAACTGCAGGCTGATTTTTTTGTCCTAATTGAGGAAAATTTCTCCGTTTACGTAATAAAGATAATACTAATAAAATGAATAAAAATCTATTGCATCAATTTAGCTAGAGACGTTCTCTTATCACTAGATGAGTAACATTCAACTGAGAATTAGACCATCCCTCACGCCTAATAAATCATGAAGCCTCTTGTAGGCTGAAATAGTTTACTTAATAGCAAGATGCTTTGATAAGATTTTTTTATCTCTCGAGTTTAAAAATATAGTCGTTTAATAGTGACAATGGCGTTTGATATTTAATCTTTTGCCTAATTTGCATATAGCTACTCAGAAATACGCACTATTCGTTGATAATTTAATTTCTACTTCTAAATTATGTCAAGTGATATCAATTCATCCGTAATCTTAATATGTACATTACAGGTTAAGTTGAACAAGTAGATCGTTAAGATAGCGACCATTTATTTAGGACTAAGTGAAACTCTTATCGTCCACGAACCTCAGTCAGCATAGAGCAATCTTGCCGGGACTTCTACAAAAAAAAAAGAAAAAAAAGTCAAAGAAACCACTGTAGAAGGAAAAACAACTCTCATGGATAAATTTCTCAAGCTGATCGCTCTCATCAGTTGCTTTTTGCATACAGATAGCACAAGCAGGGGAGGTATTTCTTTTAATTCCTTAAATAATTTACTTTTCAACTTTTTTGTCTACTTTGCATTTAGCTCCGGAAACAGCTTGTGACGATATGATTCCACAGCATGTCGTACCACCTCAGACAAGCCCGTTTCCAATGGAATTAACACTCTCTTCGTATATATACAATGAAGGAACAACTATAGACAGTGAGCTATCTCCCCGCCAACTTCTGACAAAGAGTTATTAACAAAGAATTCTGTTTATTTCTATTACAGTTACCTTAAAACACAAGAATAATACACCAATTGCTGGAGTTTTTGCACAAATGAGAAGAGCCAATAGCCCAAATACAACACTTTATGGATCATTTGAAGGAGACAATGACAATTTCAGGACAGCTTGCAATGAAAGTCGGGCGATTACTCATAGCAAGAGGCTAATCAGTTTAAACGAAATTAAATTTACATGGAAACCCCCTCAAGATAATGCTGATTCTGGTCCTTTGCAACTTTGGATTTCAATTGTTCAAGACTTTACAACATTCTGGGTTCAACAGAAATCAAACGTGATAAACTATGTAAGCTTGTCTTTTCGAAACAAAACTATCTTTTATTATAATCAATGAAAATTTTATTAGAGTAATGCTTTACCACCAACGCAAGAGATAAGTCTAGCTGACTGTAGCACGACAAAAGACTGTTTTAAAGTACCCGAAAATTGTGGTAAAGAAGCAGATTGTGATTACTTGTTAACTTGGAGACCTGACAATCAGAGAGGACTTATTAATTTTGAGATAAGTGCAAAAATACCTACAGATCAGTTTTGGACAGCAGTAGGATTTTCCAAAGATCTCGATATGGTAATTTTAATTTAAAGATAATAAAAAAAGTATTCAAACTCTTTAATTATTATTAAATCACTTAAAAAGGGAGAAGATTCCGTTATTGATTGTTTGGTTAATGCCTCTACAAGTCTAGTTGAAGTTCAGGCGTCCTGGAACGAAGGGAGAACTAATGAAGTCCTTAATAATAAGGTGCTTTCGTACATTCAAACTCTAGAAAGATAATATTTTTTGACTGATAATAAACAACAGCTTTTAGGATTAATCCCAGATTCGATATCAGGGGCTAGGGTCAACGATCGACTTCGATGCCGTTTTCAGAGACAAATCACGATTGCCAGATCAGACACCAATAAGATATACGATTTGAATACTGAATATTACGTCTTCCTTGGAAAAGGCATAGTTTTGCAAGATAGTACTAAAATGCAACATTCACAAATTCCTGAAAAGTCAGCTTCAAAGCTATTAATGACAACTATAAGAAATGGAACAACAAGACCAGTAATTATTACTTTTTAACTAATGAAGTATATCGGGCTACAAGACTTTAAATTAACTAAAAAACATAATTTGTAAAAAAGACTTGGCATATCTTCATAAAGAGTGCAACCAAATTTTATAATAGTGTTGATATTGTATTGTTTTATTTACAAATGTATAACAAGTTACTATAGATATTATCTTATTTTTTACTCACTAGACCTCTGACCCAAGCCAAGGAATCGATACTCGTCGCTGTGGGTCAGAAAAAGGTTGCTACCGTTATCCCGAAGGGTGTGAGGAGAGTGTTTGTCACTATTTGCTAACATGGAAACCTAGTGATAACAAGGAAAAGATCGAATTTGAGATAAGCGCTGACGATAGCGATTCTAAAACAGATTGGACAAGTGTTGCCTTTTCAGAAGATACTATTATGGTTTATACGCAAATAATTATATACTTAACGAATTTATAGAATTCGTTTTCTTCATAGGGAGATGACAGTGTCATTGATTGCCTCTATAATTCGGATGATGTTTCTATAAACATTCAAGCATCGTGGAATCGTAGAGTTAAAGATAATGAAGTTTTAAATAACAAGGTCTTTTTAAAATATATTACAAAGTTTTTATTAATACATTATAACAAATATCTCTATTCGTTAATAGCTTCTAGGATTGGACCAAGATACTTTTTTTGGATCAAGAGTTAATGGTCGCTTAAGGTGTAGATTCACAAGATCTGTTAAAGTAGCTAATGATGATCCTGAAGCAAGCAGGGTTTTCGACCTTTCAGAGCAGTATTACGTATTTATAGGAAAGGGTTCCGCCGTTCGAGGCATAAAGATGAAACACACTTCAATTCCAGTAATATCTCCAAGGAAAGTTCCTCTAACTGAAATTGGCGATGTCTCTGGATTAGCTAAATTTCCTTTGGTCAAAGCCCATGGCATTTTGATGATTGTTGCTTGGTCATTTTTCGCTAATATAGGATTGCTCTTGCCAAGATATTTTAAATTATGCTGGAATAAATATCAATTGTTCAACGAAAAGATCTGGTTTCAAATTCATAGAATGTGTATGATAACTGTAGTTTTGTGCACTATAACTGCATTTATTGTTATTTTCGTAGAAGTTAAAGGTTTTAGTCAAGGTTCTAAACCTATTATTCATGCCATAATAGGAATCATTGTAACAGTTCTATGTGTTTTAAATCCTATAATGGCCGTATTTCGTCCACCTCCTAAACATCCAAAACGGCCAATATTTAATTGGCTACACTTTTTAGCCGGACAAATTGCTCATATTCTTACAGTACCAATGATATACTTAGCATTCCCATTCGGAAAAGTCTATGCTCCTTCATGGCTAAAATGGGTCTATACAGCAATAATAATTCAACACATTTTCGTTGAAGTTCTTTTATTTCTATACAAATACGTGAAAATTTCCCCAAATTCAGGTAAGATAATCATACATATTACATATAAATGTACTTATTAAGCTGTAATTTTCTTCCTGAATAGTAAATCCATTGAATGGTAAAGATTCTGACAATCAAGTAGTTGCCGAAGAGGAAACTAAAGTATTTACTCTTTTTCTATTCAATTTATAACCTACTTAATAATCATTTTTTTCTCAACAATTACAGCCTGACAACGTTCCCACTGCAATCATCATGACCTATTTTTTTATTTTACTTGCCCTAGTAACAACGATTGTTATCACCTTAGGAAGAGCATAGAAAATCTTTAATTATATGCATATGGACGTATATATTAGTATATACAGTATAAATTTATATATATATATATATATATATATATATATATATATATACATATTTATATAAATATACGTTCGTTGCTAGATGATTATACAGTTTATTGATTAGGTTACTTGTGTATTTTATACAAATTTATGTACTTTATTGTATTTTTTACAGAACAATATAAAAAATTTATTCTACGTTGAAGATAACCACTTGAACAATTATTAAATCCATTTCTTTGCTTTCCTCCTTGTTTATTAAGATAATAAGAGGTAATGCAAGACAGTATATATATATATATATATAGATATATACAGTATATACTGTTATACGTATATATAATACATATATAATTATTAAGGTAACGATATTTATAAAGTAAAAAGATAATGCTAAATTGGCACATCGCCATCTGGTGTTCTCGACTTGTAAAATAATACAAATACATCCATCAATTCCATTGTAGAATGTCTATTGAAGAACACCTGTAAGTACATCAACTTTTTTACTCAATCTACTAAAATAAATATATAAATTTAAGGTAATGAGGTCTTTTATGTATAATACATCACGAAGAATTTATAGAAATTGAGATGTTCAATCGAGACTCTCACCTTGAAATAACATATTCGATTATTATTTATATAAGTATATTATAATGTTTAATTGATAAAACTAACTAAAGAAAATGAAATTTGAATAATAACAACCATTACGCTTTTATTAGATTATATAACTACACAGTTCCGTAAGTCGGAGAGCTTATTCAATGAAATATTTAAGCGTAATTCCGTTTGTTATAAATGCTGCATGAATTATTAATTATCGAGTTAAAAATTGATTTGCAAAAGTACCCTCCCACCTTTAAAATAATATAGTGAAATTATGCAAGTTGTGGTTATTTATAATACATAAAAATTCGTAAGAAAATAAAAGGTTATTTTATACTAGCCAAGATTACTAATAATTTTTCATTAATATTTAAAAGAAAGCATAATTAGTCGTTAGAAAAATTTAATTATGTTTTTGCCGTGAACTCTACCTTTGTGTTATTAGTTTTACAATGTTTAATACATTTGAAAGGTAAGTCTAGGATAACATTGATGCGTTGTTGCTATGGATGCAGAGCAAACGAGACAAAGTAGAAAACCAGAGTTTGCCTAAGATATTGAACGTTTTATATGCAGCGCCACGTTCACTTTTCTATTCATACATCATTATTACAAATATTGTACATTTAAATGTGTTAAAAGTCTCATATGGCAATTAAAGGGGTCAAATGACGTTTTGAAAGAATATGAAAAGCGACTGCGTTTCATATGGAAGACGAAATCGATCGTGAGCCAGTGAAACTAACCGATAAGGCGTCGTTTCGCGACGAATCGGAATCAATCAGAAGGGCTTTGGAAGAGACTAGGAGACGACACACAAAATCTTTACCGTCCGCTAGCGGAAAATCAAAACCAGGACAACTGCAGCAACTACCTGTAACTCCCCATTTACAACCAGAAATGCACAGCAGACAGCTAAACAGGGCTCAAGTAGGCGATGTGGAGAAGAAGAAATTAGAACCACTTAACAAAGAAATGAAAGTTATGCTCCCTACTATCAATACGTTCGATGGACCTCAGTCTGCAAGAACTACTCTACCACCGGTAAGTCCTTCTGATAAAAGAAAATTGGAAGAATTGTCTTACAAAGACAAAGTCAAGTTGCATAATAGTGCTCCCAACAGTCCACTTGTAGGAAGATCTCCTTTGAAAACGAAAATTACTTTGGACAGTTCTTCTTTACTGTCACCGAGAAAATAATGCGTTTCACTTTGCATTTATTTAACAAAACACGCTTTTTGAGTATAAAAACTATAGCTAAAAACATCAAGTTTACAAGTGGGTAAGAGAAATGAACGGCAAATGCTAAGATTGATTCTGTATAGCTTCCTCTGTCTTTTCTTCCATGTTGACGTCGCCGTTTCCATTCACAGCTTCTCCATTTTCCTTTCCAGTATCCGTTCGAATCTTTTTCACAGGAGATTTATCGGTTACGGAATTATCCTCCTCGTCCGGTTTGCGCTAAAAATCGATTTTTATTATTATTATTATTGTTTTTAAATGAAGTCTTAAATTACCTTTTTAACGAGGTGAGAAACGTCATTAGCTCTCTTTGGTTGAAGAGTTTTCACGGGTGGGTCAGAAGTAGTCATAGGAGTACCAAAACCAGTACTTGTTGCTCCGAGCTGTACAAATGAAATTATTTACTAAATATATAAATATATATATAAGTGACTAATGTGTTGCTTACATCAGGGGTAACAGCATCTTTTACAATTTCCTTAACTCTATCTTTTTCTTTTTGCTCAATGAGAGTTTCATCGATCTAATGAGTTAGTCAATCAATTAGTATTAAATATTCGATAAATTTAGAGAGGAATACCTTTCGTTGCAGATCTGGAATTAGATCTTCCAATTCCTTAATTTCATCTGAGACACTTTTCCCATCCTTCTCTTCTTCCTTTTCAGCTACTTCTTTTTTCAAAATATCTAATGGACATAACAAGTCAGAGGAGTATAATAAAATGCAAGTCTACACACCAATTTTGTTTTGCAGAACTTCAACAGATAGTTTCAAATACTTTATAGCAGAGTCGTAATCGTACGAGTTAATGTGGCAATTTCCCAACCACAAATATCTATTATAAACAAGATTATAATTTTATTAAAAATTAATGCTAGGTATTAAAATCAAATGAACATACGTCTCGGAAATTAATCTGGCATCAGCCTTTTCACTTTCAAGTATTTCTAGACTTTTCTTAAAATCATTACTGGCATTTTCATATGAATCTGGATAAGTTAGTAAAGAAAATAAATATCCTGGACGAAAGTTTTATTCAAGATGACATGCCTGACTCCATGCTGATTTCTCCAAGTTTCAAGTGACATTCGGCAATGTTTAGTTTAGCTTCTCGGTTATCTTTTCTGAAAAAAATTCGTATTAAGACTGAATAATTTATCATTGACTGTTCTTACTTCGCAAAAATTAGCTTGGCTAATTCTATCATTTCCCAGGCAAGCTGAATATTGCTGACTTCATTTTCATCTGGCTGTCAAATATTGAAAAATCTAACCAAATTTTTACTTAAACATATTATCACTTACACAATCATCCTGCTCATCAGACTCTTTTCCATTTTCTTCTTGTTCTTCGTCCGCAATATCCTCGTCATCATTTTCCTCAACTTCGTTTGATTCTTCCATCGCTTCTTCATTGTTTTCAGTTGTCTCAGTCTCTCCCTCAGTTGTTGATGCTGATATCAAGATTTAAAGTATTGAGAAGTATAAAATATAAACATATACATACTGGGCTCTTTCTCAGACACGTCTTGTTTTTCTGATGTTTCAGGTTCCTTAGTTTTTTCCACCTCTTTAGCCGCTTCAGCTTCTGCGTCTTTGTCAGTGTTATCTGTAGGCTTTTCTTCACATTTTTTCTCCTCTGTAGATTCTTTATCTTCAACCTTTTTCTCTTCTGTAGGTTTCTCGTCATCCTTTTTCTCCTCTGTAGGTTTCTCGTCGTCTTTTTTCTCATCAGTGGATTTCTCTTCATCCTTTTTCTCCGTTTCTGCATCCATACTTTCACTCTCCTTTCCATTTTCCTCTTTCTTTGTGACTGGTTCTTTCTCAATCATGGCATCTATGACGTCATCAGCAATCTTTTCTTTTTCTTCTTCCGTCACTGTATCAGGAGTTTCAACTTTGGAATCCGTATTTTCTTCCTCTTTAGCTTCCTTCAGTTCTTCTAACTTTTCCTCAACTAGCAAAAAGTGTTAAAATTACATAACATGAATAACAGAATTTATTCGATATTATTACCTCCTTCCAATGCCTTTCCTAATACAGAGCTCTCCATTCTCGATAGGTCCAAGAGGGCCTTGCCATAGCATAAGTAAGCATCAGCACACTCGTCCGCTAGGTCCCCACAATGTTTCGCTCTAAGAAAATAGCCGGCTTACAAAAAACATTCAATTTTCATGAAAATAACTTACATAAGTCGGCAAGCTTCTTGCAGTTGTCCACAAGCTTCTTTAACTTCACCGCAAATAAGGTTTCTCTTACCCGTGTTCAGTAATTTAAATGCCTCGACCGTATTTTTCTTGCTGTAAAAACGTTACTTTTTGAAGCGCGCGAAAGCAAGCAGTTAAAAAATGAAAGTGTTCCTGTCTTTTAACTGTAGTTTTTAATTAAGAGTATTCTGGAAAACTTACTTATCTTCCATCGTACTCGTGCTTGGTTCTTCAGACGACATTACGCTGGTGATTAACAGAAAGGTTAAAAAAATGAGTGAGGGTTTGGCGCCTTGAACCAAATAATTGAGAGTGACGTCATTTCCCTTTCTCCCAAGTATTCACTTTAAAATATTTTTTTCTGTCTAACAAAATCTTCCAAAAAATTTCTTTCTGAACAGCTTATTAAAATTAATATTTTAATATTAAGTAAAATGGAAAATTCAAGAACGGTATTTTAAACACAAAAAATGAAATATGTGTGAACCGGAAATTTCAACCACGTGATTTTCTTTCGGCAACAGCCATTTTTGCTACGGCGTGCTCTCAGAGTTGAGAAGACTGAACTCCATAAATACCGTGAGTTTCGATTTATTTTGCATTAAAAGTAATTGTAAATAATTAGTATAGCATTACTGAATGTTATTAATATAATATTTTATTCATTTATGTAGTTGAACATGAATACAAAAGAAAAAACACCTCAAGAACAGGCGCAGGAAATATTCCGCCAAGAAGCCCTTAAGAAACTTCAAGCACGTGGAGGAGCCGACAAAGTCCGAATTGGTGGCAAGGTACGCAATATTTTAAAAAAAATTTATAATGACATTCAAATGACCATGATGATACCAAAACCATGCCTGACTGCTACACCATATAATAATGGAGGCACAGCTCAACAGGACTGATATTAATTTATCTATTATAGGTTGACTACTAAGTAACGACATGATTTTAACGAATTTCTTGTGTTTTTATAGGGTTCTGCCAGACGTAAGAAGAAGGTAGTGCACAAAACCGCCACCACCGACGATAAAAAACTTCAAGCATGCTTAAAAAAACTTAGCGTAAATAGCATACCCGGCATTGAGGAAGTGAACATGATAAAAGACGATGGAAATGTAATACATTTTAATAACCCAAAAGTACAGGCATCTCTGGCAGCGAATACCTTCGCCATTACCGGCCATTCGGAAATAAAACGTGGGTCCGCCATTTTTTTTAGTAATTTTTTTTTTAATTTTTTTTAATTTTTCAGCCATCACCGAAATGCTACCAAACATCTTACACCAATTAGGAGCTGACTCAATTACGAGCCTTAAGAATCTGGCAACCCGAGTAACTAGTTCTGCCAGTAAGTAAACTAATATTTATATTTAGGAAAGATTTTTAATTTATTTCTATTTTTGCAGACGCGAGTGGAGAAAATAAACCCACAGCAGAAAACGATGAAGATGATGAAGAAGTCCCCAACCTCGTCGGAAATTTCGACGAACCATCAAAAACTGAAACGTCTTGAACATAACTAAAATATGTCATTTTTTCTTTATACATTTAGTTTTGATCAAGTTTGTTGGAATTTGAGTATGGTTTTTAAAGTTTGCAGTCATCAAATCATCAAACTATTAATAAATAATAAACGCTTTGATCAAGAAGTTAAAATATCTTCGGCCTCATATTTGAAATCGTCTAATACAGTCGTTATTTTCTCATTTATAAGTTGCATTCTGAAAAATAAAATTTTGTTATTAAAGAGAACTTTTAATGGTTATATATAATTAACCGTTTTTGTAATTCCCCTAATTCTTCTTCGCTCATCTCCTCATCGTTCACACTTTTCTGCTGAATTTGTAGATCTCTTGTCTGTAATAATGCTGACTTTATAGAGTGAAAATGATAGGCCCTATAGATCTTACCAAGCCTAGTTTTTCAGCTTCACTTTCCTGAACTATTCTCATACATTTGACTATCTGTTCACAACCACTTTGAGACTCAAAGAAGTTAATTATATCCATAATCTGAATAAAATAATTTCGATGAACATGTCAATGATGTAGACCTGAAACAAACCTGAGTTGAAATATCATTGAAACGTTCAGTGATTTGGTGGACAACTTGTTTGTAGCTCTCGAAATTATAATCTGGAGATGTCTTTAAGTAATCCTCGAAGCTTCTACAATTAGGTTTACCGCATTCGGCGGTATTTTGATAATAAATCCTAGCTTTATGATTGCAAAAATAATCTTAACACGAAACCTACTTGTTTAAGGTATTGTATGCTTCCACTCTGTTTGTCTGCAAAGCAAGAAAATTTCGAACAGCAGATTTTGGAGTATAGTTTTGTTCATTTTGCTTCGAAACTGTCTCCGGCATGTTTTTCACGCATAAAAAGACCAACTGAAAAGAGTTAACAGTAAATAATAGTATAAAATGTATTCTGGACACGAGGCGCCCTCTACAGTTGAAATTCAAAGAAAACAATAATGCATTTCATTCGTACTTAAACAATATCTAGATATCTGCACATCCAAATTTACAGTAAAATATGTAACATTAATTTAAATCCTCTCCAACAAAAAAAACAGAAAGGGAACAAGTGTAGAATATATTGACAATTCTTTGACTAGCGTCTACATAAATTTGCTGTTATTCTGCAGCCTCTGAACATGTGTATAAATTTTGAGTGCAGGCCCCAATTTCAAGGACAATCCAGACAGAACATCAGACCTTTTGAGCAACAGCAAGGACTTTCCATCTATTTCCTGCTCACGAAAAACTTCTGCCTGGGCTTGGAATCCCACGTCTTTAAAGAACTTTACCACGTCTTCTATTGTCCAATCAAACGCGTCGGGTATCTGCTACAATTTTAGACGTTTAATTTTATTTGAATCAGAAAGAAAGTAATTCTCACATCTGTTGACAAGACATTGGCTATAATTGGAACTTTTGAAGGTAGGGAAACGCTTGTCTGATCGAATTGTACAGGGGACTCTGAAGGTGTTGGCAGACAAGACGCACCATTTTCTGAAGTTATTTTTTTAAATGTATTTTATTATTTTGAATTATTTGAGCAAGATATAATAATTACCTATTACTAATTTTTCGGCAGACCCTTCAGATTCCTTTTCACATCTATTGCATACCCATTTTCCTGACGGTTTTTCAACAACCAAAGGTTTGTGACATTCCATATGATAACCCTTATCGCAAGCGTCACAGAAGAGCATAGTGCTCTGAGGAATTTTAGATTTAAAATATTAATCTAAAGAAATGGTATTTTTCTTACTGGATCTCCCGAGTCACAGCAGACACTGCAGGTTTTGCAGTCGATACATTGCCAGGGTGAATGACGAGCTCGTTCTGCCAGAGATTTCGAATAATCCATGCAGGAAGGATGAGCTTCGGGAAGTAAAAATTAATCTTTATCATTTATTTTTACGGCTTATGATTATCTTACCTTTCGCTCTACAGTCTTTACAGAACAATAGTTCCTCTTTCTCACCAAGTTTATTACAATCAGCAGTTCGTTGGCAGTAATCACACCTATGTCCACTTTTGTTGTAGGTCTCTAGCATCTCGTCTGATATATCATTTTCCTCACCATCACCATCATTTAATCGAGCTCGTTTAGTTTCATAGTTAGTGTCCTCGTCATAAGGTTTACGCTAATCATGGATAAATTTCATCTCAATCTGTACCTATAGGCTTAAATCAGTTCCTTACCTTTTTCTTCGTGGTCATAATCTTCTTCCGAGTGCCTCCACGGTTCATAACGAGTCTAAATTTTGCATGTATCAATGTATGTCACCGATCAATTAATCTGTAGGATTGCGATACTGTACCATACAATATGACGTTGGTGGTGCCATCTTTGGGTCGCTTCATCCAAAATGGCGCTATTTTCTTTAGCTCAAATAGACCTAAAAGTCACAATAGCTATTCACAGACTATTAGGCGTCACGCTACCATTGTATATTGTTAACACACCTCACTTCAAATAATACTTGTTATGTATAATAATGCGTTATTATGAATCCCCTATAATGTATACCTATTAATTATATCTTAAATTTTTAAAAAGAATATCGAAAGTTATCTTATACGTAATCAACATTGTTTTCCACTAAAGTTTAAAAAGCACTTTTTTTGACATCGGTTTAAATATCTAAAAAAAAGTGTAGGAAGAAATTGCGCTAAGTGATCGATATAGATCAATTTATTGAAGGGAAAAGAAGCTTGAAAATCAATTTTCAGATGTCGGCGTTGACCCTAGATGGCGTGTGAAAGAGTCTCTTTGTACTAAACATGGCGACTGATCGGCTGATTTTTCAACCTTTGCAACGAATTCAAGAAAATGCACATGTTAAATCTTTTGAAGAATATAAGACATTACACACTGAGTCTGTTCAAGAACCGAGTAAATTTTGGGGAAAAATTGCAAAACAATTTTATTGGAAGAAGGAGCCTTCAGCCGAAAAATTTTTACAATACAACTTCGATGTCAAAGAAGGTAGCATATCTATCAAATGGATGGAAGACGGCGTAACAAATGTCTGCTACAATATGCTTGATAGAAATGTTAAAAACGGTCTTGGTGATAAAATAGCTTTCTATTGGTATAAATGATATATTATCATCTATAAGAGAATTTATTATTAACGCAAAGACATTTTTCAGGGAGGGAAACGATCCAGAAGATTGTGGAAAAATTACTTATAAGCAGCTCTTGGAGAAAGTTTGCAAGTTCTCTAACGTCCTAAAATCCCTTGGTACTATTTTAATGATTTTTTTTTTATCAGAATACGTGAACTCTATAACTTTATTTTTTGCAGTATATTTTTAAATTTTAAATAACTCTTATAAAATATTTTTAGGAGTGAAAAAAGGAGATACAGTTGCCATTTACATGCCTATGATAATTGAATTGACTGTAGCTATGCTGGCTTGCGCCCGTATTGGAGCAGTTCACTCCATAGTTGTACGTGTTCTTATTTTCCTAATTGAATATTTAATTTAATAATAATTTCTTATTTGAGTATTATTAATAATGTTGTGATGTACAAAAAAATATCCAAAAAAAAACAATGTAGTTTGCTGGCTACTCGATGGAATCGTTGGCGGAAAGAATTATAGGATCCTGCTGCAATATTATAATCGTAGGAGGTACGATAGTAATAATTTTATAGATGAAAAAACACTTTTATCAGAATTCCTGTAGTTAGTCTTATCACGATTCCCTCGATGTAGCTTCAACAGAAGTCTTGTTTATTTTTAGAGATCAATTTAGTCATCCTACTTTTTTTCTGTTTACGAATTATATTTATTTTACTTAGTTCGGAGGATTTTCCTCTACGTCCTTAGCTGAGAGATTGATGGATGGAAACTGTCATGTCGTTATTACAGCAGGTTGGACTTATTCATTTAGATAGACATCTTTTATCGTATACATATATTGTTAACGATGTGCTCCTTGATATATTTGTAATTGCCGTATGTTATTTTCCTGTCTTATCTATAAACCTTTCTTTTCTTTAGATGGAGTTTGGAGAGGAACAAAATTATTGAATCTGAAAGCGATTGTAGATGGCGCTCTTCAAATATGCGAAAAAACGTTAGTTCTACATACTCGTTTAATATGAAACTTAAAATAAATAAGCTCGTTATAGAAATCATAAAATTGAAAAGTGTGTTGTCGTAAGACACTTATCACCGGATATGGAAAAAATTGTTGCTGATGAGGCTGGGGATTCATCGAACAATAGCGACGATGATCCTATTGCAAAGCGACCTTGTCGCACGCTAGAGTTAAAATGGAGAAAGGGTCGGGACGTTTGGTGGCATGAACTAATGAAAAATGCTGCCCCAACGTGCGAGCCAGAATGGCTAGAAGCCGAAACCCCTTTGTTTATGCTGTATACCAGGTAATTAATATCGCTATCCTTATTTTTAATTAACCTATGATAATATTTTTTCAAGTGGGTCAACTGGAAAACCAAAAGGTGTTCTACACACTCAAGCCGGATATATGTTATATGCCGCTACAACTTTTAAATACGTTTTTGATTATCATGCCGAGGATATTTATTGGTGCACTGCCGATGTTGGCTGGATCACAGGACATAGCTATGTGTGTTACGGTCCACTCGCTAATGGTGCAACTAGTATTATAGTAATTATTCAATAATTAATATTATTATGTTATTATTTATCTGAATTCTTCATTAACTCAGTTTGAAGGAGTACCACTTTATCCTGATCCAGGACGATTTTGGGCCATTGTTGAAAAATACCAAGTTAGCAAGTTCTATACGGCTCCAACTGCCATAAGAACTTTAATGAAATATGGAGATGATTACGTTAAAAAGTACGTTTTCCTTTTACCCTTTGGAAGACTTTAATTATTTATTCTAACAAAAAGGTATGACACCACTTCTTTAAAAGTACTTGGAACTGTAGGAGAACCAATTAACCCTGAAGCCTGGTTATGGTATTATAATGTTATTGGTAATGGTCAAGCAGCCATATCAGATACTTTCTGGCAAACAGAAACCGGTGGTCACGTCTTAACGCCCTTACCTGGGGCAATTCCACTTAAACCCGGCTCTGCGGTATAAATTTGTAAGATTTTATCAATTTATTAAAATATATCCTTTTTTCAAAATAGACTTTTCCATTCTTTGGAATAATGCCAGAGCTATTGACAGAAGATGGCCAAATCATCACAGAGGCAAACGTTGAAGGCTATTTGGTGAGTTAATCTTATTATTTTTTGCTTATTGAATTAGTAGAGTTTTCCTAAGTTTTGGTTTTCCCAAATTACGTCAGGTATTTAAACAACCGTGGCCCGGTATAATGAGAACTGTATTTGGTAACCATGAACGGTTCGAAACGACTTACTTTAAAAAGTTTCCCGGCTATTATTGCACTGGGGATGGTAAGCAATTAAATATCCAATGCATATCGTTATTGAGCTTGTACTGCAGGAGCGAAGCGTGATGAGGACGGATATATTTGGGTTACGGGTAGAATTGACGATATGCTCAACGTTAGTGGTCATCTATTAAGTACGGCCGAAATTGAATCCTCTTTAATAGAACATCCTAACATTGCTGAGGCAGCTGTTGTTGCCCGGCCACATGATGTAAAGGGCGAATGCTCTTATTGCTTTGTTACACTCTGTGAGGTATGCAGCACTTATGGAAAGTTTTTAAATCTGATACAATAATTTTTTTTCTTTTTTGAAAAGGGAGCTGAATTTAACGAAGAATTGACAAAAGAATTAATTAAACTTGTCAGACAAAAAATTGGACCATTTGCTCAACCTGAATTTATTCAGGAGGCTCCAGGACTACCAAAAACTAGATCCGGAAAGATAATGAGACGAGTTTTACGGAAAATCGCAGTTAACGATAGAAATTTGGGTGATGTGTCAACTATGGCCGATGAAAGTGTAGTGGAAACTTTATTCTCTCTTAGACCGAAAGGAGCGTAAACTCTCTGAGCTTCGATAATTAGATGATTGTTTTTCTTTAGCTATTATCAAAGAGAAAATAGTAATCATTCCGGTTTGATTTAAATACATAGTAGATCGTAAGTGATCGATCAGTAACTCGTTTCAAGTGTTGTTCACGAGTGTTGAATTTGGAGTATATTTCTTTTCAGCGACTTTTTCCTTGTAACTCTATCACAACTTGCAAGAAATATTGCATAGTGTACTCGGCAACTTGTAGAGTCTCAGTAGACATTGCTAGATTCGTTTAACGTAATATTACCGTTATTGAAAATACAAAAACAATAGATAAAATAAAACAGAGGCGTAAACTGCAACCTTTGTATAATATCAAGACATACTTTGATAAAAAACATAGATCTTGCTCTCCATTCCTAGAAAATTTTACTATCATAAGTCACAAAACGATTCCGAGTCGATTTTATTAATCTGGGTTTCAAATATCCAAAAAGCGTTAAGGATAAAAAGAAGACATTATAAACACGATTGCGTAACAAGATCTTCGACTGCTCTAAATTATTTACTAAAAAGATGCACGCTCATTGCAGGTGTCCTCTGGATGTTTAATTTTGAAGTTAAATTTTATCCATCTGATCCAGCGGAACTAAAAAAGAATATCACTAGGTTTGTTTTTGTGATTCGACGGATAACACATGCTTTACTTGGATCATATATTGTTCAAGCTGAACTAGGAGATTACGATCCAGCCGAACATGGACATGATTTTAGCTACTTAAAAGATATGAAGTTTGCTCCTCAGCAGACCGAGGACTTGCTTATCAAAATTTCCGAACTGCATAAACAACACAGGTTCGTTTTGCAATGCTTTGTTAAATCTCATTACATACAATTCGTTGTTAATTAAAGAGGTCAAAAGCCGGATCAGAGCGAATTGCATTATCTTGAAAATGCTAAAAAATTGGCTATGTATGGTGTCGATATGCATCAAGCAAGGGTAATAATATATAAATTTTTTACAACCTGAATTAACATCAGGGAGCAGAATCAATAACGTATTCTCGCCATCTACAGGATTCGGGAAGTGTTGAAATCATGTTAGGAGTATGTGCTAGTGGACTCCTAATTTATCGAGATCGACTACGAATCAATCGTTTTGCTTGGCCTAAAATCTTGAAGATTTCATATAAGCGAAATTACTTCTACATCAAAATTAGACCGGGAGAATTGGATAACATCGAAAATACCATTGGATTCAAACTGGCTAGTCACAAACTAGCAAAACGTTTGTGGAAAACTGCTGTTGAACATCATACTTTCTTTAGACTGAAAGAAGCAGAACCAATTATGAAAAAAGGAATGGTAATTGGTCCTAATAAATATAGGTTTGTATAATCTTAATAGTCTTTCTTCATTGATAAATTGCTTAAAAGTTATAATCAACTTGGTTAATTATAGGTATTCTGGAAGAACGCAATGGCAAGCTATGTCAAGTGAAGTTGATAGGGAACAACCGGCATTCCACCGAATATGGAAGCATTCTGACAATGGCATCTTATAAATATAGTTTTAAATAATCTCTATAATCTTTCTTTATTGATAAATTGCATAATAATTATATTCAACTTGGATAATACAGGTATTCTAAATATAATGAATATCTGAATAGCTAAACCATTAAAGAAATTATTGCGATGAGACGATCCGAGCGTGATGTGCAATTTTCTTTTCGTTGTAGTAATACAAAAACTTTGTGCTTTTCTATTTCTACATCTTTTTATCCGTTATGATCTTTCGCTTTCTTTCTCTCTTTCTCTCTCTCCAGCTGTTTCTTACTCTGTTTCAATCTAATATGAGTAAAGTACCCGTGGGTGGAGAAAGTATGAGTAATACTCTAATTACAACGTGGTTGTAAGAGTTATAAAACTGTTTATTTATAGGCGACGTCTGTTATCCTAATTAGGGAGTCTGGTAGTCTGAAGCATCGGACAGGTTTTGTTATTGTTGCAGGTTACTCATGCACTGATAAAGAAATTAAGAATTTGATATATATCCTTAATCTTTATACAAACTTTGTTGAATAAATAAATGTCCGGGATAAAAATATACTTAATAACGAAGTGTGAACAGTTTGATATCTAATATAATGATGGACTGTACGAGTTTTTATGGAGACATAGATTTCCTACTAATTCTGAAATTTACATGCAATTCATTAATTAAAAACAAATAACTTTATTGGCGGTTCCGATATTATCTATACAATTTATTTTTGCCCTCTTATTGCAATAATCATTAATACGGACTTGAGTAAACTAAAAATAATTGTACGAAAAACGACGTATCTGCGCGCCCCCTATTGTTAAATTACAGCTGCATTGCAAGCAGACCGGAATTTTGCGGTGGGCTGAGTTCCCTGCAGTTGAGTCATTCGCTTTGCAGCTTTATTTCACTGTCGGATATCCTCACGGTAAAGGTTTGTTTGCTTTCATCGTATTTCTTTATATAGAAGATTCACTTATTCAGTACAAGTACTGTGATAGTGATAAGAAAATTATTACCTCGTACTTATCTTTCTAATGAGCATCAATTACATAGGCAGTATTCAAAGAAAAGCGTTAAATTCATAAAAAATATAAACAAATGAATATAAAGCGATAGCAAAGCAGCACTTAAAATTCATAGTCATAAGTAGATATGGAACAGGAAGAGGCGAATAATTAACGGCCTAAACCGTGTACTGTCGTTTGGCAAATGTTCGACTACGCCGCTTTGGAATAATTAGATCTCGTTTCCGTCTTTGTTATATCTTTATACTTGCTAATATTCAAAAATTTTCGCTTATTTAAAGGATGACGGACGTAGAGGGTGACAAGGAGAAAATCGAAATGACGGAAGTTAATGGAAATGTAAGTACAATTCGTAATTTTCTGCTATTCGTTCGAATTTATATAAACTTCTTGGAATGATTCAATGGATGACCGAGTCATTGAAATTTTCTGCTTGGTCGGCTATGTAAGATAAAAATACCAAGTATTTTAAGAGAAATTGTTTTCTTTATTTATTACACCGGGTTATTTGATATTAAACTATACGCATACAAAAATGACCTTCGAAAAACAACCTCGTTAATTATCTCTCTCTGAGTATTATAGTCATATTTATACTCCTCAACATCAGTTGTTCGATTATACTCAATATACTTTATTACTAAACAATGGATAAAATGACCTCCGACGTTTTGTGTTTGACTCTGTGAGATCCCTGTGGGAAAATGATGTAATCGTGTTAGCTAGATAGCGTGAAAGTAGTAGTGTTATTCGGACTGAAGTAACAAAAAATGTTTTCTAAACTCTTAACAAAGATGCGTACCATTATAAAAAAAAAACCTCTGCAGATGGCGTGAGGTATAGGCAAATTATTCGTTCCAGACGCAACTCTGGAATAGACGAGGAATTCCTTGGGAATTACCATTTACTTTGGCGCTTTTGGCGCTAACCATCTAGGTCGAAATTTAAGCCTAGATGTACAATAAAATTCAAAAAAACCTGTTACATACACGTAACGCCACTAAATAGTTTAGTTAAAAGTATGAAAAGTGTCCATGGAGTTACTCCAGATCCTATACCTATGGGCGAGTCTTTCCATCATCCTAGTTTCATTACTGGCAGTGCAATTTTATATGTCTTTGACCATGCACCACGAAGGAAAGCAGATGGCAGAGCAATCGCCAGAACACTATGTAATGCAAAGCGAACCGTCACTTGCTGGTGAAGCGTCGATGGAGAAAGGTGAAGGTCATGCTTCGGGATGCTACGAAAGAAACCATCGACGGCGTCCACAAAACGCGAGAAGTATAAACAACGTCAAGAGTCTGCAGAGAGTACAAGTACGCAAGCTTCCGGTTCCATAAGAGAGTTCGAGCTATTCAAGGAGTTTTGTTCTCCAACAAACCAGTATTTGGTTCGTTTCTCCCTCAACTTCTACAGCTGTGTTGTATTGTATACATCGAACACTAGTGCCTGGCCGGCTGCAATGCGCACATTTTTTTTACGCCAACGCCAAGCGTGCAGAGAACAAGTACACGATTGCACGATAGCAAAAATGTTTGGTTTCTTTTTCTGTCTCATTTTTTACACGTACAATTTAATGAAGACTTTGAATTATGTTTTCTTAGGCCTATCTATTATTTTGTGCACTCTTTTCAGTAACCTTTTATTAAATTATGATTAACAATTAAACCTTATATTCTTCTTTATTTCTATATATTTTATTTTAATACTTAAACATTATCAAGTACTTTAGACTATTATGTTCTCGAAAAGTCATAGTTCAAAAAGATTGAAAGCATCGCAAAAATTTTACGATTGTAGCTTTTGTAAAGCTTAAAATGATTGGTCAATACGAATTGTATAATCATTGCTGATTGGTTAATGACTAACGGGGTTCGGAAAAGCCCCTGACTTATTACAGGTGTTGTTCAGGTGTGTTGAATTTGAAGTTGTTTTTCTTTTCAACGACTTGTTTCCTGGTGACTCTATCACATATTGCTTAAGAAGAATTGTAAGTCAGACTACGCGATCAAGACCTAATAATTTTGTAAAATAGTATAAATATAAACTTATTTTTTTGTGAGCGATATTCGAGTGCGGCGTCTATTCAATGGCTGCCGCTGCTACATTTAGGTCATAGATATAACTGATAACATTTTTCTCATCGATTCTATCGTAAAATTTGTCAAGAAGCGAATTTCTTAGGATATTTTCGTTATCAGTATTAATCAGGTAAAAAGTAGTTCTATAGGGTGGCGCGGAAAGCGCTTTGGACTATCAATTTGTTGCTTGAAACTGTGAATCATTTATTATTTAGCCTCCTTGTACATTATCAAGCTGTTTCGCTTGTATTAACTAGAATTATTAACTAGATAAGGGAATTTTACTTTTTGAGGATACTATTGGATTAAAATTGGCCGCATATTTGCAGTCAATAAGGCATTTTTCTGGTATTATTCATAACATTTACTTTTTTCATAAATATTCAATGTGTGATCTTTAGCGGAAGTACATAATACTCATACTAATTTTAACCTCTTCAGGAAGCACCGGTTGAAGTGTCTGAGAGTCAACAGACCCCAGTTACCACTCCATCCGAGGAAAAGAAGAATTCCACCCTAATTTCAGAAGAAAAAAGCGTAAAGGATAAAAAGAAGACAATGTCGGGAAAAGCTGTAAAGTGTAGAGTCATTTTACTCAATGGGGAAACTTTTGAGAATGAAATAGACGTAAGTTTCATTTATAATTAAACATTTCTGCTCCAAGTTCATTTGTGTAATTCGATACATTTGCTCCACTTCTAACAATATTAGTAACAGTCGAAGAGACTGGCCAACCGGACTCTATTTTGTTTCAACTGTCATTGAGACCTTAAAGTCTTTTCTACTATTACTTTCAATAATGACCATCGCCTTAAAATACATTTTAGGCACGTTTCCGTTTAGCAAACACAAAATACACAATATAAAGTATCTATAGTTGTATAAGATAATAACTAATCGATTGTTATATTGATCAATCTATTTATTCCAGAAAAATGCTAAGGGGGAAGATTTATTGGAGAAAGTATGCTCGCATTTGAATTTGGTGGAGAGGGACTATTTTGGACTGTCGTTTAACGATACACAGAGTGTTAAGGTTTTCTATTGAAAAAAATTTCTTTACAATATAGTAAACATTTCATATTTTTTCTATTAGATGTGGCTGAATAACGAAAAGAAAATCGCAAAACAAATGCGAGGTGAGCGTTTTTTCTATATACAGTATATCCGTGAAAGAGTTTAGGATATTGGTTCGACTTTATTTCGGGTGAGAAACGAACCGTAAAGCCTTTATAAATATTGCATACTGTGCTGGGCAACTTATAGGGCCTCGGTAAACATTAGTAGATTCGGTTAATGTAATATTACCGTTATTGAAAGTACTAAACAATGGATAAAATAAAACACAGGCGTAAACTTGCAACCTTTGCATATTATCAAGACATGCTCTGATAAAAATCATAGACCTTGCTCTCCATTCCTAAAGCGTTTAACTATCATAAATCAATAACGGTTCCGAGTCGGTTTTATTAATCTGTGGGTTTCAAGTATCGAATCTCGTCTGTTTAAATACAATTTCAATCAATTTACCGACATTCGAAGTAAGCAGTTTTTATTCTTCATAAAACAAACTATTTCTCTCACTGTTATTCTATACTGATATAAACACGATTGCGTAACAAGATCTTCGACTGCTCTAAATTTTTTACTAAAAAGATGCACGCTCATTGCAGGTGTCCCCTGGGTGTTTAATTTTGAAGTTAAATTTTATCCACCTGATCCAGCGGAACTAAAAGAGAATATCACTAGGTTTGTTTTTGTGATTCGACGGATAACGTACTATTCTCATTAACAAATTTACTTTTCAGATACCAATTGGTGTTACAACTTCGATCAGATATTGCAGAGGGAAAGTAAGTATTTCTGTTGAGTGTATTCTAGCAAAGTAAATCTATTTTGTTCGTTAGGTTGCCTTGTTCTTTCGTGACACATGCTTTACTTGGATCATATATTGTTCAAGCTGAACTAGGAGATTACGATCCAGCCGAACATGGACATGATTTTAGCTACTTAAAAGATATGAAGTTTGCTCCTCAGCAGACCGAGGACTTGCTTATCAAAATTTCCGAACTGCATAAACAACACAGGTTCGTTTTGCAATGCTTTGTTAAATCTCATTACATACAATTCGTTGTTAATTAAAGAGGTCAAAAGCCGGATCAGAGCGAATTGCATTATCTTGAAAATGCTAAAAAATTGGCTATGTATGGTGTCGATATGCATCAAGCAAGGGTAATAATATATAAATTTTTTACAACCTGAATTAACATCAGGGAGCAGAATCAATAACGTATTCTCGCCATCTACAGGATTCGGGAAGTGTTGAAATCATGTTAGGAGTATGTGCTAGTGGACTCCTAATTTATCGAGATCGACTACGAATCAATCGTTTTGCTTGGCCTAAAATCTTGAAGATTTCATATAAGCGAAATTACTTCTACATCAAAATTAGACCGGGAGAATTGGATAACATCGAAAATACCATTGGATTCAAACTGGCTAGTCACAAACTAGCAAAACGTTTGTGGAAAACTGCTGTTGAACATCATACTTTCTTTAGACTGAAAGAAGCAGAACCAATTATGAAAAAAGGAATGGTAATTGGTCCTAATAAATATAGGTTTGTATAATCTTAATAGTCTTTCTTCATTGATAAATTGCTTAAAAGTTATAATCAACTTGGTTAATTATAGGTATTCTGGAAGAACGCAATGGCAAGCTATGTCAAGTGAAGTTGATAGGGAACAACCGGCATTCCACCGAACAGGAAGCGTTTCCGCAGGTAACGAAAGGCCGTCACGTGTTTCTCGCATACATTCGAGGAGTATTGAAGCTGGTTTGTATTCATTATCACAAAAAGGAAGAACTACTCTTCGAATGTATGCATTCTACACGTTTTCGTTTGTGGTGTTTTCTTTTTGTAGGCTCTTCGGAACCAATGCTGAATTTGACCAGTGATTATACGACACGTAGGTGGTTTCTTGCATGGATTAATGTGCAATATTCGTTGTCAATTTAATTTAATTTTTTTTTGTTCACTCATTCATATCTTTTTCAAAATTATAAGTTTCGGATACGAACTGTTTGTGGCTGGTTTTTTAGATCTCATGGAGTCAAGCAGTCTCTTAGCAATTAAAAAAATAGACCGTCATCGCGTTGCTTTTTTTGTCTAGAAAAGTCTCTTATGACTAGGGTGTCTAATATTTTATGCAAATTTCTACAGGCCACTTAGAAAGAGAAGAAACTACTATGCCTGCCACTCAAACAAAACCAATGAAACAAATAGGCGTAAGTATTATTATTATGCAGAGAAAATTTCGATAATTTGCATTTGAACGACTGGAAATGTTATAAATAATTTTCTACACTCGTATTTATAGAGTTATCGTTCGATTGATAATAGTATCGAACATGTGAATTCAAGCTTTGCATATCGCTATGACTCTCCCCAGTCCAAAGCGGATTGCGTCTCCGCTACTTTAAGCGCTCGTTCGTTGGCAGATAGTTGCGTGATGGATCCTTTTACATCTCCGCGAACAGAAAATTATAAAGAGATAATAGTTGAGGTTTGAAAGTAGTTATTGGTGTGGTTGTCCAAAACGAGCATGGTCCTAATCCTCCATAAAATTGACACTAATTCTCTCATCAGTGACAAGTGTAGGGAATAAATTTAAATCTATGATTAATGTAACAGGAAAAACGACATTATGCACCTGTAATGAAAGAACTAAATGATACTTTGAGATCGAAGCATAGTACTCTTCCGCTTGCGCATTCCAGTCCAAATGGATCCATTTTGCGCAAAAAGGTCTGATGTTGGATAAATTTTTTGATTCTCAGATTCTAACTCGTCGAAAACCTAACTTTAACATATTTTAGGGGATATTATTTTGCATGCAAAAGATGCTTTAGGTTACTAACCATTCAAATGCAATGATAAAAAAATTAATTAGCGCAACCAGTATAAATAAAACGATCTTTTTATAATAGCATGTTTTATAAGGTAGAGTGAACAAAATTGCTTTTTTTTTCAATTTTAATACTTAAGGAAAACGCAGTTTATTAATCGGATGTTTCTTTTATTCAGTCTATCCCACCAAACTCTGAGCAATTTGATAGAGAAAATGTAAGTATCTATATATATATGTATATGGTCTGATTAATAGATTCTAATTTATCATTTGCCTCTAAAACAGTTTGATTTCGATAACCAAATGAATGATGATGGCACGTATGTAGATGCTGAGGGAAGATATCGCGATAGAGATGGAAACCTGATTATCAAAAGAAATGTTATTCCCGGACCTGTAAGTATTTACCGTATATAGAAGAGAGATATCTGTAAATATTTGCTCTATTTTTTATTCAGCGTCCCACTCAAGAAGACTATAATCAACATCATGGAAATGATGAATATGGAAATCAGTTGTACAATTCAAATACTGGAAATTCTATGAGTGACCCCAACTTTGCTAGAGAATATCAGGTAAATACATATGTCATTAAGAGCATCTTGTGCAACTCGCATTTATATAGTGGAGGTTCCCTTTTTATTATTACTCTAACACTCGCCTTGGTATGTTGCGTAAATTTGCGCCACGCTTTATAACAGCCTCGGGATAACGCTGCTGGAAGAGATGATAATTTGCCGTACGTTCGAACGGAAACTAGAACAGTTACTTATTCTCGCGAAAATGGTAATGCTGATAATAACTTTCCCGGAGCGGATCAAATGATTACGTCGCAAACCCATTCTACCCGAACATATATGATGGAAACTACGACGGTAGGTGGCTGCGCTTTGTACACCCAAACTAATTTACTACCTCCTCGCATGTTTTTTGTTTGTTTGTCGATAGTCAATTGTAAATATTCTATTTCCTATAAGGGTTTTTGTTTTTTTTGAAAAGCAGACTCGTTCTGGCCCAACTGGACCATCGGTAGATCAAGTGGTCGGTATTTTAGAAACAAAAGAAATATTTAACGCCTATCCTAATTAACTTACCCAGCTTTATTTGATTTCACTGATCTAAGATTTTGATCAGTTTATAGCAAAAAGTTCCTTTACAATCTATTGTCTTCCTTGTCTAGTACAATGATCAATTTCAAAATAATAATTCTCTTCCACATTTTACAGTATCAAAGAGAAAGTGGTCAAGTTGGACAACAAGTTAATATTCAATCATACAACGAGGATGATGATGAACAGGTAAGAATACTTAACATTTCCTCTAGAAATTGCTAAAAATTACATCTAATCCATTAAATCATTTCAGCAATTATTGGATGCAATCCGTAGTGTTACAGAGCTTAATTCAGATATGACCGTAGAAAAAGTCGTAGTAAAAGATGGTTAAGGTAATGAAATCAAATATATAGTTTGAAAGATGACTTCATATATTTTTTTTCTTTTACAGTTTTACCCTGTCAAGTCTTCGTAGCGTTGCCAATTGTTGTTGCCCAATTTTTTACAAGCCAAATGGTTATAAGTGAACATGAAATTTTTTTTGTTACCGGTTAAATTTTGTATAAAGACTTTACGAATTGTTACCTGTACAGACAAGTTATTAAATGCTAATTTTTCTTTGCAAGTGTCTTGTGATTTTGTAATTTGGTGCAGAAAGCGTCAACTGGAAATTTTTAATCTGTTTTCATACATATAGTCATAATTTTAAGTTAATAATTACTGGGGCAATATTTTTGTATGTATTTGTTAATAGTTGTATGTGGCGACTACAGCAGGCTTGACTTCGGAGACTCTTGATATCGATAGCCGGCTTAATCGCTTTTCAATGGCCTATATCAAGCGACGGGGTATTGCTTTGCTTACTCTTTTTTTTTTCTATTTATGTAAATCGTAGTGTACGTCTTACACACAGAATAATTTTTTTTTTTGCAAACATTTTTTAAGCGTCTATTTGAGTTGCGTATATGTTAAAGAGATGTTTGCTTTCTCGGTGTAGTTGCATTCTTTCCTATACTTGACAAATCTTATGCAAGCTTCCAGTGTCTATTTTTCTCCTTGCGATTTTTGCTTAATTATCAATATGAAAAGAATGGTTTAATAAAAGAGAATCCTAATTACCTATTCCTTCTCCAATTGACTATTTGTAAATTCTTCACATTAAAGAATAAACACAAAAACAAAAGCCTCTTAGAGCCTATTTTTTCCTAATGACAGGCTTCCGATCAATATAAATCACCAACGATGTAAAGAAATTAAGTTCAGTTTAAAAATAAATATTAGTACTTTGCAATGTACTCAATCTATATGAAGAACAGACTTTTCTATAGAATAAGCTATCTCTCAGACTTATATCTGATCTTCTATCAAATGATATCTGAAATACAGAAATCAAGTGAAGCGTTTGACTGATTGTACCAAAATTGGTGATATACTTTGCGACACCATTGAATCATGTAGATAAGACTTTACTTTTCATAATGACATGTTCTGTTTTCTCTTTAGAAATCAAAACAAACTAAACCTGGAATACAGTTGGTATAATCTAATTTCTCTATATTTACCCAACTCCAGTATATGATTTATGTATTAAAAATTAGATTACGAATTGGCTAGTAAAGAGAAAAACGTTTTTCACTTGCTAAAAGTCAGAAAGAGAATTATATAATTATATAAGACTTTAATGATTAAAACATTAAAAGTTCAGAATTGTAGAAACAAGAAAGAAAGTTGTGGCTACTGAACATTTTCAATTATAGATCAGAAATCACATTAAGCTCGATTTCATTGAACTGAAAATCGGCAGAAATTCTTCAACAACATATTTAGAAAAACGAACGTCGTTCTTCCGATAAATCTTCTATCTAGTAGTCTTTTCTCTGAAAGAAATTATATAGATTCATGGATTAAAAAATTGATTAGTTAGTATCTCATGTTATATGACAACTATAAATACTGCAAAACTGTAGAGAGAAATATGACATTTTTTATCTTCAGCGAAATTTTAAGGAATATCACATTGAAGAATTATGTTATCTAACAACAATTTGCAATTAATTTAGATATAAATAATAGTTTTAAATAAATTTATATCTCATCTCATACCGCTTAACGCTAGTGTGTCGCCTACATCTAAGATTCCTTTTTAAGAAATATATATAAAGGTTACGAATTTTTAACCTAGCGATAATTTTTTAATTAGGGTTTGTAATTCCTTTTAAAGTACTAAAGTTTTTTAGTCAAGAATAACCTGTGTTTATACTAGTTTTATGATTCAGAGTCTGATTACTGGACAAGGAACCCTACTAAATTGACGTTGGAATCACGTGACTGCAATTTTGCAATATGGCTGCGCTCATGCATTGAGAAATGAGATGAAAAAACTTTATTGCGATTTTTTTGAATATTTGTCTCTCTAATGAATTGAAAGGCTCGTGAATATTATGCAACAATCTGCCGTCACGAAAAATATGTTTATCACTCACGCCTTACAGAAGATACTGTCAGATAAGGAAATTAAAAAATCTCATCATTCTCAACTCCGTCGAGCATGTGAAGTAGCCCTCGGTAAGTTTTTTTTACAAAATAGAGAAAAGAATAAGAATGAGTCTGGTATTTTCAGAGGAAATCAAAACTGACAGCAGCGACACAAAGTTAGTATTGTTTATTTTTTTATATATTTAGCAATGTTGCATTATTGTTTGGAATAGTTTTTTGACAACATCCGATTTGTACAAAGTTTTTAAACAGTTTTATTCGCATTAGTGATTAATCAAAGTTCAAATCTTTAGATTAGAAAATGGAAATTCAACCGCCGTACCAGTACCAAGAGATTCTTCGACCCTTGACGCTGACAAATACTTTTTGCCATTCGAGTTAGCCTGTCAGTCCAAATGTCCTCGGATCGTACATGTAGCATTAGATTGCTTACAGGTTAGAGCCTATATTGACAAGTTTACATTTTATTAAAAAATTTAATCAAATAGAAACTGATTGCTTATGGTCATTTGACCGGAAATGCTCCGGATTATGCTAATTCTCCTAATAAAACGCTGATTGAAAGAATAGTTGAAACAATATGTGGATGCTTCCAGGTATGTAGAAATCATTCTCCCTAGAATTATTTGTTCAATAATCATTTATGTAGGGTGCTCACACTGATGAAGGCGTTCAGCTGCAAATTATCAAGGCGTTGTTGACTGTCATGACATCACAAGGATGCGAGGTAATTTTTTAATATATCCTTCAAACAAAAAGAAAAAACATCTCAAATTACATAATACTTCATTCAGATACATGAAGGAGCTGTTTTGCAAACTGTTCGAACTGTATATAACATATATCTAGCTTCTAAGTCAGTTGTAAATCAAAAAACTGCTCAAGCCGCGCTTACACAAATGTTGAACGTGATTTTCTCTCGAATGGAAAACCAAGCTGTGAGTATTACATGTAATTGCGATCCTATTTGAATGTATGTTAATTTCTTTATAGATTGAAGAAAAAAAACAAAGTGACGAAGAGAGTAAGCGATTACAGAAAAGTGAAGAAGATCAAAAAGAAAATAAAGCTGAAGGTAGTTCGTCAAGTTCATCATTAAATATAGTTATCTAAAAATTAGTTTTACAAACAGAAATCAATGACGAAGATGTGGAGACAGTCGTAGCATCTGTTATGGATAATATATTGACTAATTTGACCGGTTAGTTTTTACTAATCATCATTATTCTTAAATGTTTAATTCTTGTTTTGTTTACTTAGGAAATGATCAACTAAACGAAGAAATAAAAGAAGGTAATGAAGTTAATAGTAATGGTGCAAATATTGAAGTCAATGACGAAGATTCCTTATCAATTCCTAACCCTTTGGCCGGTAAGAATTTCATTCAATTAGTGCTTAACGTTATCAATAACCGCCTATGCTTTATTCAGATGGGAAAAGTGATGTGGAAGAGTCAAATGAAGCTCAGTCAATTTTTTCTCACATCTTGCAAAAAGATGCATTCTTAGTTTTTAGGAGTTTATGTAAATTATCAATGAAGCCTTTATCTGATGGACCTCCGGATCCAAAGTCACATGAACTTCGTTCGAAAATACTATCTTTACAGTTGCTTTTGTCCATTTTACAAAATGCCGGAACTGTCTTCAAAACAAATGATATGTTTATCACTGCTATTAAACAATATTTATGCGTGGCTTTGAGTAGGAATGGTGTATCGTCGGTTCACGAAGTATTTGAACTCTCCCTAGCTATATTTGTTACTCTCTTATCTAACTTCAAGCAGCATCTCAAAATGCAGATTGAGGTAAAACCCAACTCGTAGAATAAACATTTTGAAGTATATTTATATGTTTTTTAAACCAGGTATTCTTCAAAGAAATTTTCCTTTACATTTTGGAAACCCCGAGCAGTAGTTTCCAACATAAATGGATGGTTATTCATGCTCTAACTGTGATCTGTGCAGGTTAGTAAAATATCTTACAATTTTTAACTTAAGAATCACATTTCGAAATGTTTTATTAGATGCACAATGTGTAGTCGATATGTATTTAAATTATGACTGTGATATGGCGCGAGCAAACATTTTTGAAAAGCTAGTTAATGATCTTTCCAAGATTTCTCGTGGTCGCCAGGCTATGGAGCTTGGAGTTTCAAGCAATCAAGAAAGAAGTATTTGTATTAAAGCTTACAAGTGTTTGGTATCTATTCTTAAATGCATGGTAGAATGGAGTAAAGATTTGTACGTAAATCCTCATTCTCAATCTAATTTGGGAGCTGAAACAAGACATGATAGAGAAGTTCCAGACGTGGATAGTGGAAACGGAACAATGACTAGCTACGGTAGTGTCAACAGTCTTAATTCTTCATCGTCTACGGCTGACAAGATGTCATCAAGTGGTCATATTCAAGACAATCCAGAGCAGTTTGAAGTTATTAAACAACAGAAAGAGATAATGGAAACTGGAATAGAGATGTTTAATAAAAAACCTAAAAAAGGCTTAAGCTATTTACAAGAGCATGTTATGATTGGTCCTACTCCCGATGATGTTGCTGAATTTCTGCACAAAGAAGAGCGCTTAGACAAGGTATAAACTATTTAATATGAAGTTTTTTGTTCATAAAATATTTTTTTTATAGAGCGCAATAGGGGATTTTATGGGAGAAAATGAAGTTTTCAATAAAGAAGTTATGTATGCTTATATAGATCAACTTCAGCTCGAGAATATGGATATTGTTTCTTCCCTTCGTCGCTTCCTAGAAGGTTTCAGATTACCTGGTGAAGCTCAAAAAATTGATCGTTTAATGGAAAAGTTTGCGGCTAGATATTTAGAGTGCAATCCTAAGTAGATAAGAGAACTTACATTAAGATTTGTATTATAATATTATTTTTTCAGCAACGGGATATTTCTTTCCGCAGACGCTGCTTATGTCTTAGCTTTTTCCATTATTATGTTAACGACCGACTTACATAGTAGTCAAATAAAACGCAAAATGACGAAAGAAGACTATATTCGTATGAATCGGGGTATCAATGATAATAAAGATTTACCCGAGGAGTATTTGAGCAAAATATATGATGAAATTAGAAGCTCTGAAATAAAAATGAAGGCGTCATCAAAGGCGACAAATAGACCCATTGGAAGTTCTCAAATAGCAAGTGCTAAGCAGCGAAAGATGGTATATAATATGGAAATGGAGCAGATGGCGAGTACAGCTAAAGCGTTGATGGAAAGCGTTAGCCATCTATCCAGCGAATTTACGTCTGCCACTCATTTTGAACATGTACGACCCATGTTCAAAATTGTTTGGACGCCATTTTTAGCATCATTTGGTGTTGGACTGAATGACTCGGACGACCATGAAATAGCAGCTTTGTGTTTAGAAGGAATAAGATGTTCAATTAGAATAGCTTGTATTTTTCATATGGAATGGGAACGTGATGCATACGTTCAAGCATTAGCTCGCTTTACTCTGCTTACAGCAACCTCCCCAATAACGGAAATGAAAACAAAAAATATCGACACGATCAAAACGTTAATTTCGGTGGCTCATACAGACGGAAATTATTTGGGTCGATCGTGGCTAGAAGTAAGCAGTGATACACATAAAATACTCTTAATAAAAAATAATCTTTAAATCACAGATCCTGAAGTGTATATCTCAACTAGAACTTGCCCAATTAATAGGAACTGGAGTGAAAACAAGATTTATTGGGAGCTCACAGAATCCTCACTCAGTCTTTACGACAGTATTCTCATCTCCAAATACATCTGAAACAGCTGAAGTTGACGGTACGGATAAAGTGAAAGTAAAATTATATCTGTATTATCTATTTGCTTGTTAACAGCTCTTACACGAGGCCGATATGATCCGAAAGCTCTTGCATCAATTCAAGAAACAATGGGAGAAACTTCATCTCAAAGCATCGTTGTTGCAGTAGATCGTATCTTCACTGGTTCCGTCAAATTAGACGGCGACGCTATTGGTAAATAGTTCAAAACGTAGCTTATTTACAAGAGAATAATTAAAAATTTTTGTCAGTTGAATTCGTAAAAGCCCTTTGTGCTGTATCCCTGGAAGAACTGTCTTCGATATCCCATCCAAGAATGTTTAGTCTGACAAAACTAGTCGAGATCTCATATTATAATATGGGCAGAATCAGATTGCAGTGGTCTAGAATGTGGAAAGTTCTTGGTGATCATTTCAATAAGGTATATAACCAATTGAATTGTACAATTTATTAAGTTTATTATATTTTAACATTTAGGTCGGTTGCAATCCTAACGAGGAGATTTCGTTTTTTGCCATCGACTCTCTGCGTCAGTTAGCTATGAAATTTATTGAGAAAGGAGAATTTGCCAATTTTAGATTTCAAAAAGATTTTTTGAGACCATTTGAATATATTATGAAAAAGAATCGGTCGCCTCCAATACGCGATATGGTAGTTCGCTGCGTTGCACAAATGGTCAACTCACAAGCGTGCAATGTGAAATCTGGTTGGAAAAACATTTTTAGCGTATTTCACCTTGCTGCTTCTGACCAAGACGAAAGTATAGTTGAGTTAGCCTTTCAAACTACGTCCAATATCATTTGTATGTACATAAATTAATATAACAAAAGATAAAAAATGATATTTTCTTTCCATAGCTTGTATTTTCGAAAAATACTTCTCGGCAATCATTGATTCATTCCAAGATGCTGTGAAATGTCTTTCAGAATTTGCTTGCAATGCAGCCTTTCCAGACACTAGTATGGAGGCTATCCGCTTAATTCGAAATTGTGCAAAATATGTTGCTGATAAACCTCAAGTAAGTAATAAAATGAATAAAGAGTATAAATATCAACTTGTATTATTCATCTTTAGATATTTCGCGAGCACGCCGGTGATATAGAGATAAGCTGTGCGGAAGAGGATCGAGCCTGGATGAGAGGATGGTTTCCGGTATTTTTTGAATTGTCCTGCATAATTAATCGCTGTAAATTGGATGTTCGTACTAGGTATACCGAAATATATTTTTAGACTTTTGGCTTTTGGCTAATGATTTGAATTTTGTCTTATAACAGGGGCTTAACAGTAATGTTCGAAATAATGAAAACCTATGGAGATGTCTTTGAGCCACATTGGTGGAAAGATCTTTTCAAAATAGTCTTTAGGATATTTGACACAAGTAAGCTGCCGGAAACGCAGACGGAAGTAAGTTAAAAACAGTTTATCTTTTTATTGCTTCAAAAATCGCGCATGTTTCACCTGATGCTTGTCCATTATTTCAGAATGAAAAAGGGGAAAATATAAAGGATTTATATAATTCTGTAAGCTTTGCTTCTACTAAATATACTTTTAACATTAAATATAAGCTATTAATTTTACCTTAAACTAAAAAACTTCTTCAGAAAGCTGAGTGGATGACAACTACTTGTAATCATGCACTTTATGCAATAGTGGATGTGTTTACACAATATTATGAGGTAAGCATTTAATGGCACATAGGTGAAGAGAATTTTATATGATCTCTTGCAGACACTAAATTCTATTCTCCTATCGGAATTCTACGCTCGATTACAATGGTGCGTTCAACAAGAAAATGAACAATTAGCTCGTTCTGGAACAAATTGCTTAGAAAATTTTGTAATTCCCAATGGACTTAAATTTTCTGAAGAAGTATGGAACGATACATGTCAGTGCATGGTTTCAGTGTTTAAGAGTACCCTGCCACAAGGACTTTTAACATGGAAGCCTGATCATGAATCAGATAACAGATCAATATCATCAAATCATTCCGAGTCAGAAGGTTACAGGAGACAGCGAGATGAGAGTATAAGTAGTGAAGCCAGTTTGGATTCGTCTCAAAAATTACCTCGAAATAGTATGCTCATTTATAATTTAATATTTTCGATTTATTCACTTTACATTAAATTTACAGAAGCCACAGAAGATAAAATGTTCGCGTCACTATTAATTCGTTGTGTGGTTCAATTGGAATTAATTCAAACAATAGATAATGTCATATTTTTTCCAACAACCAGTCGTAAAGAAGATGAATATAACTTAGCTGCGGCTCAGAATGAATCTTGGCAAGCAGATCGACCCGAGACTGTTACTAACCAGGGAATGTATGAAAACCTCTCAGCAGAACAACTTTTCCTATTAGCTGATTGTCTCATTGAGTCGCACTCTTTTGCCAAAACTTTCAATTCCAACCATGAACAGCGAAACGTTCTTTGGAAAGCTGGATTCAAGGGAAAAGCTAAGCCCAATCTTTTAAAGCAAGAAACTCAAAGTTTAGCATGCACTTTAAGAATCTTATTCAAAATGCATGGAGATGAAGGTAGAAGTCAGGTCTCATCAGAAGTTAATAGGCGATTAATAAGTATTGGTGTTGACGCTCTACGTTATTATTTATTATTGCAATCGGACAGTCATCGAGAAGCTTGGACAAGCTTACTACTATTGTTTTTAACGAAAGTATTGAACATGAACGATGAATCGGTAAGTTTCTTTTATTTATAGAGTCGCAAACGGCCCATATTCATGACTCTTTTCCCTTCGATATCCGATTACTGAATATCTCGGTTGTTTTGTTTTAACAATATTTTGGTTTGGATTATATGTCCCCGGCGCCGGCGTTGAATCCCCTTTCATTGGTAAAAGAATCGTTCCATTAATCCTACTTCCCAGAGTAAAAGATGGAGCGCTTCGACAGAGTGTTTTAACGTCGTATTGATTAGGTGGTGGGTTATTTTCTTTAATTTTATCGTCTTTTTCTCGTCTGTTTCCAATGGAAAATTGTGGAGCTTCTGGAGCATAATTCTGGCTCCTACCAAGAGGAGCCCTTTGCTTATAGTGCACAGGTGATGGCCATTTGCTATCATGTAGAAAATCCGTCTTCTGAGTCCATATATTTGGCTGCTGAAACCATGTTTTTTCCCAAGCTGTTCGGCTGCCACCAGCTGAATAAAGGAGATTAAACGCTTCAGTTATTAACTGATGTTGTAAAGGATTGGTAGAAGTACTTACGTTTTTCAACAAATGTTCGTCGACCAAAACTCCAACATGGCGAATTAGTTTCTTTTAGTGGTTTATTTCTTGGAGTGTAAGTCCATGGTGTTGGTCCGTCCATATCAATTCTTAACGGAGGTCTATGATTCGTAGCTTCATCCCAGCCTATGACCTTGTCGCTATAATTATTTCCGACCACTTTCTTGTTAGCTTGTCGAACTGACACAGTAGGCAATTTATATCGAGGCGGAAATCGTCTGGCGCTAATTCGGCTAGCTCTTGATTCAACAACATTTGTTCGAAGAGCATGAATTGGTGAAGGTATATGACCGAGCTTTATCGTAACAAATGGACTCTTTGGAGAGGATCTAAGAGAACTCGCACACTCTTCATCCATTATTAGACGTATACACTGGTTGCGTCGCGTAACGACCGTACACAATAGATTATAATTGTGTAGCAATTGATCGGCCTTGATTGATCGTTAATTCTTTGTTGCAGTTCAAGATTCATTCAAAGGAGTACTACCCTCTGCTCTGCGATACATTTCTACATGACCACAAATTAGAACTACGTTCCGTTCTACGAAAATTTTTCCTGAGAACAGCATCACTATTTAATATCATTACGCCGTCGACTGAACTGTAAAGCATTCCGTAAATTAACATAATGATTTTGCATGTTTTATGTTGGTATACTTATTTCTAAAAAAAAAATAACTGTGTTGTTGGGTCGGTTGATTCGGGATATTTTTTAAGATATTTATCTTCACTATTTTTTTTATTTAATATCAAATTGATAAAAATAAATTGTTATTACAAGGTCTTATATACACCTAACATTGATTATCTTTTATCATCTCTTATCAGTTGCTACATTGGCAACTTCTACAGCGGTCAGTTACATTTAAAATCTATTAATTTGGACAACCTAAATAGTTTGGGATAGAAGTTACTTTCTGATATTTATTGACTCCGAATTAATATATACAATTGTATGTTTATAGCCAAATAGTAAATCATCTGAATTGTTTGGTTTGATATTAATCATTGGGGAATAAAAATTATAGGTAAGTAGTATTGAAAAAAGCCTGGTTACTGTTCATAAATTGACAATGAAATTTCGAGATCGTGAATAGCGTGCTCATGTAAGGCAAATCGTTCTTCTATAGGTTCTGCCAAAATATAATTGTTGGCCTTTTCGTATTAAAGCCACCTATTTTCTTTATCTCAATACAACAATGGCGATCAATGCTTTAGTATTGAAATATTTCGTGTCGTATACTGTATAAAATTGTTGACTAAATATACTTCCTTCTGATCAACGATACTAGTTGATGGGAAGTCTGTGCTCAAGTTATATCGATAAGAGATATATATATATATACATATACATATATATATATATTAAATATGTATATATATAATTTATATTGAATTATTACTAGGAAAAAAAACTACTAACGAAAAACAACAATGGGAAAATTTATCAGTCGATTCAGAAAGGAGGAACAGAATACCCGGACACCACCTCCTATCCTTCCAGACAGACGTAAGAAGAACAAGACAAACATATTTTTAAGTTTAATATTTACATTATAAAAAGATGTCTTCATCTTTTCAGCCAATAATTATCATCTACCACAAGTTGCGGCTCTGTATAATTATCAAGCTCTTTGTACTGGAGATTTGTCATTTAAAAAAGGAGATACGTTAGAAGTAATCATAAAGGATGATACAGATTGGTGGCATTGTAGGAATAAGAGAACGAAGCAAGAAGGAATTATTCCCAGTAATTACGTGGCTGAGATACAAAGCTTGAACGTTAAAGATTGGTATTTCGGCGATATTACTAGGATAAAAGCAGAACTAGAACTGAAGTCTCCTGGCAATGATTTCGGTTCATACCTGATAAGGGATAGTGAGAGTTTGCCTGGAGGATACGCTCTATCCTTACTCGATTATGATAAGACTAAAAGCGACAAAATTGTTAAACACTATAGGATAAAAACACTCGATAGAGGAGGTTTCTTTATAACCCCTAGAACCACGTTCAAAACTCTAGATCAGTTAGTCGCACACTATACTAGTAAGAAGAATCAATTATATAAATATAGTGTTAAATAATCGCTTGTTCAATTACTTTTCAGCAGCAAATGACGGGTTATCTAGAAAACTGGCTCAAGCTTGCAAAAAAGATGCACCTGTTACACACGATTTGGACAGAGCAACGAAGGATAATTGGGAAGTGGAACGGAAGGATGTCATACTGGGCGAAAGGCTTGGCTCTGGTATGTTTGGTGAGGTGAGAAAGGCGACGTATAGAGGAAAAATTGTTGCCGTAAAGACATTAAAGGAGGGTACAATGCCGAAAGAAAAATTTATGGAGGAGGCGAATGCGATGAAGAATTTAAAACATCCAAATATTGTATCATTGTTTGCAGTTTGTTCAAGGGAAGAGCCTATATATATCCTAACTGAGTTTATGGACCACGGTAGTCTTCTTTCATTCCTTAAATGTAACAGAGGAAAAAAGCTAAAGGTCTTAGAGAGAATTGAAATGGGAGCTCAAATAGCAAATGGCATGTCATTTATTGAAGGTAAAAAGTACTGTCATAGGGATTTGGCAGCGAGGAATGTTCTAGTCAGTGGAAGAAAGTTAACATGCAAGGTTGCAGATTTTGGTTTGTCAAGAGCAATAGATAATGATGTATATGTAGCAGCTGCAGGTCTGTTTGTTTGTCTTTTTAACAATAATTTAAATACATATACTGTATATCATTATCAGGTGCGAAATTCCCAATCAAATGGACAGCTCCCGAGGCAATTGCCTTTGGAAAATTTACAATTAAATCGGACGTATGGAGTTTCGGAATAGTTTTGATTGAAATATTTACACACGGAGCATATCCCTATCCAGGTTTGATTAGTCATGTTTTTCCGTTTATTGCGTAATTTATTAAATGTTTTTTAATAGGTATCAGCAACAACGGAATTCTGAACCAAATTGAAGCTGGATATAGGTTACCCAAACCGGATATTTGTCCTGTAGATTTGTACGAAAGTGTATTCCTTAAATGTTGGGAAGCGAATCCAGACGATAGACCGACTTTTGAATTTTTAGAAGATTGGATGTCAAATTATCAAGTATCTTCTGAAACACAGTACCAGGAACAATAATTTTTCATTATATAAACAATAACAAGAAAAATCTGCTTTCAAAAATCACCGAAAACTTTTAATGGACGCGATTTTTTTGTCTTTCTACGTGATCTTACATAATAATTTAGATTTATTAGAAAAGGATATTTTCCGCTTAGAGTATAGATGGATGCTTGCTTCTCTACCTTTCATTGAAAATTTTGGATTACTATGCCTTTTAATCAGAGTAATGGTTTTGTATCTGTTTCCTTTTTTTTTAAGAGAAAGGACCATGTTTACCATTAACAAATACACAAATAGTATCCTATATGTGTATTTGTTTATATTTCTTCCATTGTAATTTGTTACAATCTCTTTTCCTATAAGAGACTAATTTAAACAATAATCTCTTCTTCCATACTTATCTTTTCTCAATACAATTTTCAATTGTTACATTGAATTCTTTTATTTTTCTTACCTGAATTTTCAATGAATGGCGTATACGGATTTAGAATTTTATAATACATCACTATTCATACTAGTGTATGACATACTTTCCTAAAAAAAATGTCGTACTTTATTGAGACAATGAGTCATATTCTTTTTATAGCAAAGGGAGTTTACTTTTAATACTAGTTTACACGATTCAATGCGAATTATATTGATGTAGGAAATCAACTGAAATCACGAAGCATAAAATAAAAACAATACTTTATTGTTCATTCTTTTTTTATATTTCTTGGAGCTCTACCAGCCGGACCTTTAGGTTTGGCGAATTTTTGCTTAACAATGTTCTTCTTCGGGTGAACTTCGTCGTAGATGAAATCCTTAGTAATTTCTTCCGCAGCATCAACCTCAATCTGAAAATAGGTTAAAAACATAATTAGAACTGTAATAAAAGTAATATGAGTCAAATTATTTGGTAATTTTATCTACCTTCTTTATTATTTCCATTCCTAAGCTTTCTTCGATGTTATCGATAAAAGGAGCTTTACAACTACTATATAACATCCTCTCCTTTATAGAACATTTGTAGCCAGGCATTGAGTAAATGAATACAAATTGCTCTAAGTAGTCTCCTTCGTGCGTATGCTTAAAGAGTAATATATGATATCTAGGACTATCAGATGGAGTTCTAGAACGTATTTCGTCTATATCAATTGTCTCAGAATGTTCTAACTCGATTGTTTCCCTTTTTATATCAAGGCTCTATGGAAATTTATCATAATAACATAAATTGTTTGATACTTATAAAAGAAACTCTAACCAATTGAACATAAGTAATTTCCTTGTGCTTTAGCTTATCAAGAGCTGTAAAGGCACTCTGTGAGATTGGGAAAGCTACACCAGCTAAAGTCTGATGTTTTGAATCGACGTGAACATTAGCTTGAACTTCGGTTTTTTTTATTTCGGCTAACTCTTCTTCGGCTGCAGTTAATGGAGGAGCAGCGTCCTGGGAAATTGTATGTCGTTTGTAACCTTGAAGACATACATCTTCCTGAAAATTAATGCAATTAATATAAAAGAACACTATTTCTTTATAATTCACCACTATTTACCGTATGAGTTCCAAATAACTCGTCCTTTATTTGACTTGCACCAAATTCTTTTTTTACGGTTGCTCTTGTTGCGGCGTAGAGCATCTTTTGTCTAACTGGGGAGTTATCCGGAGAATAGGCGATAAACAACCAAGTATATGTATCGTTATCCCTGGTATCCATACGATAGAGGATATAACAAGGTTGTTTATCCTCAAGAAGAGGCAGTATATACTTGTCGTAATCTGAGAAAGATGAAAGTCTTACAAAAGAGAAAATTCTTCTATTTAAAAAAAATCTGTTTTGTAAGTAAGTTTTAATATGTGTTCTTTTATATTCTGTTGATTTAGGATGCTATATCATAATTAAACAGTAATTTACCTTCATCCCAAGTCCCGGAAGCTGGTTCATTATGCTCGAGTTCTAATTGCTCCCGTTCTGATTAATAATTATTTGATTGTTAAATTGAAGAGGAATAGGAATAACACGTATCTTTCAACTTACCACTATTAATTGATACTTTGATCAGTCTAATTCTCCCATCCTTTGATTGAGCGAAAAAAGAGCGAAGGGAGTCGCTTGCTGTTGATTAATCAGTGTTAAAATTAAAAAAAAGAAAAAGTCATTAATATAGTCCAACATACCTATGATACCAGTTTGGTGAGACATAGTCAAACAGAATGTATTAACACACCAAAGATCTTATAAAAAAAAGAAGCAAAAACTTAAACAGGAAGTTTTCCTGGTCACATGACCACACGCCGACGATCCCATAATTCAGTTACAATTTAGTGCCATCTCTATGAATATATAAACTTTTGATACCTATTTTTCTTACTGAGAAGTATCGTATAATTTCATATTTTCACTTTAACAAAAGACAGCACGATATTGTTCAATTGTGTATTTAAAAAATAACTATTCACTCTATATTAAAGAAAAACAACTATTCTCTGTTTAAACCCGTCACTTCTTCGCTGAATTTCCATAGTTGTTTACTCTTTTCATCATCTTCTGCCACCGGAATAGGAGCTTTTACTGCGCAATCGCTAAAAGATGATACATATTTTAAAAATGAAATACTTTCGTCTGCTATATTAAAGATATTTTCAAACCTGTAATAGAGGCCAGTCTGCGATCCAACTTCGTTGTTAACAGCGCAGAAAATGGTAGTTTGAGCACCTGAAAAGTGAGTGATGATGTAGAAATTTATGGAAACAAAAAAGAAACAATTGAAAGAGATATCGCTATTTCTTACCACTTTTAACTGTTTTAGCGAAGGGAGTTATAAAGTAGCTGATAATAGTACGGAGTATACCACCTGGGATCACTTCCTTTGCCAAATCGGTAAAAATAACGCCAGGATGCAGACTGTAAGTTGTAACACCAGTTCCCTTGAGTCTTTTTCCTAACTCTCTTGAAAACATGACATTCATTAGTTTGCTATTAGAATAGGCTCTATAAACTGAGTAAAGTTTTTCATTATTTATGTTCTCAATATCAAATGTTGCTCTCGAATGCGCTCTGGACGAGACTGTAACAATTCTGGCCGGTGATGATTTCTTTAGTGTATCCAAGAGAAGGTTTGTGAGAAGAAAGTGTCCAAAGTGATTTACTCCTGCTTGACTTTCTATACCGTCCTCAGTCTTTCGGAACGGTGTCCACATAATTCCAGCGTTATTTACAAGAATATGTAAATAGTTCTCATTGCTCTTATACTCTTTAACAAAACTTCTTATTGATTTAAAAGACGATAGGTCCAATTTCATGACGATTATTTGATCTGGATTAATATGGGAATCCTTCAATATATCTGCCTTAGCAGCTTCCGCTCTTTCCGCACTTCTACAAGCCATAAACACACGAGCTCCTATTGAAATAGCATATTGTAAGTTAAAAAGTGTACAATTTTCGCTATTGCTATCTACCCCTTGATGCTAAGTCTGCAACAGTCTCCTTTCCAATTCCTGCATTTGCTCCAGTAACTATTACATTTTTGCCCTTCAATGTTTCTTTTCCTGCATACTGACATCCTTGGTTGTAGTCTCTATAAGTAGAGAGCGATAATAGAGACGCAATATCAAATTCAACGTTGAAGAAGAAATAAAAACCTCATAACATATAATCCAATAGCAAGTGGGAAACTAAGAATCGTTATACGCCTAATAAGAGACATAATTGGGAATTTTTTATATCCTTTGGCGACTAATTCTTAGTGTATAAAATTCAGGCGTGGTGGTGATAAGGTGGATCAAAGTTGTGATTAATCTTTAAATTCGTTTGACAAATCAAAAAGATTTCTTGCAGAGATTTGTAAAAATATTTAACAGAAATTTTCTTTTTGTGAAAGCATATTACAAATGAAGATTATATATTATGACAATACAAATTAAATAGACAATTTACTATAAATTATATGATTATAAGTTTATATACTGTTTAATACAGCACAGATAACTTTTTTCGGCAGGCTTTTTTCTTATCTAGTTTGTATTAAATACAGATTTTATGATTTTCAATTAAAGATAGATAAGTTATCTTCATTTTAATTTCTGTTAAAAATATCTCGCTCATGCTTAAGTTAAAGAAAAATTTAATTTTTACAAAAATAAAAGGGCACCAGTTTTAGGTTATCGGTACCGTATAAATCATACATTTATTAAAGCAAAACGAAAACTTTTATTGTTGCATATTGAAATGTTCCTTTCCTTTCATAATAGCTTCTTTAAATAGTCTTAAATATAATTGTATAGAGTCTTTACTATCGTCGTTACCAGGTACTGGGTATGTTATTAACCTTGGATCAGAATTAGTATCTACGATTCCGACGGTTGGTATATTTAATTTTGCAGCTTCTTTTATTGCAACATGCCTTTCCATTATTGAATTATGTGTATATGGAAAAATCAACAAATCTGGTAAACGTATAGTTGTACCAAATAACACTGTTGAATTTGTAAATAATCCTCCACTCCAATAGTGACAATGGGCGTATTCTCCACATTCTTGCGCCGTCTTTTGAACTAAAGGTGTTGTTTCTCGATGCCTACTTACGAAAAGAATTACTCCCCCTCTTGATGCAATATGGGCAGTGAAGTTTAAGGCTGAATGAAGTAGCGGCAAAGTTTGATCTAAATCAATAATATCGCACTGCAAACGATTTCCATAGATATAAGGTGTCATATACTGATTTCGAACACCTTTTTTATGTCCTAAATGAATTCGATTTTCGAAGAGGTCATTCAAAGTTACCATATCTCGAACTTTAAAAAAATCTTCTTCTTCCAAAGGGTTAATAGATTTTTTTACATTTGCTGAAGACAATGGTTGAATTGAGAATTTTTTTAATGAATATATATTCAATTTTTAATTACACTTACTATCAGTTGCCAATGATGAGTTTGTTCTATAAACGTTAAATTGTGTCCGGTACACTGCGAAATTAAAGTATTGATCAGAAACATAGCACATTTACATAAAAAATTGCTTCATCCTAGGAAAAAAGTCGTTTCTTTGTAATAGCATAGGAAAATATATCATTTAAAACCTTAATAAATTGATAAATAGCTTAATTTCTGAAACATTTAATTAAAATTTCCAACCTTTTCTACAACATGCCCTTATAGCTGACGCCATTTTGATAGTTGTTGATAATGTGCTGCCCTCTGTATTGTTTTTCATATACAAATTTTCACTGATAATAGTATCAAAGTTTATTTTTGGAGTAAAAGAGTTATTTCGGACATTGGCATATGTGACATATTAATATCAGAGCATTTACATATAGGCTATATGCACACAAAAGTTAACAAGCAATTTTTCTTTACTATTAAACAGAATCGTAAGCTGCATCAACTAAAACCCAAAGTTTTCTATATAATCGTTAAAAGTACCAATGTTATAAGTTTACCTATGAGATTGAATTGGTACTAGTTCGTACTTGGCGGATAAATTGGACTGTGCGAAGATTGGCGAATTTCACGGCTATCAATTGCAGATTTATTCCTGTTAGGAATGAATTCAGAAGCTTCATTTGAAAAATCGTGTGGGTTCTTTGAACTATTCCAATATTTATAATTTCTACCAGTTTGTTCAGTTGTGTAAGGATGATCTCTATGATACTGGAAATTAGAAGTTGGTTTTTTATAGCCACTATCATAAGAATTATGATATCTCTTTCTGTGATTATATCTGCCATGTGAGTTAAACATATTTTTATTATTTGAATTGTAATTTTGGCATATTTCAGAGCTGCCATCTTTGGAGGTAGATTGTTGACGAAACATCTCCCTTCGGTTATTCGTCTCCGTATGAAAGCTATTCTTTTCATATCTAGACTCGAAAGTCACTGTTTGAGTTTCTACGGAAACTTTACTTTTTAACTTTATATTTGTTTCCTTAATAATTTGTGAAAGATTTTTCCAAGCTGAACAATATTTGGATTCCCTTCTTATTTGACCAACCGTTGATTTAATGTTATTAAGCTTTCTGGTATTAACAATTAGGTTCTGTCTATCAAAAATCTCTACTATGTTTAAAAGACACTTTAATTTTGATTCAATAGAGTACATATAGTGATCTTCTTCAAAATGATCACTTATACGATTGATTGCTTTCGAGTAGAACGTTCCACATATTCTTGTATGTTTATAGGTATCTTTCAATTCCTGTTCAATTTCGCTGACAACGTGATCTTGTAAAGAGTAATAATTATCCATTTTGTTCTCTCTATCATGTTTATTTACTTTTTGCAATTCATCTAAAAATATAATAAATATTTATATGCATTGTTGATTTTTATAATTGAGCTCTGTCTACCTGTTCTATTCTTATTCGAATTTGAGCAATTATAGCATAATGAATCTCCATCAGGTTTATTTGATTTTTTTTCTTTATCACTTTCAATCGACTCCTTTTCAACCTATAATAGAAAGTAATCAAGTTAAAACCATTCTACAATAATTAAATACAGTATTAACTTTCTTATCTTCACTTTGATGATTCACTTTTTCTTGAAGCTAACATTAATTAATAAGACATTATTTCTTTTGTAGAAATTCCAATAAAAAATGCTTAAAAACCTTATTACAAGCTTCTAAATGAGAGGCAAGTATCTCGGGGATGACTATTGCGTCTAGCCTATACAGAAAAAATTATTAGAAAATCTTTAGGGAACGATAAATTTCTCTCGAAAAGAGTTTTTACTTTTTTGTTTTTGATCCTCCCCGAAAATCCTCCTTTATTATGAATGGGTCGATATCTTCCCGTGGAAATTCAATGGACGTCACAAATTGCACATGAAACTTGGTTTTATAGTGATACGGGATAATATGGTGCAAACAAGCTGTGATTGTTTTTCTCAAATGTAAGTCAAAAGCTTCTCTTCATGATGGAAAATAAGTAAATCGTTATGAATATCATATTTATCAAGGGAACAATGTCTAAGAGAGTGAATTAATTTCTTAGACAAAAGACCTATCGCTTAAAACTTTTTGGCCGATAATATAAGTTTCAATTACATCTGAAATTCGAGTAAAAGTGAGAATAATTAAGGTCTTTTTGTACATGAAATACAATGAATAATATAAACTTTAAGATTTATGTTCGTCAACCTGCTTGGCAAGTTTTTGCATATCTATTAAGCAAATTAAATAAATTGGTCCTAAAGAACTCGCCTCTTACTAGCCTTTCTTTGAGATTGATTATTTAAGTGGTCTTACCTTTTCTCCATATCTGAGCTAAGGAACATAGTAATTTTGTTACAAAGTAGTTTGTAACAGTTTAAAAATGACCTTTCTCAATGTTTACCGCGCAGTAATCACTAAAAACAGATAGTATTGTTTGAGCAAAGTGGTAATAACGGCCAGCGCGCCTAGTGGAGATTTTTCAAATTATTTCTGGAGGTTTCGTCATAGGGTTTCAATTGACGGCTTCTAGAACGGTCTAAAGAAATTGTCCAAATTTACAAATTCATTATTCCCAAATTTTATCTTTCTATCATCTGATGTTTGCAATTTTCTATGAAAAAAACTTATTTTTCTACGAAAATTCAAAAATGGGCGACGTTGTTGTTTCTTATTCGATACTCAATAAAATGCGATAATTTGACAATTTATGAATAATTAAAAATCTGAATAAATGTATAAAATCAAATATGTATGTACAATGCTAAAAAAATGATTTAAAATGAAATGCGATATAGCTAAAAGCAACAAAAAATAAAAAATAAAAATGTCAAAAAAAAAGGAGTTCGCAAAGGACAATAAAAAAAGGACATAAATGTATAAAAACCTGATTATCTCTGACTAAAATTTTTGAACAAAAATATAGCTAAAAGAGTTAAAATTAAAATACTAATATTAGAGGCAGTATCAGTTGCAGTATTATAATCCGGACAATACGGACACTGGAAAGATCCGCAAACTTGGCAAATGTGCAAACCGAATAAACTGTTAGTTTTATACATGCTTAAATTAAACATTCCTGGTTCGTAATAGTCGTAAATGTGGAGAGAATGTTGAATAGTAACATTGGCAACCGGAAACCATCTATTTGCCGTAAATCGAACACAAGTTGGAACATTCGCTTCTAGAGAATCTATATAGAAGACAACCTTCTTATCCAGGTATTCAGCTCTTGCTAAATTTTTTACTGTATGAGATTGAACGTAGGATCGAAGTAGGTCATTCATTATTATATAGCCTGTTGGTAAATCAACTTCCATTAAAACTAGTCCAGTCTTCTTAGATATATCTGGTCTTGTCCAAGTACCGCATACATCAGCCTCAAAAATTGAGAAATTTTTACCATATAATCTTAAGTTTTCAAGTTCAATCTGAAAAAATGATTGATTTGGACGGGGAAACTGTTGGAAGCCAAATTCAACGTTCATCTGAGTTTCCAATTGAATAAGAGCAACTCCAGTTCCTTGGGCTCTTGCTCTTACAGAACCCCATACTTTAGGTATTTCCAGTGTGTGAGTATCAACATAATTAGAGTTGTTCAGATATACTTCCTTTGTCCAATATTCGGAAGACGTAGATTGGAGAGTAACGAGCATTTTATATAAATGACGATTCGTATCCTTTTTAGATAGATCAGTAAGAGCCTGTAAAGCAATAGCAGTGTCTTGGGTACCAATAAATCCACCAATGGTATTTCGCATTGTTTGCATCCATTTCATTATTTCTTGAGGTCTAATCTTTTGATTTAATTTTAAAAACGTCTTTAATGCATAAGAGGTTGCCGCTACAGCAGTACTTTCAGTTGGGTAAATGTTTCTGGGATTTTGGTAAATTATCGTTGCGACAATCTTAAAAGGATTGCTAGGTATGATATGGTCGGACCAGTATATACCAATACTAGTTTTCTTTGTTGCTTCCAATTGAGATAGACATTCGAAACGCATTGAAGATTCACTCTGTGCTAAAGCATAGCAAACAATACACAATTTGAAACTGTCATTTCCATGCTTGACTGTATCATAATTTCGTTCTAAATAGCTTCGAGCTTTTCGTTTAGCCTGTTCAACATTATTTCTTTCACTTCCAGATATTCCTTCTGCATCATTCAAAGCGATTAGCACATAAGCCGTTAAAGATATATTATCTGTATGATTAGACATTCTCTTATCATAAGGTGGTGAAGGATCCACGAAAGATCCGTCAGTTTGTTGTTGCTTTGCTGCCCAATTACCAAGTTTATTAATTAGCTCTGGTGGAATATATATATGCAATCGCCAATCAGCCAAATCTGCAAAGTTCAAAGTTTGCAATACGAACGCAGTTAACCAAAGAGAAGGTGTTCTATTTTCATAATCTCTAAACATTGTAAATGCTCCAATGTCCCTCATATAATAGGAGAATTGCCTTTGCAAAGCAATGTTCACTCCTGTAAGAGCATCTTTTAGTACTTCTTTACGAAGTTGATTGGTTTCTTTCAAATATCTTAGATAGTAAATGTTAACTGCAATATTAAATGCATTTTGTTCAGCAGCCCCAAAAGGTTTTCTCATCATATTCATTGCATTCAAAAAGGGTTTAAAGAAGCCGGTTCCTATTATATCACCAGAAACGGAAACAAAAGCTTTTGCAGATCCAGGTACGAAATTATGGTATTGCTGCTCCGGCGTGAAAAAGCGATCAGGGACGATTATCCATAAATCGGGAATAATGTCAGAGCCGGTATTTATCAAGTCTATCAGGAGTGGAGTATGATAATAGTTTGTTGTACCATCGTATTTTATGTTGAAAGTATGCGATACAGTATCTTTTCCCATGAAAGAGGTTGCGGTCACATAAACTGTTACATTTCCCCCTTTAATAGGTGAAATTGGAAAATGAATAGTATACATATCAGAAGCTCTCAAATATATCATTGTTTGGATGTCACCGCGGGTAGTTCTAGGGTTATACGAATTAACGTAACCATAGTCTTCAACCAGCACAATTCTATAGTCGTCCGAATCGTGAACTGTAACTAGGCATTCCAAATCTTCCGACCAATAGTTAAATAGAGCAACTCTTAACCCAATTTGTTCACCTCGAATAATATTGACGGGACCTTCGACTTGAATATAAAAGGGTCTTGTACTTTGATGTCGAGCTGGCATTTCAAGAATTCCTAAACCCTTCTCTCTAGACATTGATACGGCTCCAACAGTCCAGGACATTGGCTCTTTGGGAACGTTAGTTTTCAGATCAATCCGTCCATCTGGCTTAACAAAATGAGACATCCATAGCCAGGATCCTTCTTCTTCATAATGCCTATTTAAATGTTTAAAACGATTCAACTCTTTTGTAAAAATAGAAGGTTCGTCGTTAGGATAACAGCCAAGTTCGTCAACTTCATCAATGCATTGCGACGTATTATCGCATCTTTCGGATATTTTGAAGCAGCTACCGTCGTTACACGGTAGAAACCCTTGTGTTCTATTACAATTATTTTGTATTCGAGAAACTTTAGCATCGGTGAAAATAATAATTCCTGCGTATTCGAAAGTTGTGTTAGCATCAACACCGTAGGTTGCAGCTGGGAAATACATTTTTTTGTATATTGCCTCGCCATAATACCAGGTATGACTATCGCTTAGGTTAGCATGCGAATCGTAAGTTTCAAGTTCTCTTAGAATTTCTGACTCGGTTAAAAATATATTTCCTCCCTTTGACCACATATCATAATCTATTCCAGAAAAGGCAATAAAGGAACCGGGATCTGTTATTCCTGTCACTTCTATCGTGTCACGACTAAAATCTTTTCCTTGGTTAATTCGAACTTCGACTGGATTCATTCCAGTTCCATTTACAAAGAAGTTTAGTGAATCAACAATTACCTCTCCTTTGTACAAATAGTAGGCAATTATTCTAGAACTAGGGACCATGTCTCTTGATATAGCAACAGAAAATGTTTTCTGTTGTGATGACATTTCAAGTGAGTTTGCCGTTTGAATATTTCCACCAGACACAATTTGGTAATAGACTCGATTTACGTACGTACTTAATCTCACTGTAAACACCATATAATGATCTACAAATGGACGTTCAGTTGTTGTAGATATTTTTATATAATGATTGTTGTATGTGTAGTATTTGGAAAATATGCACTCTACTTGATTCGAGAATCCTTGCAGGTCATAATAGGCCTGAAGAGTAATAAATCGTGCATCGGATTCTGCTATGAAAGTATAAGAGACTATTCCATCGTCTCGAACGACTAGTTTCTCCTCTTCCAATGCAGTCGTTTTTATTCCGTTGTTAACAGATCTCTGCACTGTAACTTGTCGTCGATTTCCATATAGTGGTCTTCCATCAGCATCTATCACAGCATAGTAAACGTTTACAGGGAAGCCAGGCTTAAATGTTCTTGATTTGTCACCCAGCAACTTCAATTTTACTTTGTTTTCATAAATAACACAAACGCCATAACCAATACTTGTCAACGTCAAATGCCAATCATAAATGGTTGCAATTACATGCAATTCTTTATTGGCGATATTTCCAACCTTGGCCCGAATTTCGTCCATAAAAAAAATAAAATCACTCCTTCCATTAAACTGTTATGAAAAAAAATATGATATAATAAAAACTATAAAATAGAACGCAACAATAACGAACGTAAAATATTGGCTTTTCTATATAGTCCCACTTATATTCCTTTCCGTCAACCAGTTTTGTTTTAGGGTCACGGATTTCTAGGCGAACTTTTCCTTGGCCTTTTGCTGGTCTACCACTAGTATGACTAAAAAAAAGCAAAAAAATGAATAATTCAAACATTTTCAATTGAAATTTTTGTTTAAACCTACTTGACTGTAATTAGTCCTGCCAATGCAAATGAATCATCCATTAAATAAAGAGGCATGCTGACATTTACAAAAAATCTAGGTGGATCTAAAGAAGGGAAAAAATTTTAAAAATCTTTAAGGAATTTTTGTATTATTTTACATACAGTATTCCTCAACTTGAAATTCTTTCTCGTATGTTGCCCCCTCAAAGACTGTCTTTATTTTCCATACTCCATATCTAGGCTGTGCTGATAGTTGCATTTTCATATCAAGTATACCTGAAACGAATAGTTATATTTTAGTATTGTCTCTTTAAAAATATATGACAATTTACCAGCATTTGTCTGTTGATCAAGCCAACGGCGGATTGGCATTCCTGTATTATCAAGCATGTATATGTCCATACTACCGTGAACGGGTAGTAGGTTAGGCTTCACCGGTATTATTCTGAAGTGAACTATTGGAAAATTCTTGTTAGTAATTAGTAAATACCTGCATTGAGATGACTCACCTGTTTGGCCTTGACGGTAAATAGGTTTATTGGTTTGAATGAAAACTGAGACTTGTTTCACGTCAAAAATAAGATCTGTTTCGTTCTCAAAAACGTAGCCTGCACCATAGTAAGCTTCATTAAACGCCTCGATTCTCATAGTATAATTGCCCATATCAGCATTGGTAGGCATCTTCATCTGCACCAAGCGTGTGCCCTCTTCCTCGAAGACCTCTTTAAAACGTGCAAATTCTTGGGCACCATTTTTTCGTATGTTCCCTCGAACAGTGATTGATTTTCCATACATTTTAAATATGGAAACTTGAACTTGCACAACTTCATTTGGATAAACCTTTCTAGGGGCTAATATCATATATGTTCTGTGCATACAAATGAGTTTTAATTGTCGATCACAAAATATTTAAAAAATACAAACGCATCAGGCTGTAGCTGTTCTTGGGCATTAGCACCAAACATCAAGTAGTAAAGGATGGATAAAAGCAACATAGATAACATTCCACTTATGTTCATATCTATTTATCAAGACTATAACTAGTATTATCAGAAATGATCAAAGATAAGAGCTTGTTGTATGCTGATCTGGTTATGTCGCTTATCAAGACTACTCCAATTTTCTTTTTACCTGGCCGGCCATGACATAACACCTGAGAATTTTTATTCTGTAGAGGGCACCACCCTTTCTTTTTGACATATATTAAGTGCGAACCTAATTTTATAAAAAATATACCATTCCTCCTCACACATATTATCGACCAGACTCAGCTTTTCTAGTTAATCGAGCTCTTTTCCCTTGTAAACCAGTAAATTAACCAGAATTATGCTTATAAAAGTTAAGGTAGTATACAATCTCTTGAGCACAGTGTGAAAAATATTTAACTTCTTTTTGTTTCAGACATTGACCGGTAAAGAGGTAAATTTCTATCAAAGTCGGACGTTGACTTTGATGTCCTTAACTTTTTCTTTAAATTTAGCAATTACTATAAAATCATTTTCTTACAGATCGAAATTGATATTGAACCAACTGATAAGGTATTTCACAAATATATTTTAGTTAAATATTTACTCCATATTAGCCAATAATAATTAAATTTATAGGTGGAGAGAATTAAAGAGAGAGTAGAAGAAAAAGAGGGTATCCCTCCTCCGCAACAACGTTTAATCTTTAGTGGAAAACAGATGAATGACGATAAAACAGCGGCCGATTACAAAGTGGTCGGAGGTTCCGTTTTACATCTTGTTCTGGCCTTGCGAGGAGGATAATTCAATTATGTTACGTTTTATTGAAAATAGGATCAATTATCGTCATGTATAGTACATTTTTACTTGTTTATATATATTTTACCCGAAAAGATCTGAAATAAACTTTCATATTGTATGTACATTTCTAAAGTTTAGTATATCAACACACTAGATGGCGAAAAATAGCTCGAAATTCCAAGTAAAAGAAAATAATAAATATCTAATTATATTAAGCGTAACTTAATATTACTATTTTCAAGGGAATAGCAATAATGCGAATATATTTAATTACTGTTATTGTATTAATACTGTATTTAAGATGACATAAACGAGTGACGTCATTAGTTCACGTGTAGGACGTCTGCTGGGAACAAAATGTCTAATCTTTAAAAAATTTCACAGTATCTCTTTAATATTGCAATAATACCAATGGGTAAGTGAAGTACTAGCGCATACACACTTTCGTTAAAATTAAGTGGCGATACTAACCTTGGATTGATGTTTTAGAGGAGAAAAACAGGCCATGCCAATTACAGGAAGTGAGCATAAAAATCAAAGATGAGAGGAAGACGGAATCTAAGACCGTTGATATTGATATTGGATGCCTGAAATTAACCAACCTACCCCAATCTCAACAATTCCTAATTTTAACAATTGGAGTTATGCTGTTCTATTTAATTTATGGTTATTTTCAAGTAATCTATTCAATAACTTGTTTCACTTATGAGATTTACATTAATTATTCATATTCCTGACGAATAGGAATTAATGTTTAGGCTAGAGGGGTTCCGGCCATATGGTTGGTATTTAACTTTAATTCAGTTTGGCTATTATTCAATATTTGGAACAATTGAATTATATTCAAAAAAGACAACGAGAAGGAAAGTTCCTCTAAAGACATATTATTTTCTGGCATTTTTGACAGTAGCCACTATGGGTCTATCAAATTCATCACTCGGCTATTTAAACTATCCCACTCAAGTAAGTGAAGAGAATGCCACACCCCCATTTTTGTTTAAAACTTTAATTTATAATTACTTTTAGATCATATTTAAATGCTGCAAGCTCATTCCTGTCTTAATAGGTGGTATAATAATTCAAAAGAAAAAGTATACAACACTTGATTTTGCTGCTTGTGCCTGTATGAGTATTGGTCTCATCTTTTTTACTTTAGCTGATAGCAGTGTTTCACCCTCTTTTAGCCTTTACGGTATGAAAAATAACCTATAGAATTACTATATATATTTGTATTCATCTTGTATTTGCGCTTTACTAGGTCTCATGCTCATATGCTCAGCTTTGGTTGCCGATGCAGTCATTGGAAATGTTCAGGAGAAAACAATGAAAGAGTTCTCATCAAGCAATTCGGAGATGATACTCTATTCATATTCAATAGGCTTTGTTTATATTCTTTTTGGTCAATTGGCGACCGGACAATTTTGGAGTGCCTTCTCATTTTGCTGGCAACATCCTTTTCAAACATATGGTTATGCGCTAATCTTCTCATTTACTGGATATATAGGTCTAGTTGTTGTATTGAGCTTAGTAAAATCTTTTGGAGCGCTTATAGCTGTAACTGGTAAGTAGTTAAAGATGATATGAATATTTAAGTTTTTGTGCTTTTAGATAATTAGCTAGTAATTTTCGCATTATCTTACAGTGACTACCTGTCGGAAGGCTATTACAATTATCCTGTCGTTTATGTTCTTTACAAAACCTTTTACACCGCAATATATATGGTCGGGAATAGTTGTTGTTCTGGGTATTTACTTGAATGTCTACAGCAAGAATAGAACATCTTGGGATCGAGCATTTGTTAATTTCTATCATCGATATTTTATTAGCCGACGAAGCTTTTCAGATTCAGTTCAAAATATTGTTTGAATATGAATAAGTAACCTGTATAGCACGTTTTCTCAAACGCCTGTGTCTAATATGTATTCTCTATTGAAAAGAAATATTAACATACTACTTAAATATAATAATCTTGGCCCATAGTATACAAATATTGTATTTACTCAACCCACTCACATGATCAAGTTTTTAGTCACGTGACAAGCGCCATTTTTCCAGCGATGGCGACGGAAGAAGTTTTTGAACCTAATATCACGCCGGAACTGATCTTAAAATGTAAAAAACAACAGGTAGTATCTCTTGGCGATCGCCTAACATACTTCTCAAAGAATTCAGGAAATAACCGTGAAAAGTAAATTTATTTAAAACTAGTTGAAGCCTATTTTCTTTATCAATTACCGGAAACAGATCTACTATTCTATATGAAGATCTGTTAGATGCAAAGATACACAAAAAAGAAGTTACGATAGGATTTATTCGACGACATAAATCGAAAAATATCTTAAAAGTAGATAAAGTATCATTCCATGAAATTGAGGGTAGCAATGAATGCACTGAGTTTGTTGACAATGTGTTATCTCGAGCTAAAAACTATTGGCAACGTCGACCTACAAAATTGAAGGTGATAGTTAATCCTCAATCAGGAACCTTAAAAAAGGGTGAGAGAGTTTATAAAGAAGTTGTACAGCCAATCTTTGAATCAGCTCGCATTGTTTGCGAAACAGAAGGTAAGACGATTAAAAGTATACATTTGTTGTTTTTTTTTTTGCATAAGTTTAGAATTGTTTAAGTGACTCAAAGTCGAAAGCATGCCCAAGAAATTTTATCAAAGTGCTGTCTAAATGACTTCGACGGGTACGTCGATCTGATGCAGAATTTGCTTAAAGCTTTAACTTTCGCAAAGTCTTTATTTTGTTTTAATGCTAGAAAGCTAACAATCGCATAAAGTTAATAACATGCCAGTAGCAATATATATATATGTATATAATAGAATAGAAAGATTCTATTTTCATAGGCTTCTACTTGATTAGATAACTTGTAAAGTTGCACTTTTAACGTCTAGCAGTAATTTATATCTTCTTTTGTTGTTGTTTTTTTTTTCACTCTCTCATTCTCTCTCATTCTCTCTCTCTCTCTCTCTCTCTCTCTCTCTCTCTCTTACTTTCAATTTTGTCAATCAGGCCATAATAGATAAAAAATATAGTTTTATACTACATTTATTACGTACTAATTACTAATGATAGGATATTTTTAGGGTTGTATCGGTTGGTGGAGATGGTACCTTTACAGAATGTTATAATGGAATGATATTAAATCAAATGGCCTGTGCTAAGCGTGACATTAATGATCGAAGAAGTCAACTTATTAAACCCCCTATACCAATTGGAATAATACCTTTGGGTTAGTTAATTAGGATATTATTTAAATCATAGATAATTTGAGAAAATTTTCCCAATTGAAGGAAGCGGCCAAGGGTGCATAAAAATGGCTATCGGAAGTGTTGATGTAGTAACAGCTGCATTGCATATTGTCATCGGTAGGTACATGTACATATGCGCGTAAATTAGAGTAATGAAAAAATGATATAATTTGACTCTAATTGCGCCTTATATCCAACAGGTAAATCTTTTTCCGCAAAGGGCTACTCAGTTCACAGTGGAACGAAGCTCGTCTACTACGGGAATCTTTTGTTCGGCTACGGTTTCTATAGTGACCTAATTGAGGAAGGAGAGAATAAACGTTGGATGGGTATTCTACGTTACGGTTTTGGTGGTACGAAGGCATTCTTTAAACATCGCTTATTCAAGGCCAAAATACGAGTTTTACCTTGGGGTTCAACGCCGAAAGATGGCGCTCTAGATTCGAATTTGAACAATGATCACGAAAAAGAATTTACTGACGAATTTTTTAGTGTAGAAATGTATCCCTTTCTCTTTCCCCTTGTTGACCGTCAATTGGAAACCTATTCCCTTCCTCTGTGTAGTCTGTATATGCTAAGAAGTTGCTCAAGAATCGATCATTTACAGTTGTTGGCAAAGTTAGCTAGAAAAAAGGACGATACTGTAAGTTTATAAAGAGGCAATTACGTGGGCGGTAGATAGATAATTTTTAGCTGCTACTAACAAAAAATTTTCACACGCTTATCATTCACAAATTGTAAGATTTATATATATATATATGCAACATATTGTGGAAAGTGTAACACTGGCTAAGCTCATTGTCTAAAAAAAAATATATACAGTATATATATTAGTATATATATTAGTATATAAATATATATATGAACACAATATACACAATATATTGTACACATGAAAACGCGCCTGTTATGTCGAGGTAGTGGGTTGTATAGTTGACAGAAACATCAAGCATAAGGAGAACCGTACAACCTACTGGCTTTACTTAACTGAGCGTTCCCTCTTCGGTATTCATGCAATTAAACCAAAACGACTAATTATCTAATCACAATTTCATTAGCGGTAAATATATATTTATATATATATATATATAAACATTTTTCTCTTTTTTTCTTTTTACAGTACAGTTTTGATTTCGTTAAGTCTTTTGAGGCGGAAGGTTTCAGCCTCGCAATTGAGCCAGATCCAGACAATCGCGAAGAAAATAATTCCATAATCATCAATATCGATGGCGATCCATTCCCTGTTAAGAGAGAAGACGTAATCCATGTCAAAATGTACGCTGACATGATAGATATTTACGGACCTAGCGCCAGCTGGAATGAAATAAAAGAATTGATGTAATCATTTCAAGATTATTATCGAATAAAATAAGAAAAAGCTTAGATTTAAACATTGTTGCATGCTTCGTAAATTGATAATTATCTACTCGTCTCAGACATGCGACAAACAGCGGTCGCTCCGACAATTAGCGTTCTTACGGTAGTTGAACGTTAAGCGTTTCGGACGTCTGTCGCCCTAGTTGGCGCGCGATAAACCTTCAAGAATGGATGTCAGACAAACAACGCAATTAAAAGTTCAGACTAATTATTCCGCTCGACGGGAAGCGTTTATTACCTAATCAGTGAGTCTGACGCCCCGGTAAAAACGACAAAAGTAAGTGTATATTTTACGCGCGTGAGTCGGCTTGAAAACAATCAGAGATGAAGCGCTCTAGGAGAAATCGCATTAGAAAATTGATTGCATTTCGCGCGCTGAAAGCACAGTAATAAAATATCTCGCTTAATCAAGGAGAAGCTTGTCTATTGACACACTGATCACGCTAGTTGCATTCTTCCACCACTTACCTCTTAATTAACGAACTAATCGCGTTTTAGAAGCAGAATAGAAAATTTAAATGTTGCGCATTTTGGCGTTTTAGTCCATTTTTGCATCAAAGCACGTAAATGATCAAGCGCTGATTGGCCCGCTTTCTCATTATGCAAGATTTTGGGCGGAGCTATCGGAGACGTTTGCACGGTGAAAAAAGAGGAGAGAGTAATTCGTCCGTGATCTGTCTAAATGAACAGCACTTGTTGACTAGCGACGTCTTTTCTATATTTACTTATTCGCCATGAGTTCGTTTCTTATCGACGATATTCTCTTGAATAATAAACCGAAAACTTCCGCACCTTCCCTGCCACCTAAGACTGCCGACACTCGTATGTATACAATCAAATAAACCCATTTGAAAGGATCAATTATATTTACTTAAATAAATATATTATAAAGATGTATATAAACAGTATACAGTATATATATATATATATTAATATATATATATATATATATATATATATACTAATATATATTTATCTATTCATAGTACATATTATGTATATAAATATAAATTTTGATGCTTTATATACACTTTTATTACATTCTTTAGTGTAAAACATCGCACGAAAGTATGCCTCTTTATTTTACAATTATCTCTTTCGTTTAGGCAAAGTATAGAAATATTTACAGATAAAAAAAAGTAAATTATTTAATAAGCTACATTTTAAATAAACGTTATTAAATACTTTTAGCTCCTCTACTCTCTCGACCAATTCAAACGAGCGACTACTCAGGTCATCTATATTCGCCTTATCATACGGCACTTTTACACGCTTTTAGCCCTAGAACTCATGAACATGTGCCATTCCTCGGTTTACATGGTCCTCAAGGTAAAATGTAAAAGAAACACAGATATCTTTTTCTTACATCGGAAAAAGTCTTAAGTTTATAAAATTATTAGTAAAAAGCTATTAATTAGACGTATATTACATGCGTACCTAATAGATATATAATTAATAGGACTAGCTCTGCTGCAACAAGAGGCGGTTGTACGGCATTGCAGAAGGCGAAAGGCTAGGACAGTATTTAGCGACCAGCAATTGAACGGATTGGAAAAACGGTAAATTGATTATTTTTTACGTGTAAGCTTATAGGATGTGCGTGTGTAATTTCAAAATTCTCGGGTCAGAAATCAAATTTAAAAGGTTAATTATACGTAGCAAAGGGATTGTAGGAAAATTTCGTTATACGCTTCAAACGACTAGTCGGTAAGCTTGATATGTGTAGAAAAGTTGGGATACTCTATATACAAGCTGGCGATAAATTTTCTTAAACTTCTCCTTTTGTCACAATAAGCGAATGAAGCCGTAAAATTTTAATTAAGTATCGAAGAAAAGATAGTGACGAAGCTCTTGCGTGGACACGAGAAAATAATAATATTGTATTCCTTGCTCGTACGGTAAGTAATTAGTCGTGGCCGTTTTAAAAAAACTAAATTATATAATCCTATATAATTAAACATAATAACTATATATAGTAGCTACTTGTAAATAAAAATGGTAATATATGCGTGGCATTTCCTCGTAAAGTCTATATGAAATTTGGTGCAATATAGGATAAATTCAATTAGATGATATCTTATTCTACTTTTTCCAGTTGATTAGCGACATAATAGACCGAAAGAGGGGGGGCTATAGTAAGCGAAAATAGGCGTAATTTATCCATCAGGCATTAATGTATATAGGCGTGTAGAATCATAATTATAAAAAGGATAATAATCGCAGATTCGAAAGTCAGAAATATTTGTCTACACCCGAAAGAGTAGAATTAGCGGCGCAATTAAACCTGTCGGAGACTCAAGTAAAAACTTGGTTCCAAAATCGAAGAATGAAACATAAGAAGTTACAGCGTAAGGAACACGCAACGGATGAAAATAGTCCTGGTGAAGAGGGTAGGAATTCAACATTCGACGACGATGTTATCGACGTTGGTATGGAGAGTGGCGATTCGGATGTGCCTTAAGAAAATAAGGAAATAGGAGAGGAAGTAGAAGAGAACTTTTACTGTTCATATAAATTGTACAGAACAATTCCCCCCATAAGACATGCATATCTATATCTTAAAATTATCCTCATATTATGTAATATACGGTGTATATGCTTATTAAATAATCTACCGTGTACGATGGAGCATACAAGTGTATATATATATATATATATATATATATATATATATATATACAAGATATCTCTATAGTATAAATATAGTTATATAAATATATGTATGGTATAAACAAATACAAATATATTTAATACACTTGTTTCAAAAAAACTGTATAATCTTATTAAGAAGGGTGTAAAGTCGATTAGGGACGCTAATTAATCGTGAGCTAAATTAATTCCTTCTTTTAACTGTGCATTGTGTACATAAATACATCTACAGGACAATGCTTAGAAGCGGAGTGGTACGATTAAATTAGCGCTTTTTGCCCGATTCGTCTTTGTTTAATTAGGGAATTTTCTGCGCGATTAAACTAATTAGGACGCGTTTTACGCGGGTGTTCCGCAAAATTACGGTCGTGTGAAACGAAATCATACATATACATATAAGCACGCAAACTTTTACATAGACATTCGCAATCGTTAATTAGACGTTCAATTACGACACCTAGCGATCGTCGTTCGAGGACGTTCGTGTCAAGTTGCGTTCGCCTCTTGAAAGGATTCGCCATTTACGGACCGGCGCCTAAGTGAAATGATAATAAATTGCCGTAAATTGGGCAAGAAGACTCTTGCTCCTTTCTAATAGTTTCTATGTAGGTATTTATAGATTGAATATTCAACTTCTTATATTCTTTCGACTTAAAGGCAGAAAAATCCTATTGCGATCGCTTAAACGAAATAAACGACAGTAGGGAAAAAATGACAAGTGTACAAACGCCTCAATCAAAGCTTCTAGTCACGCGACCGCCAAGAGCTTCTCCATTCTCCGACAAACCTAGTTTACGCAAACTCAATTACTTCTCATCACCGCCATTCACAAAGGCAGTCGCCTACAAAAATCATGAATCGGCCAACGTTTGGGACTCATCCTCTTTCCTTGTCTTTGTACACACCGCAATTAAGTACGATTATGTTATTTAAAGCAGTAATTGCCTCGTCATTTGTGCGTTGAATTTCTCTTTGCACTTCCGAGAGAAGAAGTAGCCTTAGGGGTTTTATATATCTATAAAGCAATATATAAACATATGCAGAATGGCTCGTAGAAGAGTTTAATATGCGTAGAAATGTTAGAAAATCAAATATTACATCTTTTCCGAACGTGTTTTTAGACAATGTACCTCTTTTATTATATGCTACTTAAGTCTTTTCACAACTCGTACGAGCTTCTCAAGCGCCTTATTCTTATCTCAAGTAAAGCTCTATTCTACTTCATTGTATCTCCTCCTTTTTCTATCTTGATTCCATATAATCTACACGAGTGTAAGTGAACGTACTAATCCCGTTCAACATTAGGAAATTTACCCACTTTAATAGATCTGCGTTACCAAGTTTTTATAACAGTAATCTTTACGAATTGTATTATGCAAACAAGCGTTTTCCCAATAGAAAAACGCAACAGAATCAATTAATTAACAATAATTAGTTAGTAAATACAGTACATATACTTATCATTATTATTATCAAATTTGTAAAACTTTTACATTTCGCGTACACATAAACACCCACACGGACGCCATATTTGCATAAATAAAGATATACGTTTGCACTGATAAATGATCTGTATGTGTATTTAAGTTATTAATTAAACATATCACTCATGTATAATAGTGTTTTTTACATATGTACACAGATAGTTTAAATGCAAAAAATACTATACATTGTTATATATATAGATATATATATATACTAAAATAGATACTATATTACAATAGAGAATATGTAACTAAACGCATCTACAGATGCGCTATATATTAATATATA